TGTGTGTGTGTGGGTCGGGGGGGGGGGGGGTTCGATGGAGGCTCTGTGTCGCGGCAAGATGGGATTCGTGGGCGTGCTCCCCCGCTTTTTTTAGTTTAAATTATTTTTATTGCCCAAACAGCAGTGTCTATGGGGTCTGTGGGTTTGCGTTGCTTCTTTGTTGCCTTTTTTTCGCTTCGTCCTCTGCGCTTGCAAACACGGGTTACGTTCAGTGATAAAGGGTCGTTTGCGTATCACTCCGTCGTCATTCTGTTGTCTCCATATTGAATTTCCTTTTCTGCTTGTGTGGGTGGGTGTGCGTATTGGTGGCGGAAGTGAATAACAGCGACGTATTTTGTGTATGTTTGTGCTACGATGGAGCTTGTTCGTCTTCCCATCTCCATCTCCGTCTCTCGTCTTTTCTCCGAAGTTTTTTTTTTCTATTCCTCTTGCTGCCGTTTCTCTTCCCTCTGCTTTCGTTTTGGTTTGGACGTCTCTGCAACCTGCGCTCCAGCCGTCGTGAACTCTCATCTTCCGCTGCCTCACGTGGGACCTTCTCTTGCTCTCCTTTTTACTTTGCTGCCGTCTCATGTCACTGTCTCCTCATCTCCACACGCACAACACAACACAAAGCTCCTTCGACGTCATTCGTTTCACTGCAAAACCAAAGTTCAGCTTCTTAATGCTCTTTTCTCTTTCCTTTTGCAGTCATTTCTTTGATGCCCTCGCGAGGGCAGTGACCGCTTCGCATAGGAGGAGGCATTGTTGTGCCTGTGTGTGCTGTGCGTGGATGCCTTCTTTGCTGGTTCACGTTTTTCTTTTCCCATTTTTCTATATACTTTTTTTCTGGTTATATACAGTCTTTGTTGTTGTGGTGGTGGTCGTTGTCACCGCTTTTGCTTTAATTCGTGTCTTTCCGCGTTTCCTCTCACCCCCTGTTTGCTCATCATGACGGTTGTCATCACGAGCTAGCAGCTGTTTTCTTTGCTGCCTTTTCTTTTTCAATTCTTCTTTCTCGCTGTTTTTTTTTTGTTTGTTTTACAGGAGTACATAGACGACTGTATTACTGTACAACCATTTTTATCCGTCTGTGTGCATATATATATGATCGCCGTACTTCCTCCCCTCCCCTCACTTGTTCCCTTCTTGTTTTTTGCCATCCTCGCAGCGCCCCACTTTCGGTGTGATCACGCTGTTATCCCCCATTGTCGCGTGTGTCTTTTGTTTTTCATTATTATTTGGTATTCCGGTTTTCTGCGTTAACACCTTTCAGGTTTCTCCTTTCCCCTTTCCCCTTCTTTTTATTAATATTTTTGGATGTCAAGCACTCCCCTCAAGTGTCGATAGGAGAAGAAAAGGCCCACTGCCTGGGCTTTGACGTTGCGTCGAACGGCACTGCGAGGGCGCAGCAGCATGGGAGAGGGCTACGCGCTCTTCTCCTCTCGTTGTTGTCTTTCCTGCCGAAGCTCATCATCATTATGCAGCGCAGCGGTTGCAGCTCTTACAGCCTCTTTTCTTCGACTCCATCTTTTCTTCTTCTTCTTCTCTTCGCACCTGCACGCAAACAAACACGCGCGTGAACTCAATTCTTGTGGCTTTTACTATTATTACTGCCACACACCTCTTGTTCCTGCGACTTTGCACATGAGCATCTAGACGGTCACGCACAGTGGCACTGCCTTGCTCACCACGACACCACGCAACACTCACCGAGAGAGAGAAATTAATTCCTGAAATCATGACCGCCGTAGCCGCGAAGAAGAACGACGTCCCCATCGATGTCACCTGGGAAGATCAGCGGCACATCTGCGTCTTCTCCCGTCTGCACCGGCGTGTGCAGGCATTGAACCGCCGTCGAAAGCTGCTCGCTGACGACATTGAAAAGCTCGACGATGCCAGCACCGAGGTGATGATCTGCGATCAGGTGAAGTACGTCTTTGGCGAAGCCTTTGTGGATGTGGAGTGCGACAGCGCCGTGGACCTGCTCGACACGGAGAAACAACGAATGGAGGCGGAGAGGGAGGAGGTGGAGGCGGAGTTGCATGATCTGGCGGCTGCGCTGAACGAGTTAAAGGCGCAGTTGTACGCGAAGTTCGGCTCGCAGATCTACCTCGAAGAAAAGTAGAAGTGATAAAACACAGCAAAAAGAGGCGTCGCTGGGAAGTTCTTTTTTCCTCCCTGTCCTGTCGGTGTTGCTCGCCTTTCCTCTTTTCCTTTCTTTTATGTTTTATGTTTTCGTTCTTCTCGGACTAGGAAGCAGCTCTTTGTGTTTGTGTGTTTGGAGTGTAGCCGTGGTGTTGGTGTTGGCGAGGATTCCTTTTGTCTTGTGAAGCATGTCGCGTTGCCCCCGCTCCAGTCCGATTCCTTCTTCTTCTTTTTTTTGGCGGCGAAGCGGCAACGAGCCGTTTTCAACTGTTGGCTGTTTTTGCGCTGTGTGTCCTCTCTCTCTCTCGAAGCGATGTATCCTGTGTGGCCGCCCCTTGTAGGGTTCTTACGTGATAATGACATCAGATAATAATAATCGACGATACCAAAGAAAAACCGAAACAGTTTATGCCTTTCGGAAGCGCGGACGGAACGAGGTGATGCCTCTGGAAGGGGGGGGGGAGCATGAGGCTGCGCGCCTGTCTCTCTCCTCCTCTGTCCCGGTTCCGTTTTCCACGCACAGGTGGCAGAAAAGGTTTGTTGGTACTCCGCAGAAGTTTTTCTCCTTCACGGGGCAGTCCTGGAAAGTGAGCGTGAGCACCGCGAAACAACAACAGCAATAAAAAGAAAGAAATCTTTCTTGACGTGTTCAGCGTCGATCTGTCGTCCACCCATTCATGCATCTTCCCTTGTGCAACTCTTTATTTGTCATGTTCCCTCTCCTTTCCTTCTTTCACCTCGGACTGCTGCGTCACCTTCGACTTGGACCTTCGCCCATTAAGTGGAGGGAGAAGCGGTTGACTACAAAAAAATTGCAGAAAGGCAAGTGAAGGGGCTCTCTGCAGTTGGTATCGCAAAGCATCCCGCCCGATTTTATTTTGGTTTTATTTTCCAAAAATACTCGCAGACAGGAGAAGCGGAGCTACTTGATATTATACAGCGCCGACTCACATCTCCTTTCTTCTTTGTGTATGTGTGTGTGCATGCGTTGGTGTGCGTGTGTGTGTGTGTGGCGGGGTGTATGACGAGCTGCTGCTTTAAAAGTCGGTGTACGCGCCGTTCTCTTCGCTTACAACGCAAAACTCTCGAGTACGTGTTGCCTCGGAAGTTTCCTTTTCTTTTGTGCTTTTCTTCTTTGTACACACACACAAGATACAGCATCGCCCCATAGCTGCACAGGCTCTCATCCAAGGAAAGCGCACACGTGTGTGTGTGTGTGTGTTCGTACCCGGTATTGTTTACCTTTCACGTCGATTTATTTCATTGTATTTACTGTTTGTGTGATCCGCTCTCTCTCTCTCTCTCTGTGTGTGTGTGTGTGTGTGTGTTGCGAGGCCGTTTTCTATGCACCATCGTCTTAACACCCTCTTTTGTTCTTCGTACCTCGTTTATTCTTTTTTTTTTTTTTGAATTGATTGGCTTTCCTTTCTGTTTTCTCGGACGTAGCCCTCGTTGGAAGCGGCGCCGTTGCTCTGGGGAGTCACCTACATATATATATATTGCCTGTTGTTGCTTTTGCCGGTTCCTGTCCGCATCACCGCTCCCGCTTACGCGCTCTCCTTCTCCACCTTGTCATCGCGCTCTGTGGAGGAGCGCTCAACGAAATTAGAAAAGAAATTGGGAAAGTGGTGTCTCCACACTCCTCTGCACGACAAGAAGAAGCACGCTGAAGCGCTTTCTCACCCGCGTTGTCGAAGGCGCTCCCTTGTATCAAAATTTTAAAACAGAGCGTAGCAGAAATAAACGAAAGGAAAGCTACGGCCGCGACATCGGTTAGTCTTTGTCTTGTGTTGTTGTTGCGCTCCCCTCCCCCCTCCCCCCTTTCATCTTGGCCGTCATGAACTATGAAAAGCCAGGAGGGGTGATGCACGAGGTCATCCGCCGTGCCTTCGACGAGCTTCGGCTGCACAACAACCCACAAGGCACCATCACTATCGTCACCCACGCCTTAGCAAACGCAGATGACCTCCCACCGCTGTCGGGTGGCAAGGAGTACAACATGGACGCCATCCCGAGCACCTCGTCGAGTTACTCGCGAGCCGTGGAGTCGTATTCGAATGGCGGCGGTGGAGGAGACGCCGGTCGGCCACGCACGACGGGCAGCACCCAAGGCCCCGCCAGCACGTTGCAGTGGTTTACGGCGGGCCCGGTTGGGGTCGCCATTACCTCGCCCTCCCCGACAAGCTATAACCCCCTCGCTGCCTCTCTACCGCCGGGCAGCTCCGAGTGGCTGAACAAGCGCCACACTTTTAATCGCACCCAACTCTTACGCCTGCTGCTCATTCGCTGCGAGGCTTTTAGCGTGCTGAAGCAGCACTCCCGTGCTCTGCAGGACGCGGAGAAGGCCGTCGAGGTCTCGCAAGGGCAGTCCGCCGAGGCGTACTTCAACGTCGGCCGCGAACAGCGCCGACAGTTCAACATTGTCGAATCGGCTAGCGCCTTTGACACAGCCGAGGCGCTGCTGCGGTCCATGCAGCAAGCCATCGCAACCGGCAGGGCCGTCTTCGATGGCTGGAGCCAGGAGACGAGCAGCGATGAAGCCTTTTGGGCGGACCGCGGCTTTCAGATGGCGGAGGTGCGAGACATGGGCATCACCCGGCGAGAGTATGAGATGCAGGAGCGTAGCAGCCACCGCACGAATTTGGGCAGTTCCTCTAGCGGGCCGACGAGCCCGAACAGCGCCAACGGTCCGGCAGCCGCTACCTTCCGCGGTGAACCGGCGACACCGCTGTCTAATGCAGCCCGCGCCCGCGGCCGGGTCGGGGCGGAGGGCAACGACACAAGCGGCTTCGGCGTCTCACCGTGCGACGGCCAGACCTCACAGGGCAACTCCGCCATGACCCGCTCCTTCACCTTCAACACCAGCGGGACCGGCGATGGGGGTGCGAACAACAACAACAACACCAACACCAACGAAGACGGCGATGAGCCGGTGGCGACGTCGTACATGAGCGACTTGGTGCAGTGCGGCATGTCGACCAATGAACTGTCCATGTGGCGGCGACTGGCGAGTGAGTCGCGAGCGCTGCTGGCGATGCGGCAGTCGCACACCGTCCCCTCCACGGTGATCAGCTCCACCATGACTTTGCTGGACCGCCGCATCTCCGGCACCCGAGGCGGGCTCGTCCTCTCCATTGAAAACAACACCCACACCCCGCTGCGCTTCGTCGGCGCCCTCGCCCCGGACGGGCTCTACCACGACTCCTTCAGCTTCCCCCATGTGATCCACAAGTCGCACTGCGGAGTGTCGATGCTGCGCCCCCGCGGCTGGGGCGGCTACTCCGGCGCGGTGTGCTACGAGCTGCACGAGAACCTCTGCTGTTTTCTCTACTTCGACAGCCCTTTGCTCGGCTCGGTGAAGTACGGGGTGCGGTTTGTTGACCTGCGCGCGTCGGACCTGCGGCGCGCGTATGCCGAGGTGTACAAGGAGACGGGCGTGTACGGCATCGCCGGGGGCACCACCACCGCTGCGGTTGCGCCGCCGACGCCGGCCGTGACGACCTGCACGAGTAATAATAGCATCTTTAGCAGCGGCGGTGGCGGCGTCGGCAGCGGTGGGGCTGTCAACGGTCCGGGGGGCGGTGCGGGACGTGCCGGTGTGACAGGGGTCTCCATACGAGGTGCCAGCACACCGCTGAAGACCACCGTGGCTAGCATGAGCGCGGCACGGGCCGCCATTCGCATGCCGCTGTCCAACACGTGGGTGGTGGCGCACGCCGCCACCTCTGCCGCACAACGACCGGTGAAGGCTTCCTCGCGGATGTTGGGTGGGCTGACCATCGCGTTCTCGCTGGCGGAGGTGCTAGCGGTGCGGCTGCGCAGCGTTGAGCTGGTCCCCGCGCTGGAGTACGTTGGGGCCCTGACGCTGAAGAAAATGAGCTGCGTCAGTCGGCGCTACCGGGAGCTCATCAACAACCTGCCCCCACCTATGTTCTACGGGGTAGGCCGACGCTCGTACCCGGACTACTGCATCGGGTCCGACCGGTACATCTCCCCGTGGGTTGTGCGGGACCGGCAGCCCGTGACCTGGAAGTTTATCTTCGACGGGCGGATGGCCGACCAGGAGGAGTTCTCCGTATCGGACGTGAACGACATGCAGAAACACATTCTGTGCTTCTCCGCCGACGCACAGACGAAGGTGACGGGCTACGTCTACCTCGGCGATAAGCGCTGCCTGCAGTACATCATCAAGGAAAGCTGGATCCCCTTCAGCAACACGCTCTACCTCACCACCCCCGTCGGCCGCACCTTCGCCAGCTGCGTCGCCTTGAATAACCAGACGCAGTATACCCTGTCCTTGACGAGCAGCAGCAGCGGCAACGGTGTTGTGAGCGGGGGCGTGGACGGGGCCGGTGTGGCTGCACGACCTGGCGACGACGTGCTCTACACCGCCCGCAAACGGGTCTCTTCGGCCGGCGGCACCAACGAGGTGGCGCGTGGCACGCCGGTCAGCGCCGCGGCGGTGCCTGCGGGCGTCGTGCGCAACGGCGACGACGGGAGTAAGATGAGGGGAAGGGCGAACCCGTCTAGTGGAGCTCTCGGACAGCAACAAATGCAGCAGCAACAGTCCTCCGCAACCCCCACAGGAGTGGTAGAGATGGACAGCAGCGGCGGCAGTGCCCCTCGCGGCTCTCCCGGCCAGGCTGTCCTCACCAGCCCCGTCGGGAACGGGCCAGTCGCCACACCACTCGGAGGAGGAGGTGGTGGAGGGGTCGGCGTCAACACGATGGCCGGCACCACGCTCCACTCCGTCGCATCGGCTGTGCAAATGGCAGCAAGTGACGGCGGCGGTGTTGCGGTCACCGGCACGGTCAACAGCGGCGGCGGCAGCAGTGCGGCGGCGACGGCGGCTATTGCGACGGTGGCGGCTGCGGGCTACCCGACGCCGACGCAGCCCGAGTATTATACGATTTGGCGCTTACAGCGAGTCAGCGGCGGGGCGGTGGCAGGTGGGGCGGCGCCGACCACGACGAACGGTGGCGCCGACATCATCGCCGAGGTGAAGGTGAACCCGATGATGTACGGTATTGTGACGAAGGGCTACTGCGCGGCCGAGGTCACGCTCTTTACCGGTGCAGATGCAATGCTCGTGTCGCTGCTTTCCTTCTTGATAACTCGCTGGTGAGGAAGGCCGATAAAGCGAACTCTCTTGTCATTGTTGAGCATCTTCGATGCCCGGAAGTGCTCTCCGTGTCGAGCCGAGAGAGGCAGAGCGCAGCTCCTATTGCATGCCCTCCCCTCACCAACCGCCTTTCTGTTTCTGCCCTCCGCGGTTTTGCTGCTACCTCAGCCTCCGCACATTTCCTCTCTTTTCATTTTCTTTCCAGGTGAGAATCGTCCGCCGGTACTCCCGCAGTCCTCATATTTTTTTTTTCGCAAACAAACACGCAAAGCACGTGTCGAAGCGTTGCTGAAGTGCACTTGCGCACGTGTCTGTGCGTGTCTGTTTGGGTTGTGTGGGGTCCACTGTCGTTGCAGCGTGCTCTGACGTGAATGGGCATACGCATTTTGTTGACGAGGAGTCGGCGCTAATGGGTCTTGTTTGATTTTTCGAATGCACAGGTGCGAGGGTGTGTGTGTATGTGTCGAACACGGATGATGCTCGTATTTGTTGGTGTTATATGCTGCCTTCTCTGTACTTACTACGCAATTGTGTTCCCTCTGTGTCGCTCTTTTTCCCCTGTTGTTGGGGCTTGCTTATTTGTGTCTTGTACTTGCGTTTTTTTTTTTATTCAATTGTTTTATTTTTGCCATTACGAGTATTTGGAGAAACGAAAACGTTCTGATGCATAAGGTCGTACGAGATAAATTGGAAAAGACTCGAGACCGGCCGCAGTCGGTTTACACAGCTTTGCGGCCGAGTCCGCGCGCACTTCACGCGTGTCGGCGCCGACAAACTTCTCGTTGTTTTTTTTTCCTATTGCTTGAATTACTGAGCGGGCTCAACACGTAGCAAGAAGGAAGCAAAAAAAAAACCGTTGGACGCAACGTGAAACGCGCTCGGCTTTTCGTGTGCGTGTGTGTGTGGGAGCGCTCTTTTTCTTACGCGGTCATCCGCCCTCCGCGCCTCCGCTGTGTTTACCGTGACATCATCCACCGCTTCGTTCTTTATTTCGCCTTCCGCTTCTCTTCCTCGCGACTTCCACACGTCGCTCAACCGCGGCATAACCGGTCTGTTCTACCTCCCCGATGCACGCTGATTTTACCCGAAAGCAGCGAGGATTCATAGTACGGTTGAAAAATTGAGGTCTTTTTTTTTGAATATTTATTTCCTCCTTCCCTCCCCCCTCAAGCCCGTTGCTTTTCGTAGCCTGGACCGGAGTCTTCTCCACAGGAACGCACACCGTGCAACAACTACATCAAAACCCTACTTAATGCGAGAGCAAGATCCGAGAGCTTCCCGTGACACGAACAACACAAAGGAGGTGTCGTAATATATATATTATTCTAAATTCCAAAACAAGAACAACAACCGAACCTTGGCACAGATCTTCAGACAGGGAGAGGGAGAAATATTTGCTCGTTAAAAAAAAGACAAAGTGGGAAGACATTATTTCTTTTTTTTGAATGTTTTTTTTTTCTTACCGCGGACATCTCCGTAGTGTACGTCTTTCCGTCTTTGCCTCCTTCAGTTTCTCGAACATAAAAGTCAAAAGCACATTGATATAAATATCTATTTATTTCACTACTTCTTTCCTGAAGCACGTCATCTCTTTTTCTTTTGTTTCATTTTTGAACAGCTATTCGCGTAGCAAGCAGGCGAAGGTCGCGTAATTCTTATCGCACTTCTTTTCCCTTCCCTTTTGTTTTCGACACATTGAGTTTCTTCTTTGTCTTTAAATATATATAAATTACCCTCCTCGTTTCAAATTCAGCTCTTTTTTTTAGGCGACTGCAAATCGTGTGTGCAGCTCGTTTGTAAATCACGGATATCCGCTGCCGCGTTGACACCACCATTCTTCTCGGATTCTTTTATCCCCTGCTGAACTTGTTGAAGAGAGGAGACCCGGTTCTGTATCCGCGTTGGCGTCTGATTTGCGGTTGGAGGCATCAGTGCAAAAAGAAAAGGTTTTTTTTAGCAAAACGACAAATCAACGTATTCTTCTTTTCCTGGTAGTTTCGACTGTCTCCCACTCACACGTGCTGATAGTGGATTTTTTTTCTTACCTTTTTTGTTCTTGAAGAGAAGAAAAGTGCCCTTCAGTTGCGTTTCGCTGAGCATCGTACCGCCTCCATCGGTGTCGCATCGTTACGGAAGTTGACGTTAGCAGTCCTTTTTTTTTTTGTCCTTAATCGTCACCGAGAAATTACAGCCCGTTCGCATATCCTCTTCTACACGTTCTTTTCTCTCTCTCTCTCTCTCTCTCTCTGTTGGGGAGTTGTTGTTGTTTTTCTGAAGGCTTTTTCTCCTTGCCGTGTTTGCCCGGAAAGCTTGACGCGCTTCTGCGGTGTTTTCCTCTTGTCCTCTTCATACCCGGCCTGCACTGCGGCTCGAACGCCCCACCATCCTCAAAAGGCAAAGAGAAAAACAAGAAAACGAACGTTGTCGAATAACGAAGGCAAAGTAAACGAATCTCGTGTAAAGCGTTATATATATAAACTCTATTTGTTTTCTTTCTTTCTCTTTGTATGTGCGACTGCACGTGTAATACATCATGAATGGTTCTTTCTCTCCCAAGAAGAACTCCTCACTTAGGCGAGCATCGCAGCCGCCCCTCTGTGAAGGATGGCTAGAGAAGTACGCGCTGTGTCGTGGCATGTTCATCGCCAAGGGCTGGCATCGCCGCTATGTGTTTATCACCAACGACGGCATTGGGTTCTGTCACACCAACCCGCGTGAAAAGGGGGTCTATCCAGCCAACCGTCCGCTGAGGGCCTCGCTCGCCAAGACGTTCATCCCGTTTACACGGCGGCGACGTGGGGAGCTGGAGCTGGAGCCCGTCTACTTCATCGGGGACGTGAGCGCGGCGCGGCACCCGGCCGTCCCGCAGCACAGCCACAACGGCATTTGCAGCGAGGTCGTCTCCTCCAGCGACGGAGGAAGCCTCAACGGGCTCGCAAAAGACTTGAAGAACACCGACGGGGCAGCGGCAAGCCACAGCTGCACCTACTACTACTTCGGACTCAGTTTTGAGGAGCACCGCAGACGTTATCTGCTGCTGCTGCGCACCGACTCACCACAGGCGTACATGAAGTGGACGATTGTGCTACCGCTGTTTGTGAATGAGGGGAGCGCGACGCGGCTGGTGCCGGCCGGACACCCCCTCGAGGCCGGGCGACCACCCCCGCTCGATGTCAACTACCGCCGTCTGACAGACAAGAAGAAGTCGACGCTGCCGAACAGCGTTGGCTTTTACTTTGACCCCGACCCGTGCACCGCGGAGGAGTACGAGAAGGTGTGCCGTATGTGCCTCGACTGGGATGAGGGGGAGCGAGAGCACCTCTTCCAGTGGGCCGCGAACCGTATCCAGTGCATGTGCAAACAGTCCGACGACAGCGCGACGGACGCGTTAACGACGCTGCAGGAGCAGACCGAAGAGGAGCATCGCCGCGATGTCGGGCATCAGTTCGATGTCCTGGGCCCTGCGGTGCTGTCCTACGAGACGCACCACTCGCCCCATTCGAATGAGCACCCGCTGGAGGACTCCATACTTCATTCCGTGACGCGGAACACGAGCCGGCTCATGGAGGCGGTGGATATCATGGCCGATGACGTGAGTGGGGCGAACCATTCGAAGCAGCTTTCGCACACCTTTGCCCCGAATCCGAACTTGGCGGTTCCGCTGCGGAAAAACATCCAACCGCGTCCCGCCAAAAGCGGCCCCTACTCGGAGATCTCCGCCCATGGGGCGACGGTGTAAAAAAAAAAAAAGGAGCTCAAGAAGGAAGGAAAGGAAAGAGGTTGTCGTTGTATTTGTGAGATAAACAAAATCGTAAAGGCAAGTATGTTTGCTGGTTTTAATGCTGCTTTTAATTTTTGTTGTTCTGTTGTTTGTGTCCTTCATAGTAAGCGTGGCACGCATGTTTTAGTAGAGTGATTCTTTATCATCGAGAACCGGTAGCGGCGCTGACGGTGCTGACACTTTCTTCCTCATTATATATATCCTTTTTCTTCACGTACACTTGTTGACGTGCAGTGTTGGCACCAGAAGTTGCTTCAGCTTTTTTCCTTCTCTCTCTCTCCGTGATGTTACAGAATACCGGTGTAGAAATCATCTCCGCTTTCCCTCTCATCGTGTGTTCTTTCCCGTTGTTCTTCTTTTCACGTGTGCTGCGTGTGTGTGCTGTCTCTTTGCTGTTGTGTCTTCTCCTCCCCTCTGCGCTTTTGTTGTTTGTTTCGCTCTGCGTCTGTACGGTGCGGCGGAAGCGTTGAGTATTTGGCTGTCGGTGAGGACTCGCTGTTGTAGTCTTTGCGCTTCAAATTGTGTCCGAGGTGTGCTTCGCGGGTCCAACGTTCCTCTTCACGTTGGGCTGCAGAATAAATGTCGTGCCAAAAAAGGCAAGACGGGAAAAGGGGAAATAAAGATGGCCGTCGTCGTGCGCCGTGATATTTCTTTCTTTTTTTCTGGTTTTCCTTTTATGTGCCTTGTTGTTGTAGCCGTCGCAGCCTCGACCGCTTGACCTGGATGCATCATCTTCGTGTGCGTATGTGTGTGCGTCTTTTTAAAGTTTTTTTTTCTCGTCTTCATTGTCTTTGAGGTCGGCAACTGCCAGCAGTGTATTGATTTCTATTTCATTTGAATGCGTCCACGCGTTGCACGCACACACGCACGCACACACACCTGATTCGTCTGTTCTTCTTCTCCTACCCCTCCGCCGTGTGACATCACGTATTTTATGGCGATTTCGGTCTCTGTGTGTTCTTTCCCCATTTTTTATTCGTTTTTTCCGTAATGATGCTGTGTGACTCATCATCTTTTTTTTTTTGAAGTACATGTTTTTCTCATGCAGTGCGGTGCAGTGCATCGTTGATTTCTTTCTTGATTGTCGTTGTTATAGTGCGGAGTATTTTGCGCTCCTTTCTCTTCTATGGTGCGTGAGAGTTTGTCTGGTTTATTACTATTATTATTGTTGTTGTCTCATCGCTGGTTGTTCTCGTTTCGCCATACTTATCTTTTTCTTTTTCGTTTTTTCTCCTCCTTGGTTTTGCTTCCCTGTGGGCGTGCTCGGGTCGTGGCAGGAAAGAGAGCGAGGAAGCAACGAAGATGGCCGCAGTGATGTGGGGATTGCAGTGCTGGCGCTGCGGTCCACGGCGTGATGTCGTCCATCCCTCGAAGTCTATGTTTGCGTTATATTCCTATTTTTTTTTCTTGGCTTGTGTTTACTGTGCTGTTCTCTTGTCCATGCGCGGTTGGCGGAGGAGAGAATGAGGTGCTGTTGATGTTGATTGGTTGTGTTGTTACTATTTTTTTTCTTTTTCCCTTTTCACCGCTGTGGATGCTTTGTCCATGCAGCCGTTTTTTGTGTCAGCTGTGGTACTGACTTCTCTACCACGTTACAGCGTAAGCGAAGCTAAAAGGAAAAGAAATAAAAACTACGTCTCAGAAGGGTTTCAATGAGAACTATTTCTGCATCTGCTTCTTGAGCGAGCGGTTCCCGTGGTCGTCCTCGCCTCACCCGCCGCCTTCTCTGCTTTCCCTCTCCCATACACATATGCTTCCCGTCTGTAAGGCGATCTCGCGATTACAGCAAAAAGGCGCTGGATAGTGTTATCCGAGCTCAGAAGCAGAAGAAGAAGCATCGCGTTGACGGGGATGATGTTTTTTTTTTGTTGTTTCCCTGCTACTTTCTCATTTCGGCCGTGGAGTGTGAAGGTTGTGCATAAAGCCCTGCGTTGATGTGTATCGCCTCCTTAATCCGCTCTTTCCGCTCTTTCCCCTCCTACCGCCTCCACTGGTCTCAGCGTGTACAACGAAAACAACGTCCACTCGCGGATCGGGCAGTCACACACGTGAACTCGAACAACAGCAGAAAAAGAATATACTCTCGAGAACATTTTCTTCTTCTCTTTCCTTCTCAGTGTCAACGTATCAGCAGGCAACAACAGAAAGCGGAGACCCAAGAACAAGAAAAGAAATAGAGCGAACTCCACGAAGTCTCAACGAGAACACGCGCACACATCAGCTTTGTTTGTTTGTTTGCTTCTTTTGGCGTCACCGTTCTTTCTTTCTGTTGATGTTGTTTCGTTTCCCGAAGAGCACACGACGCACCTCGAGCCGCACGTAGATCGACATCGCTGTGGATAGAAAGAGAGAGCCAGCACACGTTATTAAACCATGGCAATCTTTCATACGCATAGACAATCATTCTAGACCGAACCTGCAAACGAGCAAACGGATATATATATATATATATTTTCCTCCTTCTTTCTTTTTTTCTTTTGCCACACGCTGCCGCGTCATGCATGGGTAGCGCCTTCTGCATGTCCACGCCCTGCACCACCGTCGCCACCGGCTCCCCGGTAAAGCTCAGCAGCTACGCCGGCGTGCCCCTTCATGCGTTGGTGGCGTACGAACGGGCCGCGCTCGACCTCCCGCACGACGCGGAGGTACTGCGACGGAACGCAGCGCTGCACCTGCAGGCAGCCCTGCACACACCGTTAACAGAAACCAAAGACCAAGTACACCTTCCTTTCTTTTCCAGAGCAACTCGACGGGTTTCGTCAGACGAAGCGCTCACTCCTAACGCGCCAAGAGACAGCTACTACGTTGATGGCGTGCCTGTGTGGCTACAAGAGGTGGCACAGCTCTGGAACGCGTCTAGCAGCGAGCAGAGACGCTGTCTTTGTCGCAGCAGTGGTGGTGCTGCGGCGGGTAGCGCGTCTTCAGCGGTGTTGCGCGCCGAGCAACAGGCAGCGTGGGTCAACGGAACCACCCAGCAGCTGCACGACTTTGTCTCGACTCACAAATTTGTGACGGCGCTACAACACGCAAGGAAGCTACTAAAGAGGCGCCCACAGGGTGCACATTCGCCGCCATCTTCTTCTTTGGCAGGACAGCTGTCGTCGCAGCCTGTCTTTGCGGAGCTGTTGCGGTCCTACGAGGCTCTGGCTTGTGCGATCAACGGGGGACCTGCGGCCTCCGCCAGCACCGCTGTCGGCACGTCCATCACGGCCAGCATGTGGTGTGTGCTGCTCTGTCGCTTCTTGCGGAGTCTTCCCGAGCCGCTGATGCCCGCGTTGTGCAGTCGTCGACTGGAGCCGCTGCTGACCCAAACAGTTCCTCGTCCAATCGCCGAGCCACAAGGCAAAGCCCCGACACTGCCATCGTTGTCGTCTGCGGCTCAAAGGACGGCGCTGCGGGTGACGCTGGACTCCTTCGCAGCCATCAGTGCTGTAGACTACGTCACGTTCTGCTTCGTATTACACCTGATGTATCAGCACCGGACCGAGGTGACGGGCGGCGAGGTGGAGGCGGTGGCTGACGCGATGGTGCGAGAGGCGGCAGTGCCGCACGTTGTGCGGGAAGTAGCTCACGCCTGCAAGCCGGAAGCGCGCATGTTCTGGCCCACCGCACAGGTGAACATCGATGTCACCTCCGCCAAAGCGCAGCAGGAAGTGGAGTATGTGCTGCCTACCACGACAACGGCAGTGCAAAGCAGTGGCGAGGATGACAGCAAGATGGGCTTGCGCAGTGGAAAAGCACTTCCGCGAACGGGTGCCGCAGCACCAACAGCGGTTCGAGTGCAGACCAGATCGGAGGGGACGTCAGTCGGTCGTGGAGGCATGGCCCTTCCATCGAGTGAAGAGGAGTCAAGCAGCACGAGCGACGACAGCAGCGTCGCGAGCTCTACGTTCACCAACAACAACAACAAGAAGCAGCTGGAGACTCCTCTCGAAGCGGAGGAGAGCACACCGAAGCACTCAGGCGCCTTCGCGGCCCCCAACGGGGAAGTCCAGAATGCGCTGATCCAACAGCCTGTGGGAAACGAAAGGCCTCCGCCGACGAAAAGCAGTGCAGCTGGTGGGATAATGCAGTGGCACGACAGCTCCTCATCGTCTTCAGATAGCGATGAAGTCGACGACGCTGACGGTGTCAGTGGAAAGGTTCTCAAAGCGACGAAGTCTACTGGGAACGCTGCAGCGGTCGACACGCGGACCTCTAGACGTTTACCCGCGGCAACCGCAGACACAGTACACGCAGCGATGGCGGCAACAGCAGGCCCAAGCACGTCTACTGCACCTTCCAGCGTAGATAAAGCTCACACTGCCCAGCACGGAACGGCCGCTTCCTCTTCTTTCTCAGAGAACAATGCTCTGCTCCCCAAGTCCCAGCTGCCTCGCTCCGTCAACACCACCACTATTACCTCTACTGCCGTGTTCGCTGACACCCCTTCCATGGTCGGTGTCTCGCCTGTTCGCAAGAACGAATTCTCACTGTTGTCCCGCAATGAGCGCGATGGTACCATCACGGCGGAGGAGGAGGGAGGAGAAGGAAGGGACGTCAGAGACACAAGCATTCCCTCCGCCCTCTTCTCCCGACACGACCACAGCAACACAGAGAGGGTGATGCGCGAGGACGAGGACGGGATGCCGCCCAGCGCGCTCGTCAACCAACCCGAGCCCATGCCACTGCGCGCGAGTCGCAACAGCTCCGCCTTGCATCCGTCTGCGCTGGAGGACCCGCTGGCTGAGGAGGGCGCGGCGGAGGCGCTGCGCCGTGCGCTGCAGATGTTCCGCGAGGTGCCCCCTGCTGCCGCACCGACGGGTGTCAACGCCTCTTCTCGCTCGCCCGCCCCGGTAGGTCCGAGTCGCGAGCGCGATGAGACGGGTGCAGGTCAGCCCTCCGATGTACGCAGCGCGCCTCGCCCACCCGGGATGCTTCCGTCGTCGCCGTGCACGGCCGGTTTGCTCACGCCGCGTGATTTGCTGCATCACCAGCAACAGCAAGAAGAGCAACGAGACGCGCAGCAGCAACGACCGCCTCTGTCGAGCACGACGTCTGCTGCGTTGCCGCCGACCGGGACAGCGCGTTCGGCCACAGCGTCCAGTACGCCCGCAGCTGCTTTGACCGCACTGACAGCACGGCCGCTGCTGGCGGCACTGCTCGACGCAAAGCAGAGATTTCTGGCCGCGCCGGTGTGCCCGCCGTTTGTCTTGTGCAACCACCAGCACGGATGCAGCACCGTGGCAGTGCCTCCGTTTGCGAAAGAGGAAGGGGACGAAGCCTTCTCAGTGTTGACCGGGCAGTCCGGCGTTCCAACGGGCCCTCCAGCTCGTGATGGGTCGCACAGCGTTGCAGCTTCAGCGATAAACAACATCAGCCATTTGGCCGAACTGCCGCCGCGCACCGATCTTCTTCCCCAGCGTGGTCAAGTCATGGAAGCAGCAACGGAAGTCACGGCGTACAAATGGACTTCCGCACGCACAAGCGGTGCTGGTGCTCCTTCTGACCTGCCTCCTTCAAACACCTCCATCCCTCCTGAAGCACAACGGACGCTGCCCGTCGGCGTCGTCGTCAACAGCAACAGCAGCGCCGGCGGTGATCAGCGTGCGTCGGTGCGGTCGCCCTATGAAGTGCACCGTCTTTCCACCTCCTCCACCGTCGCCTCTGCCTCTGCCTCCCTCCTGCGCCTCGAGCACACGACGGAGTTTCGCAAAGGCAGCGGGCGGAGCACCGTATTAACCGAAGGGAATGGGAAGGCGAGGGAAGGCAACTTCGATGCGACGCGCACATCGCTGCTCACATGCTCTCCCGATGCAGATGCGTTAACCAGGAACAGGGAGGACGTCGACGCAGACGCACAGGGAGGCTTAATGCGCAGGCGCCTCTCCGGGTCGTCGCTGGTCACCCCGGACGATACCGCCCTCACCACCACCGTCAACGCCGCGACGTCGCTCACTTCGATGGAGCGACAGCTGCGGGGGCTGCGGGATGTCGTGCGTGCGCTGGAAAGCAACCAACTTGTGCAAGCGCGGCAGGCAGCGGCGCAGACGTCCGAGCTGACGGCGCGCTGTGCGGAGTTGCAGTGTCAGCAACGCGAGCAGGAACAACAGCTTCGTCATGCGCAGTCCCGATTGACGGCGGTGCGGCATGAGCTGGAGGACCTGAAGGATGATAAAGCGAGACTGCAGATGCAGCTGACGGCGGCGCGGCAAGAAGGCGCCCAGCTGCGTGACGCCCTGTTGACGGGCCCAAGTCGCATATGAGCTTCTCTTTCGACGACGACGTCGCACAAACCACCGTATTGCTCCTCTTCGTAATTCGCGTACGTCTTCCATCGCTCTGGCCCGCTGCACGAGACGCAACGACATGGGTCCAAGGGGCACTAAGAGAGAAGAGACGGAGGCGCATCGGCGCCGTCCTTTTTTTTCTTCCGCTTTTCCCTTTCTTCGATGCGAAGTAATGCCAAGCGTGAGGAGCGAGAAAAGACCGGAGCTGTGCGTCTTTCCGCAGCCTCCCCCCCCCCTCCCCCCTCCTTCTTCCCCTCTCGCCCAACTCTTTCTGATCCTCGTTCTTCCCTCGCGCTTCTCGCCCCTTCATGAAAATGATTGCAAATCAAGCAGCCGTTGTTTTTTTTTTGTTTCTTGCCTCGTTGCAGAGGGTAGAACCGGCCTCAAGACGTGCCACGCACACGCACACCCAAACTAGCACGTCACTCCCGAGTGTGGCAGCAGCAGCAGCAGCAACAACAAAATCTATTCCTTCGCTTTACGGCTGTAATTGTACCATTCTCACCCCCTTCTTCTTGTGTTTTTATATCTTTAATCGTTTCTTAGATGCTTGGCGGACCGTATCCTCCACGGGTGGTACCCGCCAACACCACTGGCGACGGTGCAGTTGGCTACCACAGCGTCGACCGTGTCGACCACCCCTCTGTGCGACGCGTCGCCGCCCCGACGACGACGGCGACCACCGCAACCGGACTGCAGCCGACCCCCTTCGCACCCTGCGGCATCCCGTGGAACCGGCTGTACAGCTCCAGCACTACACTCCGACCACAAGAGAACCACGAGGACCGGCGCAGCTACAACAGCAGAGCGGAGGCATCACCGCTGCGAAACAGTCCGCGATCAACCCCGCCAGCGCCTTCTCCGGCGGGCGCTGCTGCTGCTGCTGCTGCTGCTGTCTCTTCGTCCCTGCTCTATCGACCCCCGTACTTCTCCGCCACGTACCCGTCGCCTCCGCCACCGCCGCCTGCTCCGACCGGGGCACCGGCAACGGTCGTTGCCTACGACGCGGCTGTTAGCCATCGCTACCACGCCGACGAAACCATTCCCGCCTCGCAGCGCCACACGGCAGCAACGACACAAGCCCCGACGTCCATTCTGTCGACGAGCACTGCGCTGAGTAGCCGATATCAACAAATGGCAGCGGAGCACCGCTACGGTGCAGCACTGCCGGCTGCAGGTCAGGCAAAGGCGGCGCATGCTCGACAGGAGCGGCGCGATGACGTGACGCATCACCAGAACGGCTCTCGCGACGAGGTCGGTGCTCTCCCGCCGCGCAGTACCCAAAACAGACGGCAGTCGCCTTTTTCCAGCAAGCGGAATGACGACGACAGTGACGACGACCGGGCTGATCGAAAGGGCGTTGAGGGGCCGCGCACGAGCCGTTCGATGAGCAGTCGTGTATCGCAGAAGGGCAGCACCACCGTCGCCGTTGCGCCGAAGGAGGAGACGCGTCGAAGTCGCAGCAACAGCAGCAACAGCCGCCACAGCCGCGGACCACAAAGACGCGGCGGCCCTGTGCGAGCGGCGTCCTCTCCACCGCAGCGTCCCACACGCACCGCGGCTGTCCCGCGTCAGACACGTTCTGCCTCGCACGCCTCCCCCCGCACCGCGCAGTGGGCGGTGAAGTTGATTGACGAGTTTGTCGCGCAGGTCGCCGTGCAACAGGCCTCCGCCGCCACGGGGCCCGCCATCGTCTCTACGCCTCTGCCCTCCACGAGTCTCGGTAGACGTTGCACCGATGCGAGGGGTGCGACAGTTGCCGGGCCTCACCAGAAAGACCCCACCTCCGTCACTGTGGCCGATCTCACGACGTCGTTTCTGGCCGCGCGCTACGGTGCCCTGCAGTGGCGGCCAATGCTGCAGGAGTTTGCGGTGTGCCTCCATCGCTTCCACCTGTTGAGCCCGACCTGCGCCGTCTTTCGTGAGTACTTCATTCACGTGGACGCCGACGCGCTGCGGGATTTTCAGCTCTTCTGTCGCCTCTTCGCCGCAGCAGACATCCCGCACTGCTCCACGGTGGAGACGCGACGAGTAGCGCTCGGCGACGGCCAGCGTCGCAAAGACACCCACACCATCGTCGCCCGTCGCTACGTCGAGGTGCGGGAGGTGGTGGACCGGCTGCAGAGGATGCTGCAGCGCGTTGTGCTGCTGGACACCGCCCCGTGCGTGGTGGTGGCAGACGGAAACTTCGGCGATGCCTCGCGACGCCGCAGCCATTCCGCTAGCACGGCACGTCGTTGCCGCCAGGGAGGTGACGTGTCGTATCGCTTCGGTCGCGGGCCACCGGCGCGCACAACGACGGTGCCGCGACGACGGCGGTTGACAGCGGATGAAGTGTACGCCGTGAAGAGGGTGGTGGTGACGTGGCTGGAGGACTCGGTCGAGGCGGAGCGGGATGCAGCGGAGAGGTCGGCCGAGGAGGAAGACGAGGACGCGCCGACGACGCTGCGGCACATCGCGTTTGATCGCCCGGGCCGGGTGGACGCGTACGCGCTGCTGCAGGCGACGTTGGAGGCCGTAAAGCTTCTTTGCAACTCCGCCCCACCGCCGCATCGTACGTGTGCGGACGTGTCCAACAGAAACGAATTGGATGCGGACGACGACGACGACGAAGAAGAGGCGGAGGCGGAGGACGACACGGAGGGAGACCTTCGGCGAGGAAAAGCGGAGAGGGCACCGGTCTTGGTAGAACACAACGGGCGTGAGGGACGAAGGCAACGCCAGGACGGGGCACGCACCACCTCTCCCCAAGCACATCAGCAGCCACCGTGGCAGGCGACGGCATCAAAGCCGATGAGTCCGCTGGTGCGGCACGTTTTAGCCTCGCCGCCGCACGGATACGCCTACCCCGTGGAGGAGCCGCACAAGTCATCTCCCGTCTCCGCCGTGCGCGGACGACTGACACCGTCGTCAGCGCGTTGCTCCCCAGTCCGTCCTTCTCACGCCTCGCGACGACACACGAGCGAGGTGGACTACTTCGAGGGCAACTTACCCTACGAGGAGGAAGAAGGAGGAGTAGAAGAAGAAGCCGGTGATGAAATGGCGGATGGACGCCGCTGCCGTAGCGGCAGCGGTCACGACGAGCGACGCAGGGATCACACACCGTCGTACCGACAGCCTCGCGCTGCCTCCGCCGCCACCGCAGCTGCGATCGCGGTGCACCGCGCCCCCGACGGTCGCCTCTGGTCCCCACCGCGCGACGGTGTGCTTGTGCATCGTGGAGGAAGAGGGGAAGGACAGAGACAGCCTCTGTCGCACAGGTCAAGTCGTAGCCCGTCACGCCGTCGGTCCTCTGCTCAACCCGGTGACGCGGTCACGTCGCCTCGCCTCTCCTCTCGTGAACGGACTCAGCAACAGCAACATCAAGGAAGAGAGCGGCGCGGCAGCGACGGTAGAGAGGAGAGCGAAGAGGATAGGGAAGAGGAGCACGACTACGGCCGCGATGACGGCCTATCGCTGCCACGCCGTTCTGTTCACGCGTACGTGGCGAACCTCCATGCGGAGAAGCGGTGGCAGGAGACGCAGCAGCAAGTGGCAGCGGCGGAGCGTCGAGATGCCTTCTGGCGGCAAAACCCCCGAATTCAGGCGCGACTGCAGCAGCAGCAGCTACAGCAGCAACAGCTGCCGAAAACCTCGTACCGAAATAGCAGCAGTGACCCTGCGTTGACTGCGACTGCCGCTGGACCGGCCTTATCGCCGTATGCCGACACATCAGCGGTAGACGCCACAATCAACGACATCGACAATGAGCTGCGTCGGCGGGAGCGGAGCCACGGCCGCTTACGAGCGACGAAGAACGAAGCTCGGCGCGAGCCCCCACAACCGTTGTTCGCGGCGTTAGCATCACCACCGCGGCCCGTGCAGGACGCGGTGTACCTGCGCAACCTCCAAGAGGCAGCAGCGTTCGCTAGCCAACAGGTCCGTCCGGTGCCTCCACCAGAGCTTGCTCAGCCTGCCGACAAGGCAATGATGAGGGCAACAAGCGAAGATGACGGCGCCTACCCTCCTCGCATTTATCCAATACAAGAGAGCAGAGCAGCGGGCCCGCCATCAGGCCACAACAGTCGAATCCGGGTAGAACAGGTGACTCCACCCGCGTCTGTCGCTGCTCGTCTCGCGACTGCTGCCCCTTCACCACCTCCTCCGTCTGCCGACGTGCGTTTGACAAAGGACGCGGCTCTCTCCAAAGAGGCGGTGTTTTTGACTGATGAGGAGCAGGCGATGTTAGATCAGCTGGAGGTGGCGCTGCGGCGACTCGACGGGCAGCACCGCCTTGACCACGCTGCAGCCGCTACAGCAGCGACGACGACCGCAGCCGGTGTAGACAGAACTGGCTACTAGATTGTAGTGCTGTGTGGGTGATTGTTACTTTCATGTGTTTTTCGAGCGATTGAATGCACCGCTTCAGCGTATGTTTTTCCCCTCTCTCTTGTATGCGTGTGTGTGTGTGTGTGCAAAGACTGTGCGAAGTTGCGGACTACGCCGTTACTTGTTAAAATATATATACATATATTGCGTACTTCAATTCCATTACTTAAAAAAATAAGAACACGAGAGATCTTTCACTGGGGCCAAAACGTGTTTGCGATGCAGACTCTGTCTCCTCCCCTCCCTCCCTTCTCTTCGACACACACAAACGTATTGGCTGCTCTGCCACCGTCTGTAACTGTTTGCCGAACGCTGATGTCACAAACCTAGTCCAAATAAACCACATATCGCATCCTTCGCTTGCCGCTGCATCTCCCTCTTTTTCTCCTCCTCAAGTTTTTTTTTTTAATTCAAGTCTTGTTTCACTTGAAAGAAGCGCTTTTCACAGCAGACCGCTTACAGCTTCTTGCCACGCCAGCAACCGTCACCATGCGATCATAGGAATCGAAGGCAGCAGTGCTGGCCACAGTACACGCATGGGATTGTATGGTCTAGGCGTTGTGCCCGATGAGGCCGATAGATCTCGCAAAATGCCACTTTCTCGAAACCGGGTTTTATGATAGTTAGTATTATAGAAGGAACGTTCTCGCTCTCTGCCTTTCATGCGCTCTCTCTCTCTCATATACTAGCTCTTGATATTTGACCAGGCGGTGCAATGACGACAAGTATCAACGTCGACTGCTCTTCTCCTCGATGGCAGTCGCTGGGCCTACGTGGCTCGGCAGCCTTTTGCTAATACCAACGTGCCCGTGGCTCACACCTCATTTTGGTTTTTCCCCTTTCTCTTCTTTCCTCAGTGCAGGTGGAAGCACTTTCTTGCGGTGATCGCGGCGGGGGCCTCAGTTTGTGTGTGCGTGTGTGGGTGGTGCATCGGCTCACGCTCTCTGCGGTGCGTTGGCGATCCAACGCGTCCTTTTTCGGGTCTTCCCTTTTCTGCTGAGTCTTTTGGGTTTGTTTTTTGTGTTTTCCTTGTTGTGGCGTTCTCTCTTATGCCCCTCTTTGAAACGGCGCTGTATACGGTACTTCATGGGTCAGTGGAGAAGAGAAACAGAAGTGACGTGGCCATGAAGTGCGGTGTAGTGAGGTGTTTATGAGAGGGGGGCGGGGGAAGCGGAGAAGGAGGAAAGCGGGTGCGGATGAGAGGACGGGATAATGAAAAAATGGAGTGTCTGTGTATGCCGCCACCGGTGTGTGCACACACACACAACATCAACGCCGGTGAAGGGAGTGAGCTGCTTTTTTTTTCTTTTAAACTCCTGTGGGGAGGTGTGTTGCGGCGGGAGGCGCACGGTGTTTCCTCGTTCTACCTTCCACGGTTTAAAACGAAACAAAAACCACCTTCGCTCACTCTTCACCTTTGTCTCGCTCCTTGCCTTCTTCTTCTCCTTTTTGGAGGGAAGCCTTGTTCACCGAAACGCTGGAGGAGGTGTGCTCTGCGATGGGAGGAAGAGGCGGGGGGGGGCGGACAAACCCGTGTACCCTAACCCTAGTGTGTGCGAAATCGCTCGCGATCGCTTCGTCGTTCGCCGCACCGCCTCCACTGCCTCTCTTTTCTTCTCTTTCCGCCCGGAAGAACCGCCAACGCTTCACCTGTTCAGATTATTCGATGGGAAAATCAGAAAAGGAGGAGTTTGGATATGTTTTTGGGCGGCAGGATTGCGGAGAAGAGAGCAGCGCGGAAAGGGTGTGTGTGTGAACGGCGAAGTTGGCTCTGTGGTGGGCGCCCAAAACTTGCGTTCGCAAAAGAGATGCATCATTGTAGTTGTTTTCGAACAGCAACAGCGGCCTTCTTTTTCGCGCCGAAGCGGGTGGACAGCGTTCTCACACAGATGTTCTCTTCTGGTTGGTGTTCTCCTGTGAACTCCTGTTCTTTGTATTCCACACGTCGCTTTCTCCTTCTTTTTTTGTTTTCCTGTCTGTGTGTGGGGAGAGTCCACTAGGATGTGCTGCCCCACCTCTGTCTCGCTCAACGGCCTTCTTGTGTACCGCAATGTTGTAGTCCTCCTCGACTTTCTTCATCTCATCGACCTTTTTGGGAGCCCCGCCGTGCATCGCCTGCGTTACTGGAAGAGTTAACCCCTCTCCTCTTTTCTCACCGCGAGACGAGAACCTCTGCGTTCTTTTGCGTGTGTCCTTTTTTTAATCTCGATCTTCCTTTCCTCCGCCTTTCGACGCTTCTCCTCTCCTCTCCTCTCTGCGTGTGTGTATGTGCGTGCGTGTGTTTGCTTCTTCTTTCCTGTATCCTGCGCTTTTACGCTGACAACAACAACAGCAAGTATGTGTAACGGGACGTAATGATGTCCAAGGAGGAAGGGGCTCCGTTCTTGAGGCGTGAAAGGGGGGAGGAGAGAGTCGGCCATCCACGCGTGCGTGCGCCACCTTAAAGGACTCGCAAGAATCCGTGGTCTTCTTGTTCTCGTTGGGGTGGTGAAGAGAAGGGGAGGGAGTCCTCGTGTGTGTATGTGTGTGGCGAGCGGAGAGACGTGCGGGAGGTGAAGGGAGGTGCCGAGTCGGAGAAGGGGAGGAAGGCGTTGAGTGATGATTTCTTTTTTTGTCTTCGGCACGCTGATCGTTCCTGCCGTCGCTGACTTGGGCGTTCACTGTCATTTGCAGGAGACTTCGTTGCAACGAATACGCCGCCTTCGCGAAGAGGCATGCAGAAGAAAGTAATACTTCATGAATGAAAGGGATCTGTAAAGGGCGTAATCGCGGTGCGTGACGGCCTAAACACGCCACTGGGCACACGCAGGCACCGCTGTGGATGTGTCTGCGCCTGTTCGGAGGGAGGAGGGGAGTGGGGAGAGAAAACGGAGATGGGAAAGGGACGAGGGTTACGAGCAGCAACGGAGCACCAGCTTCTTGACGTATGGACGGAGTAGAAGGGAGCGAACGGCCACTAATGCGTCAATGAAGGAATCACAGAGAAAGGGAGAGAGGGTGTGGGGAGCTTCGATTGATTGACTCTTGAATACATGCCGGAGCGTTTGCTGGGTGCGAATGGCTCCCACTCTGGGGGGGGGGGGGACGTCTCTTTTGGTTGCCGTAGTGGGCTACGTTTTAAGCGGTCCGGTGCGTTCTCTCATTTTCACCACATTATTATTGTTGACATCGGTGCCCGAGCACGATCTTCGTTGTATGTCGCACCTGATTCGACTACTGCATAGTCCTTTCTTTTACATTTGCTGGAATGGAAAATCTATCTGACGTTTACCAAAGTGGTATGCTTTTTTTTTTCTTTTTGAAAGCTGCAACAAACTCTCTGTTCCTCTCTGCTCAGCCACGGTGAAGTACGACTAGTTTAACGGCAGTTTCTGCTGCTAACTTTACGGCGTATTCTAACAACAAACAAAAAGGAACGCTGCGAGTGAGATGACGGTGTGGCGGTTGCGTTGATCGGCGTAACACCTGTTTACACTTCTATGACGAGGCAGAAACCTCAATTACTCTCTTTCCAACACATAATCCTTTCTTCCCTGATTGTATGGCCTGCTTTTCTGAATTTCGCACACACACACACACACACACACAGGGCGAACAGACCTTTCGTTTTTTTTTTCTCATTGCCGCAACACAACAGCAAAGAGGAGCCAGCTTCCACTTCGCATTCTTTATTCTTTCGCCGCGTATTTTCGTTGTCTTCTTCAACTCTTCACTCCTCTTGTTCTGTTGGTGACTTCATTTGCTCAAGTGTTGCTCCTTGTCTTGCCCTTTTACTCTTTTGCCTCTCGTCCACCGTGAAACACGGCTAGACCTCCACGTCAACGGTGCTGCGCGCTCGAAAACTGAAAGAGAAAGAAACAATGCGAGCTACGTAAAGAGCTGTTCGGAAGACCATGTGATTCTGTCTGTAATCTGGACCGCTTTATCAGGTATTCGGGGTGTCACGCACCGCCCACGTCAATGTGAAGTGCCACTTCTTTGGTTTCTGCGTTGCACATTCTAAATTGACAGCTGCTGGAACTTTTTTCTTTTCTTTTCTGATTGTTGTGGAAGTCAGCGGCACCGCCTTTCAATCGACTTGTTGAGGTGTCTCTTGCGCTCCTGAGAACGTAGCCTCCGTGTAGTCGGAGTACACCGGAGTGTCACGTTATAATCGTTTATTTATTATTGTTGTTGCTCCTCTCGTTCGCGTGGCAGACAATTGACTGTAGAGACGCAACTGCGGTGAACGGTGTTTTGCCCTCTTCGCTTTCTTCTGTATTATCTTGCTAGCATTCCCTTGCTTATTGACTTCGAGTCGTCGTCCCTGCTGCTGCACTTTGCAGTGTCTTTCCCGTCCCGTTCTCACCACAAAGCTGCCCTATTCTGGATATCTTTTTTCTCTGTTTCTGGGTTTCCATAGCGAACTCCTCACGAACCGCCGCATCGCGCTTTGTGTCCTCTCTCCTGTTTCACCCTCCCCCCTTCTCAGTAGGAGGAGTTTTCTGTTTGTAATCGTGCTCGTCGCACACCATGTCTCTCAACCCCCGAAGTGACCCCGCACGTGCAGCTGACTCTCCTAGCCGCGATGTCGCTGAGGCGCCTGCTTTTGGTGAGCGGGACGCCGTACGACAAACGAAGGACCCAACTACCGCAACAGCAGCAGGGGAGAGCTCTACGAGCCAACCGCACAGCAACCTCAAGAGCAACAACACACCCACCAGAGATGACCCACGTCGCGATGCCGGCAACATGCACGTCACCTTTGACAGCGTCGACGAGGCCGCGGGTGGGCCAGCGAAGAGGTCCGACTACGCCAACTTGCATATCCAAGCGAACAGCGGCAGCTTCGGCCCTAATAATAATAACAACAGTTTCTTCACCAATGGCAGCATTCTACGCAACGCCAGCGGTCTGCTGCAAGCGGGCGTCGGCGGCGACAACCCACCCGCGTCGTCGCCGCTGCAGCTGCTGTACCAGAGCTTTGCGAACCCCATCAGCGATGCACAGGCGATCGAGAACGCGGTGCGCGAGACTCTCGGGCAGCATTCGACGTGACGGTGGAACCCACCCGATAACGCGGCGGCACCACCGGTGATGGTGCACGACGGCGATGACGTGACACAGGCCGCGGCCGCTCTAAGCACCGGTGATGCGCTGCGTGGCTGCGTGGATCCGACGGCGCATTACATCTTCCGCAACTGCATCCGTGCGCCCCGCGCGGAACGGCCGAAGCCGTACCTGTACATTGAAGACCCGAGCAGCTTGGCGCTGGCCGCGGTGCGGCTCCGACGTGATGAGCGGCTCCCCGCTGCTTCAGCGACGAGCAAGTCGGAAGAAGCAGGGGCCTCCCACGAGCCGGCGGCGGCGGCGGCAACTGCACCGCAGCAGGGGCGAAGCGGAGAGAGGGAGGTCGCTGTTGACGAGGCGGCATCCTCGCAGACGTGGAGTGACGAGCCGACGTCCTCGTCTTCGCAGATGCTGCCGCGTACCGCACACGCGCCGATGGCGGAGGCGGCGACGGAGGAAGGCAATAAAAACCGTAGCACCAATGAGAAGCCCAAATTGTCCAGCAGCGACTCCCTCTCGCCGCCGCTGTCCGCCGAGGAAGTGGTGCCGGTAGACGCCGCCAACAAGATCAACCGCACCTACCTCATCACCGGCGCCCTGCACGCCGAGCCGATCTCAGCGGCGGACATCAGCAAGGAGGAGCTGATCATTGACATCTTCAACGCCCTGCCCTCGGAGCAGCGCCGGATGGAGATACTCGAGGCATTCTACGTGGCGCACCTGCAGCCCTATGAGCAGAACGCCTCCTACACCGGGGATGACTGGGACGACATGACGGAGACGAAGGTGCCGCGCTGGTTTGGGGTAGAGTTCGACACGCGGCGCGGGTGCTTCTTCGTGACGGTCTTCCGCCGACGTGTCCGCATCTTTCTCTTCTCCTTCCTCTTCCGCGCCCTCCGCCTTTTCTTTTCTGGGTGGTACTGTTCTGCCTGGTGCCGAAGAACTGGTTCTATCCGGGTGGGCTCTACTTCGATACCATCGACACGATCGTCTTCGCCGGCAACGCCGGCACCCTCGTCGCGCGTGCGCTGTCCATCCCCTCCATTGTCGGGGTGATTTGGGCCGGCATTCTGTGGAACAACGTCCCGTACACGACACGGCTGACGGCCGGCATCACGATGGACATGCGGCAGTTCATTGGCATGTTTGGCCTCACCATCGGTCTCATTCGTGCCGGGCTCTCACTGAACGTGATTCGCTTTAAGCAGAAGTTCAAGCACTACATCACCTTTAGTCTGATGCCCATGTCGATGGAGATGGTGGTGCACGGGGTGTGCTGCAAGTTTATCTACCACTACCCCAACTACCGCTGGGCCTTTGCGGAGGGCTTTCTGCTGTCGTCGATCGCGCCCAGCGTGGTGGTGCCGGTCATCATCTCCTTCCAGCGTCGCGGCTACGGCGTGCGGGATGGGCCGTCGATGATGATGCTGTGCTCCATTGCGGTGGACACCGCTATGTGTGTGTGGGGGGTCGAGTTTTTGCTCTCGTTCGAGTTTCGCAAGATGAGCACCGTCCTTTTAATTGTCCTCACACCGATTCAAATCCTTTTCGGCCTCATTGGCGGTGTCATCCTCGGTGTCCTCGTGTTCGTGGTGACATTCTACATTCTGTTTATGGAAGGCGAGCGGCTGCCGTCGGTGCGGACCGACCGCGCGCTCACCCTGCGCCACTCCGTCCACGTGCGCTACATCTCCATCTTCTTCATGGTCCTCGTTGCCTTCTCTGCGGTGGCGATTGGCAAGCGCTTCTCGGTGCTGGGCGGGTCGGCCATCGGCGTGGTGACGATTGCGGGCACCTTCAACTACCTCTGCGTGCGCGGTGGCACGGCGGATCATCTACGGGTGAAGGCGGACATGGCCCAGACGCTGACCACGGTGTGGGACTACCTGGCGATGCCGTCCCTCTTCGGACTCTCCGGGGCTGCGGTGAACGTGCACGAGCTCTTTGCTCGCTCCTTCATTGGGCAGGCGTTTGCGCTGGTGTTCATTGGGATTGGCACCCGCAGTGCCTTTTCGATGCTGGCGCCGATGATCACCCGCCTGGGGCTGTCGTGGCGGGAGATTGTGTTCTTCGGACTCGGCTGGATCGGGAAGGGGTCCGTGCAAGGGTCGCTTGGGTCGCTGGCCCAGACGTACGCCGCGATGGAGCTGGCCGCGGCCACGACGCCGGAAGAGGCGGCGCTGGCACGCGAACGTATCGACTACGGTCGCAAAATGAAGAACACCGCCGTCTTGGGCATCCTCGTCGCCTGTCCGTTGTGCTCCATCTTTTTGACTCGCTTCACCGACCGCTTGCTGAGACCCAATACGTAGATGCGGCGCCCATCGCAGCTGTTGCGCTCCTTCGCGTTAACTCCCCACATCCACTTTGATCGCTTCGGCTGATGTGTGTGTGTGTGTTGTTGTTATTATTTGGAATACGTCAACTCGCGTCTCTACGCTTTAATATCACTACTATTGTTATCATTGCTATTGTTACTGGTATCTCTTACGCTGGGCAGGGACGGTCATTGCTTCTTTCTCCATCCCTCATCCCCCCCCCCCTCCCATTCTTCTTTGCTCATCTGCTGCTGCACCGCCGCATATTTATATATTATATATATATATATATATATTGTCTCTTCGGTTGAGTTGCGAACTGAAGAAGAAGGTAGTTTCACAAAAGGCCTCTTTTTCTTTCTTCTTGCGCACTGCGACATGAAGTACATGTCTTTCATCTTACTTGATGGCGCCCTCGAAATGCACTTTACATATATATCTTTTTTTTTACTTATCGATTGTTATTCCCCGTTGACTTCCCGCTGCCCCCGTTTTGCCTTCTTTATATGTGTCACCTTTCTTTGGGTCTGTGTGTGTGGAAGAAGTAGAACTGACGCCGTTGTTGTTCCTGGTATCCGCCCCGCTGTTACCGTCCCCTCTATCTCTATCTCTATCGCTGGAGTACTGCTCTGTACTTGGCCTTGCAAAGCCGTTTGTTGTGCTAAAATAAAAAGAAAAATGAAAAATGTTGTGATTCCAAGAGAAAACAGTAAAGAACAAGAAGACTCGACCGTCCAGCTTGCACCCCCCTTCTCAATCCTCCTTACTGTATTCTTCATCTTTTTTATTTTTGAGGGAGCATATCTTCGAGCAAAAACAGAACGGCTACTCGACTTCTTGCTTTCCGCCTCTCGCAGTACTGCCGTGCTGAGCAGGGATCCTCCCATACTCCCGACTTTGCATTACACGTTTTACCACCCAAATGTCCGCCGCCGACAACGAACCGCTTCCGCCGCCGCCGCCGCCGCAGCAGCAGCAGCAAGCGGCTGAGGCTTTTCAAAAGTGCGCCTACATGATTGACGTGGGCGATCTCCTCTTCCAAGGGGCGGAGTCGCGGGTGTACAGGTGCTCCTTTTACGGTACGCCGGCCGTGTGCAAGCACCGCTTTGCGAAGCGCTACCGCAACCCAACGCTCGACGAGCGGCTGCGAGCGCAGCGGACGCGGCGCGAGGCACGAGCGTTGGAGCGGTGCCTAAAGAAAGGCATCCGCGCTCCTCGGCTGCTCGGGGCAGATTATATCAACACCTTCCTCGTCATGTCGCATGAGGAGGGACCAACCCTGAAGGAGGCGTTGGACGCGGAGCACGCGCGGTGGTGCACTACGATGGCCGGCTCCCAGGCTGTCGTCTCCGCCGACACGACGCCCTCACCGGTCATGGCGGCGTTGCTGCGCAGCATCGGTGTGGTGGTGGCGACGCTGCACAACGCGAACATGGTCCACGGTGACCTCACCACCTCCAACTTCATCTCCACCTTCGAGCCGCCCACCACAGCGGCAGCATCGGAAGCCTCAAATGGGGCACCATCGAATCATGTATCAACCTCCACCACCACCACCACTGCGGCGGCCGTCACAACGGCAGGTGCGCGTGGTCTGTTATCTGCATCGCCGTCATTGGTGGTGACCCATGCGCTGCCGACGGCGCAGGACATCGTGGTGCTGGACTTCGGCCTCATTTCGGAGAAGAACAGCGCCGAGGAGCGGGCGGTGGACCTGTACGTGCTGGAGCGAGCCATCACTTCAACCCATCCGTACCTGTCCTCTTACGCGAGCGAGACTATTTTGGACGGGTATCGCAGCGCGGCAGATCCGAAGAAGGGCGCGGAGACGTTGAAGCGGCTGGAGGCGGTGCGCGCGCGCGGTCGCAAACGCTCGATGGTGGGTTAGACAAAGGAGAAAAAGAAGAACACTTTCCCCCTGCTGCTGCGCTGATGGCTGTACCTCTGTTGATGGGGTGCGTAGCGAGATTCTTTGCCCTGGTGATGCTTCGAAGATGCAAACCAATATATTTAAGTTATCGTCTCTACTATAGAAAGAAAACTTAATAATAATAGTAAGTACAACTCCCCTAAAAGCACGCCTTTTGTATTATGGTTATGCCAATGCAACGCTTCTCGTACCGATCCTCACGGCGACACCGCAACTCTACGAAAGCTTCAGGGGTTTCTTTTCCCCTCCCCAAACCAAGGGAAAAAAATAGTCTGTGCGGAGGCTGCGGTGCGCGTGTTCACGTTGCCGCGATCGGCAAACTTCTTTCGTACTTCGCGGCAAGAGCGGACGTTAACGCTAACTGAGAGAAAGGAAGAACAATACTCTCCGCATTCCTTCTCTTGACTATGTGATTTTGTTTGTTTTGTTTTGCTGTGTCTCCTTGATAGCGCGTGCGTGCGGCTGTACATTCACTCCTCTCGCACAGCGTCTTTTACCCAACGCTAGATCACACGGGTGGTGGTGGGTGCATTGCTGTTCACGGGCCTCCCCACGCCCCTCCACAGAGTTTTTTTTTCGGCGGTGGATAGAAACTTCCATCAACAGGGCACACATCTTCTATGCCAACTTCACCACGTTTGGCATCCAACAGCAATTCTACAGCACCTAGACGACATCGACTTAGTATTACTATTATTATTGTTATTATTAAGCTGAAAGCACAGCATAGATCGGCACACCCACGTATGTGAGAAGCGCTTTGCACGCCTTCATAGAAAAAGCTCCGTTGTGTGGTAGTTATACATCGCCCTCCCCCTCCTCCTTTTCTCTTACAGTTTTGCGCTCTTGGTTGTTCTGCTTACTCCGTATATACTCGCAGGTGCCCCACCGCCACAGCGAGATCGGATTCTCTTTTTTTTCTTCTTCTTCTTGCGTTTCCTTCACTGCTCAGCAGCAGCAGCCAGAGGTGGAAAAAGAAAACAGCAATGCAGCCGGTGAGTCGGTCACCCGCCAGGGTGTCCTTTCGACACCTACGCGACCCTCGCATCGGCACACAGAGTCCTTCCGCGGTCCGATCGCATGCGCGCACGTCGGCGGCGGTGTCGCCCACATCTGCACCCGCACCACCACCGCCGCCACGCCAAAGCCTGGTCTACGGCCCCTTCTCCACCACGAGCATCACCACCATTGTGCGGGAGGGGAGCCGCAGCCCAGCACGCGAGGGCACCCCGGAGAAGCTAATCGCCCCCATTCATACCGCTCAGCGCGACGAGAGCAGGACGCGTAGTGACAGTCGTGGCCCGGCACCACGCAGCTCCCGAGCTTCTTCTTCATCGCAGCGGCACGCGACACCGACCAGCGACGAGCTCCGCGAGCTGCGGCAGACCCGCTCCCTCTTCCTCTGCGGTCGTGGACTCCTCTCTCTCCGCCACATACAGCACCTGCCGGAGATGCTGTCGCTGCGTTTTCTGAGTGTACACATGAACGCCATCAAGACGTTGGAGGCAGGCTGCTTAAGCACGCTGCGACATCTGGTGGAACTGGATCTCAGCGCAAATGAGCTGCAGGACCTCCCGCCGGAGTGCTGGGCGGGCCTGAACCGGTTGGAGCGGCTAAATCTGTCGAGTAACCTTCTCACTCGGTTAGGTCCTGATGCGTTCAAGGGACTCGCTTCGCTGCAGTGGCTCTCGCTCGGCTTCAACAACGTGTCCGACCTCACCGGACTTTCCTCAGTGCCCGCCGCTGCGCCGCTCGCCTATGTGGATCTCTGCTCGAATCGGATTGCGACCGTGGAGGAGGTGCTACACGCCCTCACGCCGCACCGGGGACATATACGGGAAATCCGCCTCGCGTCTCCTTCGGCGTCTACTGCCTCGCCGGACGTCACCAGAAGCGACGGGACGGCGTTGACGCTCACCGGTTCGTACTGGCAGGTGCAGGAGAACTTCCTGTGTCGCGGCGACGGCGGCGACCATGCAGATTCAACCGCGGAGAGCGCAGCTCGTACGTCGGGTGTGGTGACCGCCGGTGCTGCAGCTGCTGTACCGCCCCCGCCGGTGTATGTGCAGCGGCTGTTGGCCTTTTTCCCCCACTTGATGGTCGTCAACGGCGTCTCCTACGGGGTCGATCCGCTCGAGATGCTGACGCCGCACCCCGCAGCTGAAGCAGCAGAGCAGCAGCAGCAGCAGCAAGACGGAGGACGCGCACGAGAAGCGGAGGAGGAGGGCATTTTAATGACTCGAGTCGGTGGAACTGTAACGAGTCAAACGGCTGCAGGAGAACACGGGAAGATGTTGGACACCAGTGATGACTTCGCACGCCTGCTGTCACAGCCCCTCCCTCACCTGCCCCACACATCGTCGCACTCCCCGTCGTCGTCGCGGTCCACCTCGTCCGCTTCACGGCAACACACCAGTCGACGAGCGTCTCGACGTCAAGGCACAAAAAGCGCGCACTCACGTAGTCGCAGTCGCAGCCGTTCGCAGAAGCACTCTCGCAGCGCGTCGTCCAAGAAACAGCACGAGAACACGCCATCACCGAAGATTGCGTCAACGACTGAAAGCGCGAGACGTGCCGCGACAGACGCCAACAACAGTGAAGACAACAGCAATAGAAATAATCCTCACCAGTCGTTCTCTGCAACGACTGCATTATCTCCACCGGAGATTACGCTGGTCCACCCCACGAAGCGACGACACAGTGCCCCGAAGCCACGCCGCGCCCCACTGCGTCGTCGATCTGCGTCATCCACCACCGCTACGACATCGCACACGAGCAGCGTCACCGCCTCCCCTTCAATTGTGCTGCCTCCGTATTCGACGCCGCCGTCTTTGGAGCGACAGCAACAGCAGCAGCAGCAGCAAGAAGAAAAGAAACAGCGGTCCGGCACCGCCGCGATGTCATCACCGCATGTGCGCCAGCTTAGCTACGATGGCGGAGACGTAAAAGCTGGAAAGGAACTAACCCGCCAAGAAGAAGGTAAAGGAAAGCACGCGACCCCTGCCGCTACGCCGGTCTCCACATCCGATGCGCGTGAGATAGCGGAGCGAGTGCAACGTCAAACGCCGTCCGATGAGTTCAGAAAAACGAACGCACCGGGGAAGCGACGATGGAGCGGCGGACCAGGTGCTGCTGCGGTGCGCTCCACCAAGCAGAGTGAGTCGGGTCTGTCGCCATCCGGTATCACCGACGCTAGCGATCTCTCGCCTTCTCCGGAGAGGGCGTTCGCGCCGCGGCGGGAGAGTACTTCCGCCGAAGGAGGAGAAGAGGATGCGTTTTCGGTTCATATGAGCTGCAGTGGAAGTGCGGGGAGTAGTCCGGAGAGGCACAGCGCCGGTGTGGCGGAAGCGGGAGCGTTACGACCTCCATCGTCCACGTCGCACCGCACCTCTTTACCCCTGCGTCAGCGACACGCATCTGCCGGCGCAGGTGGCACCAGCCAAGCAGCTAATCCATCCTCTTCTACGAAGCTTCTCCCACCGCCGCCGGTTTTCTCGACCTCACCCGCAGCCCTGCAATGGAAGCCAAAGCAGATCTCACGTGGCACCGCCACGGATGCTGCGGAGATGCCGTCAAGGGAGGAGTTTGCAGCGGCAATCGCGCAAATGCAAGCGGAGATGGACACGCGTGGGGTGCAGTTGCAAGAGCAGCTTGCATTGCGCGCCACTACCATCACCGACCTGCGCCACCACCTGGACCTCACGCGACGCCAGTACGTGGAGGCGCAGCGAGAGGCCCAGCAACACCAGCAGCAGCTGCGCAGTCAGGTTGCCGCGCTGAAGGACGAGTTGGCTCGGCGTGCGGAGGAGGCTTCGATTCTGCAGCGGAAGCAGCAGGCGCAGCTGAATCGTGCGGTGGACTCTGTAAAGGCAGAGTGGTCTCGCCGATTGGAGGCGCAGGAGCAGCACCGCGCTGCGGTGCAGGCAGCGGAGCAGGCGCGCTGGGAGACGGCAGCGTCGCTGCTCACGGAGGAGAAGACGCAGCTGCAGCAGACGTGCACGATGAAGACATCCCAGTTGGCGACGCTCGAGCGACAGGTGCGGGTGATGGAGGAGGAGATAGAGAGGCTGCGACACGGCGCGGTGGCACAGCGGCAGTACGCCATCGCACAAGCAACGCTGTTGGTGGCCGAAGCCGATGCGCGGCGACAAATGGAGGTGGCTGCGGCCACAGCTTTTCTGCAGATTATTGCGTCCTCCTCGAAGCGTCAATCGAAGCTGGAGAGCGAGGCGCTGCAGGAAGCTCTCCGGCAAGTAGGCGAGGTCACCGAGGCGATGGACATGCAGCTGGCGGCCTTCACAGCGCAGGCGCGGCAGTACGAAGCGGCGCTGCAGCACGCAACACGCGACGCGCAGCAGCTACGGGAAGCACAACGCAGCGATACAACCGAGTCGCCGCCGGATGAAGAACAGCAGCAGCACACACCAGGCAAGGAAGTGATCAAGGTCAACAGCGCCGTCGACAGCAGCGTCGTCGTCCCCCCCTCTCTCACCCACGGAAGCGAAGCGGAGGATGCGCTACCCAGCGCTCTCGTCTCCACCCCCACCCTCACCCCCACCCACACACCGCAGCTGCCGCCACCACCGTCGTCGTGGACAGCACTCGTCGTCTCCTCTGTAAAACACGAGGATACCTCCGCGCCAACCTTGCCGCCTCCTTCAGATCCAAACGACACCGTTTCGGTCTACTGGCGCGACGTCTGCGCACGAGCGGAGGCGAAGCTGCGACGGGTGGAGGCCGCGTTGGCGGTGTCCACCACCACCCAGCAGACCCTCGCAAACGAGAATACCCGCCTGCTGCACCGCGTTGAGTCGCTCGAAGCAGATCAGGCGAAGGCGCGAGCGGCACACACGACCTTAGAGCACGTGGCGGCGCAGGAGAAAGAGAATCTTCTGCGCACGTTGCATACGTTGCGCGCTGACCTGCAAAACAAAGACGATGCGCTCGATGCGCTGGAAGGGGAAGCCCGAGAAAAGCTAAATGAAAAGCGGCGGCGCATTGCGGAGCTGGAAGAGGAAGTCGAGAATCGCACGGCGCAGCAGACGCGAGCGACAGAGATGAGCGTGTCGTATCGTACGCAGCTGGAAGCCGCGCAGCGCCGTCTCGCTGAAGTGGAGGCGACGTTGGAAGAGGAGAAAAGCCGCAACGATGCGGAGGCGCAGGTGCCAGCGATGGAGCGGAAGCTGCGAGAGCTATCGGAGCTTCTCGCCACCCGTGTCGCACAGGCGCATCAGCACGAGCTAGAGAAGAAGACGCTCGTGAACACTCTCACCACTGCACGGGAGCAACTCATGCGACTACACGAAGCAAACACGCTGCTGAACGGCTCGAACGCCGCTGCAAAGGAACAGCTCATGCGGCAGCAGGTGGAGTTGGATGCGGCGCGGCAGCAGCTGCGTGATACACAGGAAGCCACGCGTGCGAAGCAGCGGGCCACTCGTGAGGCCCTCTCGCACCTGATGACCGCGGACGCGTTTTGAAAAGAAAGGCAGGGAAGGGAGAGATGCGGTCGATAGGCATTCAACAGTTGTTGCCGTGGGCCGTGTTATCACCTCCTTCGCCCATTGCCGAGGAAGTCGGCACAAAGAAGAGAAAAAATGAATAGTAGCAGTGAATTGATGAGAGTCCGGAGTTGGTCTTGTGTGCGTGTGCGTGTGCGTGTGTGCGTGTGTTCCTACACCCCGTTCTGGTAGACATCGCCCTCTCCTTATAGCGGACACGCAAAGACAGCAGCTCTAAGAAAAAAGGGTTCGATGATCCGCCGTGGCAAACGCCCTTTTATCATCTTCATCCGCCTCTCTGTTTCTTTACGGTACACACTGTGCAACCTTCTGCTTCTCCCTTCTCACCACTCTCTTTCACATTCTCTTCCTTCGCTTTTGATTAGAAAGAAAAGAAAAGCAGGAATGAAGCGTATCGGCACTCATGGCGCTATTGTCGGCGGCGCTGCTGTCGGTCTCTCTCTCCACGGCTGCCCTTCCCACGCCACGCATGCCTCCGACCTGTGCAGCGGCAACGCGACGACGGTGGCCACCTCCCCCCTCATCACCGCCAAGCGTGGCCGCTTTTACAAGCCGCTCGTGAACCAAGGTATCAACCTCTGGCGCTCCCGCATGGGTCGTCTGCACAAAGGATGGAACACGTGGGAGTACAGCCACAGCGCTGCCCCCGACCCCCGCCCATTTCCAGAGCCGGCGGTGAACAACTACTACGGCCGCACCCGACTCTGGAACCCGATTGCGGGAAAGATCGGGCTGGTGAACCGCAAGGCGGAGGAGTGGGGATGGCCGCATACGCGTCCGCCCCCGACCGGGCTGCGCCGCTCCCCGGAGTACTTTCCCTTCTTCTTTGACCGCTACTTCCCCAACGTGGAGGTGCGCCTGGTGCTCGACAGCGTGCTGAACAACGAGACGACGCATCCCGTCTTTCACATCCCGCAGGACATGTCAAAGCAGGAGTTGGTGAACTACCTGAAGAACATCTACAACATCGATAACATCGTGCGCATTGGCGTGCGCAACGTGCGAGGGAAGCGGTTCAAGAACGAGGTCGGTCAGATCAAGTCGATGCCGGATTACAAGGTGGCCGTCGTGGAACTGGATGCGCCAGTGTCGATCGAGTTCAAGCAGGTGAAGGGAACCGAGGACACACCAGACAACAAGCCACAAGCCCAGGTCTCGTAGTTGGCGGGACGGTACAAGGAGTAAAGAAAGACAACGCTTACAAGAGAAAGCACTCGCAAGGCGGGCGGCGACGCTTCGATTTTCAACGCTTTCTCATCTTTTTTTTCGGCTCGTTGGCGTGTGTGAGTGTGTGAGCGTGTGTGTGTGCTCGACAGGCTTTTGTGAGGCTGAGGTCTTTGCGGTTGTTACTGTTGATGGTGCGTAGTACATCACATTTGTTTTTTTTGCATTTTAAAGTCAATACTGCGAAGTAATGAAGTGCTCGTATCGACGGTCCTTCCTTGTGTGGGTGTGCTCCGTATGAGCCGGCGAAAATAGTATCTCTTGTACGTCAGCAAAGGCTTTATTGCCGCTGTTGTCGTTGAGCGGAGAGCAAGGAGGTATCGATAGCATTTTAAAAAAGAAAAACGCTCAGGCCACACACACAGGGGCGATGCGCATTCCCATGTCTCAGGGGCGCATGTAAACGAAGTTTATGCCGCTTCTTTTTCCTATCCTTCTCTCCATCTTACTTTTGGCGAAACCACGTGCAACTAGATCTACCATTCTGTCGGAGAGGAAGTACACCCTCTGCTGCAGACAAGTTTTTCCCTTAATGAGGAACTTGGTTGATTTGTTCACTACCTGATCATTTTCCGCCTGTTCAGATAAGAATGAGTCACGCGGAGCTGTGTCGGCGCTGCCTGATGGCGTACACGGCGATCCTCGTCGCGCTCTCTGACGTCTACCTCTTCTCGAACTGGGGCATGCACAGCAGCTACGTCGCGGTGCGGGAGGAGATGCTCGCCCACACCGACGGCGCCGGTGACTTAGAGGGCGTTGCCTTCGCCGAGTCTGGCGGGGCGGAGTATCTGCTGGTGCTCCTCTACTTCATCTTCCACGTGGTTATTTTAGCTTTGGTGCTCGCAGGCCGGCGACGCAATACCGTGATGACTGTGGCGTGCGCCATGCTGCTGGCCTGCTCGGTGATGTACATCCTCTTCTACGGCTGCCTCCTCCTGCAGGCTCGGCTGGAGCGGCATCAGTCGTTGACGAGCCCGAACGGGGTGCCTATGCGGAAGCCGGACAAGCCGGCGCCGTATAAGCTCACGGCGCAGGACGTGGACCGCACCATTGCCTCGGGGAGTGCAGGCGCAGAGGCGGTGGTGGACACGGCTCCTCCCGGCCAGCGCGAAGGCACGTGTCAGGGAAGTGGCGGGATGGGCTCCGGCGCGGCTCTGTCCTACTCCGAGATGGCGTGGACCGTGCTGGAGACGTTGGTGGACGTTTTAGCGGCGATTGTGGCCGGTCCGGAGGAGGAGAACGATGACGCGGCCGGCGTGCAGCGCTACCACCCCGACGGGATGCCCATTGGCCCTACCCCGCCGTTCGCCTCCATTCGTCGGACGAGTTTGCTGCTGATGAGCGTGGTGGGCTTCGTGCTGTCCTTGTGGGGTGTGATGACCTTTGATTTGGGTTCGGAGAGCGTTGCCCGTGCGTCGAACCCGGGGCTGACCGCGTCGGCTCTTTCGCAGCTGTCGTCCTCGCCAGCAGGGGCGACAGGACGCAACGGGCGGCAGGACAGGTCTGACGAGCGCCGCCGTGCGCGCGTTGCTACCGCAACGCAGGAAGAGCTGGCAACTTCGGCTGCGACAGATCCAAAGAAGAATCAATAGGGGGGGGGGGTGCACGTGCTCCCTCTCGCTCCCACCGTTGCCGTTGTTGTGGCCGTCGCGTAGAAGCAAAGGACCACGACAGTGCACGCATGTGCGAAGCGTATCATTACTTTCTTTTACCAGGTATTCATCAACATCATTACTATTATTATTCCTGTCAATATTTCTCACTAGCTGCTCTCCTGCAAAAAAAAGCGCGCAGAAAGTTGAATTCCATTTCCGTTCGCTGGAGAAGCCGGAAGCGAGTGCGTGCGCACGTGCGTTCCCATCGGACCCCTTTATTATTATTGTAATAACTATTGTGTTTGCGTGTTTTCTCAGCGCTTCTTCTCTTCTCTCTACCGTTTCGATCACTTCATAAATATATATATATTGATATGGCTGTCTCTGTCCGTGTGCACGTGTATGTGTGCTTGTCTGTCAAGTACTAATGAAAAGAACAAATCCCAGTTGTGTTGCGCCGAAGTACCGAGAGCTGAAGAACGCGCTTTGCAATCCTACTGTCGTTGTTGATCGACAGGGGAGAGTTTAATACGCCAGTAGTATTTTTGTTGTTTCTGTGTTAACTATTATTATTTTGAAGCGCACATTAGCCACTATCCCCTTCAGCCCCAACCTCCTCGCTCTGCGCCGGCTGCGGCTTTCACCGGTGCCTTCTCCTCCTCCTCTCTTTCTTTACCTTCGCGCTTTCAATCGTACTCCACTCTTGTGCATCTCTCCCCACCCTTCTTTTCTTTTTCTCCCGGCTGGGGGTTCCATCGGTTATTCCCGTTCGATCACGTGCACGAACCCTCGTTGCAGGATATCACAGCTTTCAATTAAAAGAAGAGTCATCAAGGTCTCCTTGTTCCGTCACTGCTCTCTCTCTCTCTCTCGACCCCCAGCTTTCAGAAAGTCAGCACATAAATAAACATGTCTTACAAGCCCTTCTACCCCACCGTCCCCACCAACCCGCAGGTGTGGATGGACGTCGAGATCGGCGGCAAGCCCGCCGGCCGCATCACGATGGAGCTCTTCGCTGATGCCGTGCCGAAGACGGCCGAGAACTTCCGTGCCCTCTGCACTGGTGAGAAGGGCTTCGGCTACGCCGGCTCCCCCTTCCACCGCGTCATTCCGGAGTTCATGTGCCAGGGTGGCGACTTCACCGCCGGAAACGGCACGGGCGGCAAGTCCATCTACGGCAACAAGTTTGCGGATGAGTCCTTCGCTGGCAAGGCCGGCAAGCACTTCGGCCCGGGTACGCTGTCGATGGCCAACGCCGGCCCCAACACGAACGGCTCGCAGTTCTTCCTCTGCACGGCGCCCACGAGCTGGCTGGATGGCAAGCACGTCGTGTTCGGTCAGGTGCTGAGTGGCTACGACGTCGTGAAGGCGATGGAGGCGGTCGGCAGCCGCAGCGGTGCCACCTCGAAGCCGGTGCGCGTGTCCGCCTCCGGCAAGGTCTAACCCGGAGAAGAAACGATGAAGTTCAACCAAAAGAGGGAAGATGAAGAAACGATTGCCCAAGGAAACCGCGCGCGTTGTGGTGGATGAAAGACAGAAGAAGAACGAAGACAAAGAGGACTTTTGCAAAAAGCTAAGCGCAAGGCGTGTTGGAATAGAGAGAGCTTTCGTGGCACAACCGAGTAGACAAAGGAGTAGAGAAAGAGGATCAAAGAGAGACAGGAACGAGCTCTCTTTCCTCTTCTGTTTGCTTTTCTCTCTCTCTGTTCCCTCCTCAGCCTTACCTCTTTTGGTGTTGTGTTGCACAGCGTGCGCACCCGCAGCCGTGGCGGCGGACGTCTGCGTTGTAGCTCCTTCCCCCCTCCCCCTCCACCCCTTTCACGCCGTTCGTTCACCTCAGCACTTTGTTTATCTGATACTTTCTTTGCCTCCCTCGATGTGAGGTGATCTCCTTCGGGGTTTGCCGTTTCCGCTCTTTCTTTCCCCGTCTCGTTTCTGGATTTAACGGTTTTCCTTTTTTTGTGTCTCGACGTTTATTATTGTTATTATTATTTTCTTTAACGCATTTTGTTATGTTGATGGATGAAAAGGAAAAGGAAAAAAGTGTATGTATATCTACACATATGTGGTTCATCATCGTCAACGTGAGAAAAAGGAAAAGAAATAAGAGAAATCACGGAATACATACAGACACAATCATATATATATATATATATCCGCATCTATCCATATTGGACAACAAGATGGTGACCCTCTTTCTTTTGCCTTTTTCTTGATTGAAGGTGTCAGCATCTCTCTTCTTCGCGCCTTTCACGTTGTCTTCTGCCAATGCTATGATATAGGGATATGTACGTGGAAAGATACAGTATATATATATATATATATATATAAATGAGAAGAGACGTGGCGGTCGTTGTTCCAACATGCTCTCGTTTGTGGACTCTGCGCCTCGTTGTGATGTGCTCGTTCCCTTTCAGACCAAGAGTTCTCGCTGTACTTCTTCACTTACGGAGACTGGTTAGCAAAAGCGTTGGCTAAAACGCATGCACGCAATGGTGGACAACGCCCTCTCTAGTGTCTTTGTTTGCTACTCCCTGGCTCTTTGCGGTTCATCTCCTCCTCCTCCTCTTTCTTCGCGCCTTACATCCTTTAAAACCCCGTGCGTACACCATCCGTTTCTTTTCCTCTCTGTAGGCCACAACACACGGTAGAACGCACGAGGAGCAATCAGAAATAAGAAAGAAAAAGAGTAAGAGACGCGCCTTCTCTTTTTTGTTGTTGCTCTCTCCCACCCCCCACCCCCACCCCTTAGATCGGATTCTGCTGTGTGTACACAGGTCTTTTGTTGTTGTTGTTTGTTTGTTTTCCCCGTTTTACATAGAAGCACTGGCGCAGCAGCCACACCTCAGCGAGATTGCTAGAACAGACACACTGGCGCATCCCCTTTCTGTCTGTGTGTGTATTTTCTCCCCCGCTCTTCTTTTCTTTGGTATTCTTATCGCATCCTTCATTTCCTCTTCTGTGAGGCGACACTTTATAGATCACACGTAAACCCCCTGCCCCTCCCCTCCTTTTATTTGTTTAGTTATTTCTTCGCTCTCTTGCTCTTCTACGCAGGTGCCCCCCCCCCTCCTCTCAGCGCTCACGATCGGCATCCTCTTCTTCCTCGTTTCTCCTTTGAACGCACGCATAGACTGCTCGTACACCCATTACCGTATCTTGTGTCCCCCTCTCTTTTATTATTGTTCTGAGAGGGAGGCCTGTCCGATAAGGTACATCCATGGAGCACAACTATACCACCCCACAGCGGGCGCTGCGCAGCACGGCGGCTCCAACACCCGACCAGCCCGGTGTTCTTCGGGAGGGAAACGAGGCCTCCTCCCCCGCACCGCGCTTCCCCACTGCATCCCCTCCCAGTGCGGCCCAGCGCAGCGGCAACGCGAGCCGTGCAACGCCGTCCTACTCGCAGCTTGGCAACGTCCAGCAGCAGCAGCAGCGTGGCAGCTACCGCCATCGCGGCTGGCGAAGTAATCACGAAGGCAGCGAGCTCCTCCATGCGCGCGACAGCAGCCACGTCAGGGGCACGACAGGTCAGGACAGCAGTGAGCCCAGTCGGCGCCAGCACTCTGCCTCCGCCAGGCAAGCCAATCGCCCGCGGAAGCCGTCTCCGTCGGGCAACTCGCCCGACGAGGACCGCCGGCGGTGTCAGCGCGACAAGCAGATCCACTTTGGCTACGCCACCGACGGCTACGTGAACATGGAACGTCTCATTCGGCACGACCCGCTGCTGAAGGGCGGTGGCCTTCTTCCGCTGTCGCCACCGACGGTCGTGAAGGGCAGCAAACGCATCTGGGACATTCAACTGCGCAAGTGGCGGCGAGCGCTGCACATGTTCGACTACGTCTTCATCGACGGCGAGGACGACCCGGAGACGCGGGCCACGGTGTTGGAGGAGCAGCGGCGACAGTGGGTGAGTGAGGCGTTCCAGGAGGCGCCACGGGAGTTGCGGAAGCGCATCCCCCTCGACGCCCTGCGCCGCGTGCAGCACGCCGCTGCCGTGCCGACGACGATCCCTGTCGAGGACGATCTGCGGTGCATCCTGCGCAGCGAGGATTGCTACGAGTCCGTCCGCAGCGTCGTCCCGCAGAGCGCGTCGTCGCTCACAAAAGGGACGGACATCAGCCCTCTTGAGGCGGGCATCAAGATTCACATTGCGCCGTCGTCGGCCGTGCTGCAGCGGCAGCAGGTGCAGCAAGAGCTGCAGCAGCGCCTCACCGCGTTGCAACAGCAACAGCTGCTCCCGTCTCCCTCCCCACCGCAGGCGAAGCTGTCCGTTGATGTGGCACTTAGCAGGACCCCGCTGCGACGTGCTAGCCCACCGCCGACCGCAGCGGCGGCGCCTCAGCAAACCCAGCCCTCGCAGCCGCGTCCATTGGAAGCTCCCTCGCCGAGTCCCCGCCGGCCACCGTTGCCGTCGCCAGTGGAGTCGCATCCGGTCCGTGCAGCTACCACAGGAAAACAACAGCGGCAGCAGCAGCAGCAGCAGCGACCTTCCGCTTCGTACCGGCCGAGCGAGAGCCCCAGTCCCGTCGTTGTGCGGCCCACCGCAGCGGTCGCCACTGCTGGTGCCGTCGTTGCACCGATGCGTGGTCCATGCAGCGCGGGGTTCTTATCCGCGCCGTCGTCGGTCTCTGCGACCATGGCGATGACGATGACCGACTCAGCGGGCGCGTCTGCCAGTCAGCCTGCGCCTTTCTCGTTGAACCCGTATCACCGCGGACGCCTTTCAGGTGAAGCAAGTGTGTCCTCCTTTGGGGGGCTGATGAGAGGCCAGTCACCGCCCACGGCATCCGCTGTCTTGGCCCCTTCCCCCTTCCCGGGTATGATGCCTCCCCCCGGCACGATTGTTTCTTCGCCGACCGGCATAGTCGGCCTCTCAGCGCCTGGCTACTTCGCCGGCCCAGCTGGCTATGCTAATGTGTACTCGTCGATGTTGTGGGGTGAAGCATCGACTGTCACGCCAGCAGAGCCGGTGAGCGGCGTCGTCTACGGGGTGTCGCACGCCGCGCCTGTGGGGGCGCCGTGGGTGGTGGTGCAGCCGCCGCCGCATCTCTTCGCGGATCCGTCCGCTGTCCACCTGTCCGCACCGGTGACGACGAGGACGACAGGAATGCCGCCGAATGCTGCACGAGTTCCGGCCGCCACCGCCATCGAAAATTTCGATTCCTCGCTGTCCGGCCGCCTGTCCGGCTCGCTGATGTCACCCAGCGCGCATCCGCTTCAGAGCACTAACAGATTTCTTCCCTACGGCGTCTACCCTTCTTCACTGGAGAGAATCACAGAGGCCCAGACGCCCCCTAGCGCGTTGTTGCGCGAAGGCGGTCGTCGTGGCGGTGGTGGAGGCGGCCATAACACAGGGGTCGTCACTCCACAGACCATCCCACGCTTTGTGGCGCGTCTGTCGACGTCGCCGAGCGAGCAGCGCCTCGGCAGGCATCAGCAGCAGCACCACGAACACCGTTACGGAGATGCGGGCACAGGTGCCACACGCACACGCAGGCCAGAGTCTTCGCCTTTCCCCTCTCAAAGAGTCGCACAGGACATGGCGGATCGGTCGTCGATGCAGTCGCCATCCGAAGCTATCGAGGGACCCGAGAAGAGTCCGTCGTTTGCGGACTTGACGCCGGAGCGAGCGCTGTTTGGTGCCGCGGCCGCGACGGCGGAGGCCCACACAGAAGCCCGACCCGTGCCGCTGCGAGGCGACTCCGTTGCAGAGGGCGACGACGGCGAGACGGCAGGGAAGGAGCGGATGGAGGGCGATGGCGCTGAGGGAATCGCGGCTGCTCCGCTGAACTTCCACACAGAGGCGGCTTAGTATTCAATCGTTGTTTGTTTGTTTGGGTGATAGTCGGTGTGGATCTCTTCTGGTTCGCCAAGGCGTCCTCGCGTCTGCTGCTTTACGTATCAGATGGAGGTAGATGGGAAACGCATACGCACGTGCGCGCATAGATAGATCGATCGATAAATTCTCTTCTTTCCTCTTCCCACTCTTCTCTTTCGTATACCGTCCACGTGTAGCAAAGCTGCCAACAGTGGCTTTTTATTCTTATTTTTCTCTCCCTCTCCCTTTCCTGCATAGATGGATACTAGGTAGATGGTGCCGCTCTCAGAGACCTCATGGGGAGACATGAAATGGGCGTTGTAGCACTTTCGCAAAGCTGTCTTGCTGTTGTTGTTGTTGTTGTTGTTGTTGTTGTTGTTGTTGTTCTCTCTCTTTCTCTCTCTCTCTCTATATATATATATATATTTCTTTCCGGCGCTTGTATCGTTGGACTCTCTCATTTACTCTTGACGTTTCCTTTTATCTGTTTATTTGTTGTTTGTCTTTTCACCTAGAACAGCACCGGCAGCGGTTGCAGGTGTGGCGTAGACATCGACTGTTGTTTGAAGGAATCAGCTAGCTTATTTTAAAAAACAGAAAAGGAGCAGAGACGTCATAATTTATTACGACCCTGCCTCAGCCTCCAGATGGAAGCGACAACAGAAACAAGTGTTTCCACGCAAAGTGCCAGCCGCCGTGTCTTCGCGCAGTTGAACAACACGGAGAGTATCAAGCTCTCTCAAGCTGACGATTCAACCGCGACAAGAAAGGCGGTGTATTCTAGCTCATTCGGTTAAAACGCCGTTCTATGAACACGTCGACCCGCTCCCTCCCCGCCCCTCTCCTCGCCGTTCTTTTTGACCTTTACAGATCTCTCGCTTCCACTTCTTTCAACGACAACGTACTGCATTGTTTGATCTCCGAAGTTCTTTTTTCTTTTCTCTCTCTCTCTCTCTGCCCTCTGACGAAGCGGGCCTTGTCTTGATTTCCAGAAACTTTCATTCAAAGAAGAAAGCCAAAACAGGAATAACTGCAGCAGCAGCAACAATGCTGGCGTCGTCGTTGCGCGTCAACGAGCTGCTTCAAGCAGTGGTTCAGGGCAACCTGTCCGCCGTGATGGAATGCGTTTCTCCTGCCAATGTAAACTACACCGATCCGCAGTACCGACTGTCCTTGGTGATGTGGGCTGTGTCGTTGGGTCGACTGCCCACCGTCGAGGTGCTGCTGAGCCGCGGGGCATCGCTGTCGCAGCTGGACCGATACGGCTTTTCGATCCTGCACCGCGCGGTGTGGAGCGCGGACATCCCTACAATTCACATGGTGCTCTTTCAAACCCCGCTGGCCACCTCGGCAAGTTCCAGCAGCCCCGCCGACAAGGACTGCGCGCAGAGGAGCTCGCGGGATCTCACCTGGCGACCGGGGGCGCAGCGGTTGGTGAACACCGTCCACGCGCCGACGGGCCGCACGCCGGTGATGCTGGCCGCCGTGCGCGGACACACCGGTGTCGTGCGTTTCCTGCTCGAGACGTGCGGGGCGGACCCGTTTCAAAGGGATCACCTCGGCTTCGCCGCGATCGACCTGGCGGCTCTGAGTGGGCACCTGCAAATGGTGCGGCTGTTTTTGCAGCTGGCGGTGGCGCAGAACGGCGACGGCTGCGGTGACGGGGCGGCGTACGTCTTTCCCAGCACGCAACGCAGTGCGGAGGACTACTGCGAAGTTGCCCAGACCCTCCCGCAGCGGCAGCGCCTCTTTGCGCTGAATAAAATCTTGAATGCCAATTTGGCGGAAGCGTCGCGTGTGGCCGCCGCGTAAAAGTTGGGTGGCGAGAGGAGAGAGGAGAGAGGAGAGGGGGCGCGGTGCAGGTGAACCAAACGAGGGCTGTGTGCGATGGTGCCTCTTCCTCGCATAATGTCCCGTACCTCCCCCTCCTCCTTCTTTTCTTTTTTTTTTTACTTACCTTTGTTGTTGTTTGTTGCTGCTGAGCACCTCGCAGCTTACTCTGATGTACAGTAGTCAACTATCGAAGCATGAACAAAAGGAAAGGACCAAAAAGCACACGTGAAGTGGCTGCCTCCTGGAAATAAGAGAGAACTCAAAACATCGCAGAATGTTCGTGGGTGTGTGTGACGTCAGCAACGCATCCATCTAGGTTGTTCACACTTTCACTGTGCGTGGAAGCTGCGCCGCAGTCCATCCTCTCCCCCTCCCCTCCCTTCCCAAAAGCTGAACCTTTCTCTCCCTCTACATTATTATTATTATTTCTTTTTGAGGAACAGCGCACTAAACACGGTAGCACCGATCGCCGAATCGTTTTTGGCTGATGTCTCCCTTACGCATCTGTTGTCTGCATTAGCGATGGAAGGCACAACCGCACCCTCTCCGCGGACCAAAGCTGATATCGCCGAAGATATGGTGGCGTCTGGAGCTGCCACTAGCATCGACGGCGTTGCCTCTGCCACCAACGCGTTGCCCTCACTCGCAAGTGCGCCCACGTTAAAGTCGGCGGAGGCAGAGGCAGCAGTAGGAAAAGGAGACGGAGAAGAACACGAAGGGAGAGGCACTGAAGGAGGAAAGGGAGAGGCGAGCTCAGCGCACGACAAGGCCTCGTCCTCCTCGTCCAGTACGGTGGCGACCTCCACAAGATCGAAGGGTGGAAAGAAGAAGCCGCAAAAGAAGAAAAAGGCTTCACCGCCTTCCGCCTCTGTCGTCCTTGTTCAGGCCACGGAGGAACCGCAGGACGATCCGGCGCCCACCCCGGTGATGCCGTCAACGGACGAGGGAGACGAAAAGAAAGAGGCGGCGAAGGAGGAGATGCACTCCGAAATGCAGGAGCCAGCGCTTCCCACCGCCGCGGACACGTCGACGCGCCGTGCCACACCACCACCACCACCACCACCAAACACGCAGGAGGAAGGCACAAAGGACGATGATGAGCCGGAGGCGGGGAAAGAGATCAGGTGCAGCGACACGGAAGACTCCACGGAGCCCTCCCCCTTCGCAGCATCGTCGACCCCCCACACCGACGCATCGCTTTCTTTCCGGTCCTCGGCCACATGGCCGAGTTCACCCGCCAGCTTCACCTCCCCCGTGCGGTCGAAGCACGACGAGGTACTCGAGGCAGCGACGCAGGCTGCCATTCAAGCCCAAGAGCGACAACTGCGTCACACGCTCCTCAGCATTTTCCCTGCTCACCTGCGAGCAATGAACAGCGAGAACACACAACCAACACGGGATGATGCGAGGCTCCACTCAACGGCAAGTACCTCGCTGCTCATGTGCTGCAGTCCGGAGCCGCTGCTCCCTCTCCTCAACGCCCTCTGCGAAGACAAGGCCTACGTGCACGCGGCGTGGTGTCGTTACGAGGACGACCTCGCCGTGCAGCGAGCGCAGAACAGTATTCAGCGCAAGCGCCAGCGGCATTCCTTTAACAAAGGAGCTCGCCGGCCAGCCTCTTCGGTGGTCACCACCACCACAAGCACCCCAGCTACCACCGCAGCAGCAGCAGCAGCAGCATCATCGGAGCACACGGCAGGTGGAGACAGGGGCGCGAAGGAGGCGAGCGACAGCGACAGCCACGCAGACGACGACGCCAGTCAGCCACCGGAGTCGGAGTGGGTAGAGGCGGCACCGGCGTTCACGGGGCCCCCGCGCCTCCCTTCGGCAACGCGCATCGATAACGCCGATGCGCGGGAGGAGATGGCGGTGGCCTCTGGATTTCAATGGACGCCGTGGCGCTTCTTTCGTGAGAAGCGCCGTCGCAGCTCCTCCCGTTCGCAGGGCAGCAGCGGCGCCGTCACGGCAACTGCAGCTGTCTCCTTTCTCACTTCGAAAACAGGCCCCACTGCCACAAGTGCGGCTGTGAGTGGTTCGAGCACCTCGACGGCGGGGGCGACAACGGCTGTGTCCTCCACGGTTGCCACGTCAGGTGTGCCCCCCGCCCCCACCCCAGTTGGTGGGGGAGGTGTCCCGCCGCTTCTCTTCTCGGAGGTCCCTTCGCTTCCAGTGTTGCAGGTGGACGCCGATATCCCAGAAGATGTGACGGCGACGGTGGAGGCCATGACCGCCGAGGAGCAGCGCAGCTGCGCGCGCTACGTAATGAGCAGTGGGAAGCTGCGCAACGTGTGCCGCGACCCCTACGCTTTTTTGGTGTCCCGCGCAAAGGAGATGCGCATTCAGTGGGAGCGTCAGCACCCCTTTGAATAGAAGTGCAAAAGCAGTGTCAGCGTATGTGTGGGGTGCGATGATCTAGATTTGCCGCTCACGCGCGGGTACCTGCGCGGTGGTCGTTGCTTTCACACCTGCACCCTAAGCGGCTTCGGCACCGTTCATGAGAAGCCATTTGAATGGGAGAGAGAGAGAGGGAGGTATCGCTGGATAGGCTTTCTTCCTTTCGCATTTGCCGACAGCGTAGCCGAACAGCGCCGCTGCAACGTGTAGCCTCGAACAGTAAACTCCCGCAGCGTTGCGCATGATGGTGGGACGGAAAAGAAATTGAACGGGGGAGCTTCGGTGTGGCAACGTGCCAAAAAGGGCCGCATTCTCGCCTACGAAGTTGAACTCCAAACGATGTGGTGATTTGACAACCGTTGAGAAAAAAAAACAAATATATTTATTACCGCCGTGGCACAACCACCGTCCATCGGCTCCTGCACCTTTCCGCCCTCCCTTCATTATCACTCCCTCCTGCTCCGAGCCAGAAGCCAGATAGAGAAGGAGAAGAAGAAACGGGTGGTTGCAGGGACGAAGCAGGCTTCGCGCACTGCATACGCAGCAAAGACCGGCGTTATCCCCCTCACCGCCGTCAACAAGAACGTTCTGCTTCTCCTTATCTTCTTTCCTCCTGCGTGGGTACTCGGTTCTTTGTCTTCTCCTTTTTGTTTGACACACCCAGGCCTCTGGACGTACGATGAACGCAGCCATACATGTGGAGGGCATGAATTGTTGTGTGGCATCGGCCGACCTCTATTCACACCCTATCGGACTCACTTTCAACCCCGCCGCTTCTTTTCTTCTTCTTCTTTCTTGAAAGGAGGAGGGGAGTCAACCCTGTCGAAGGCGCGTAACGGACCGCCTCATCAACACCGAAACGCCGCGGCACCAGCGATGAGTGAAACAGCCGTCTTCGACGGTGGCGTTCTTGTTGAAGGACGCAGTCGCACGGTCTCCACGTTTCTCGACTGCCTCCATCCGTCCGTCTACAGAAGCAGCGACGGCGGCGCAGAGTCTGCAGGTGTGCGACGCTGCATCGGCGTTATCTCGACGCTCCTCACCAATCACCGTCAGCATCCCAACGACCCCCGCTACGCATCATTCTCTGCGGTGAGCAGTGCGTGGCAAGGCGGTGTTCTTCCGTGGGTGTACGTGTTGCGGCTTGTCGCGTGGATGGGCTGCACACCGAACACCGAAGGCTCGCGGTACATCTTTCAAGACTGCTCATCCGCCGCAGATCACCTGCGCGTGCTGGATGATTGTATAGAGGAGCTGCGCTGCGTGATGGCTGTGTGGTGTACACCCGTATCCTCGTTAGCCACCTCCACTGACCAGGAAGCCTTCAAGGAAGAGAGTTCTGGCCGTGGTGGTATGACAGCGGCTTTTTCAATACAGGAGCGGACCGAGTGTTTCGAGGCAGCTCGTGCATCTCTAACTGAAAAGTACACCATCGAAGCAATGATCTCCCCGCCTACGGAGCGAGAGGAAGCATTCCGTAGCTGCACGAGTGCGCTGCAGCTAAAATTGCTGAGTCTTGCGTCATGTGCCATGGCGAACAGCACAGGGACACAGCGGGGCGTTCGCGCCGCAAGACCACCGCTACTCTCGACAAAGTCCACCCCAGTCGACGCGTGTCTGAGGAGGGACTCGATTCAGTGGCTCCTGCAACACACATCACTTTGTGAGCTGACACAAGAGTGTCAACGGGCTGCCGCACTGGTAGCAGCAGCGGCAGCGGCCTCCGGTACAACAAGTTATTTTCTCCCTGACCCCCGCGGCTCCGCCTCCTTGTCCGTTGCCCGGCCCTCTTCTGCCATGGTACAACGTCTGCGCAACAGGGCACGAGAGGAGCAGCACCAGCGGTACCTCAACACCACCGGCCCAGCCTATCGTGCGCTCACCCAAGAAGAGCGGCATCGCGGTGAAAGCGCTGTCATTGACATTGCCGGTGTGCTGGAACAGATCGCCGTGGTGACGGAAACGCAAGGGATGGTGCGCGCGGACCGTCAAGAAGCCCGGCGACTGCTCGATGCTTTCAAGCAGGACGGTGACCTCGCGAAGCTGTACGCCTTGCAAGAGCAGTACACAGCGGCGCTGGAGGAGGCGAAGAAAAGCTACGGCAAGCCACTCGTGTACGGCGAGTACGAATCATTGGCGCCTTGAGAACGAGCAATTGCCGCTCTTCTTCTCTGTGTGTGTGTGTGTGTGTGTGTCTGGGTGATTGACGTGTTTTGGGTGAGGCACGAAGCCGAGGGGCGCTGCTATGTGTTTGGTTGTTTCTTCTGCGGATCCGCCAAAAAAAGGAAAATAAAAAACGCAGAAGCACGGCGATTCAAAAAGGAAAGAAGAAGCCCTCTGACTTGCTACAGGAGATTTCCTCACGGCAGCTGGTCTTGTTAATTCCCGTAAACGAAAGTGCCGCGGTGGTTTCTCCCACGCATCAACGACAAAAAAGAAGCCCCTGGAAGCTTGTCAACCATTGCTCGTGTTTCCACCCCACCCACGCCTCGTTCTAGTTGCCATCGTCTTCCTTCCTTCTTCTTCTTTTTTCCCTCAGGAGTCTACGAGATCTACGTGAGGTACAAAGGAGACCGTTTGTTTTTCCTCACCATTGGCGATCGTATATTTATAGATCGATAGAATCTTTAGCGTTAGACGCCAACTGGCATCGCTGGTGTTACAGAAAGAGACGTCTCTCACCAATAGACGTGGCCGCTGGCGCCTATTTCCGTCCTGTGTTGTTGATTTCGATTCTTGGGGGAGGTGAGACCTTTTTTTCTGTTTCCTCACTGTCTGCTGCAGCCTGAACTGCGCGCGTGTACACACACACACACACACATCACCACATTTTTTTAATAATACATCTTTGTTATTTTCCTCTCTGTTCCTCCGTCGACGATGCCGCGTGAAATCATCACCATTCAAGCTGGGCAGTGCGGCAACCAAGTTGGCAGCGAGTTCTGGCGGCAGCTGTGTCTTGAACACGGCATCCGGCTGGATGGCGTGGTGGAGCCCTATGCCATCGGCGGCGAGGACCGCAAGGACGTCTTCTTCTACCAAGCCGACGACGACCACTACGTGCCGCGTGCGCTGCTCGTCGATTTGGAGCCGCGCGTCATTCACGCGGTGCAGCGTGGCTCGATGCAGAAGCTCTTCAACACGGAGAACATCTTCATTCACAAGGAGGGCGGTGGTGCCGGCAACAACTGGTCGCACGGCTACGAGCTTGGGGATCAGGTGCAGGAGACCCTCTTCGACATGATCGAGCGCGAGGCGGAGAACAGCGACAGCTTGGAAGGCTTCGTCCTCACGCACTCCATCGCGGGAGGCACCGGAAGCGGGATGGGCAGCTACGTGCTCGAAAACCTGAACGACAAGTTTCCGAAGAAGCTGATTCAGACCTATAGCGTGTTTCCAAACCAGTCGCGGGGCGGGGAGAGCGATGTAATTGTGCAGCCGTACAACAGCCTCCTCGCGATGAAGCGGCTGACGCTGCACGCGGACTGCGTCGTGGTGTTAGACAACACGGCACTGAATCGCATCGTTACCGACAATCTTCACATCGCCTCCCCCACCGTAGAGCAAATGAACGGTCTTGTCAGCACCGTCATGGCTGCCTCCACCGCCACCCTGCGGTACCCCGGCTACATGAACAACGACCTCATGAGCATGCTTGCCTCTCTCATCCCCACGCCGCGCTGCCACTTCGTGTGCACCGGCTACACCCCCACCACGCTCGACACCTCCAACATTCAATCCGCCGTTCGCAAGACCTCGGTGCACGACGTGATGCGCCGCCTGCTCATGCCGAAGAACATGATGGTGTCCACCTCCATGAAGAGCGGGTGCTACATCTCCTTGCTGAACCTGATCCAAGGCGACGTCGACCCCGCGCAGGTGCACCGCTCGCTGGAGCGCATTCGCGAGCGCTCCCCGACCTTCATCCCGTGGGGGCCGGCCTCCATCCAGGTCATTTTATCGAAGAAGTCGCCGTACGTGGACACGCGTCATCGCGTGAGTGGGCTCGTGATGGCGAACCACACGAGCATCCACACCCTCTTCCACCGCACGCTGAAGCAGTTCGACATGCTCTTCGGCCGCGGCGTCTTCCTCGACCAGTACCGCAAGTACGGCCCGACAAAGGATAACCTGGACGAGTTCACCGACGCGCGCGAGGTGGTGGAGAGCCTCGTGGCGGAGTACAAGGCGTGTGAGAGCTCCGATTACATCCGCAACTTCTAAGCAGCCGCAGAAGACGAAGGGGGAAGGAAGACATCAGTGCTATAGAGAGAGGACGCCATAGAAAACGTTGTTTGCGTTGCTGCGGATGCCACGCACAGACACACGCCTACTTATTCGGAAAGCTGTTAGGGGGGAATGCATGTTTGTATGTGTGCGGGTGCGTGTGCTTGTGCGTGTGCGTGTGTATGTGTGTATGTTAAGGAGAGACACGTGCCTTGCGTGTCCGTTTTTTCCCCTTCGGCGTTTTTTCGTCGTTTCTTCAGCTTTTTCTTCCTTTTCTCTCTCTGTGTCCACTCAAATCATTTCGTGATGATTATGCGTACTGTGATGATTCAAACCGTGTGATGAAAGGGGAAGGTGCTTTTTAACGAAAAGGGTGGGTGGGTGACCCCACGCACTTGTGCGGCTCGAGTAGCGATGCTGTCCAAGCGGCGCTACAAGCATTATTTCTGAGGACACGTTCAAGGACGACGAGCGCGATTGTTGGCAGATATTACCCCCCCCCAAAAAAAAAACGGGTAGGTTGAGTGGGGAAGGGACATGCGGTTCCAGTTCACCTTCTTTATCACTCTATGCAAGGTCGTTTGTCGTCTCAAGTGCGCTGCTCTCACCGTCTCGCAGACGCAACTTCACTGCTGCTTCCTCGCTTATCTTCATCTCCTAGCATCGTTCTACTGTAGGGCTGAGGAGGGAGAGAGGTATTTTAGCCTCTCCTCCACTCGTGTTGCGTCGTACTTCGATGCAACTCATTGAAAAAAAGAGAAGCGGTAGAAAGAGGAAAGGGCCCCCGTTGAGGTCTCATCTCGTGTTGTGGTGGTTGCTGCTCTCCGCAGATCTATCAGAGGAAGAGATGCGATGCGGCACATATCTTCAACCTCGCCGAATAATAAGGAAAAAAAAATATCTCGTGAGTGCGCACGGTTCACCCACACACGCACAGGCACACTTGTCTTTCCCTATAGACGCTTAGTTAGACTGATAGATTGGCTCGCCGTTCGAAGGAGTACGTAGTGCCAACAAAGACGCCAAAGAACACCAACTCCACACTTGTATTCTGATAGGATTCAAGGCATTTTTGTATTCCCATTGCTTAGAAGAAAGCTAACGGACTCCATGAGCACGCTTGCCACCTCCTCTGACCTCGGCGCCATCCAACAGCTCGAGGCACTCTTCCACAGCGCCGATCCCACACGAACAGGCCTTCTCTCGTACAGCGAGTTCGCCTACCTCATCCTAAAAAGCGGCGGCTCACCGGAGCAGGTGGATGCCCTCATCGACCAATTCTCCATCGCCTCGCGAGCGCAGCGCATGGTCTGCTACGCAGCACTGCTGCAGCATCTAAGCGACTCGGTAAAGGGAGGACCATCGCATTCGCAGGACACACAGCCGACTCATGCAGCCGGTGTCACCGAGCACTCCCCGCTGCCCGTGCCACCACCGCAGGCATCGCTCCACACGTACGTCAACGTTTCTACCTCAGCGTTGCCGGCTGTCGCAGCTGCCGGGGAGAGACGCAGCGCATCCTCCGCGTATCCTTCCAACCGAACCTCTGCTCCTACCCAGCGCATGGCAACGTCGTCATCACCGCTGCTGCGATCTGTCACACACGCCGGCAGTCGCGGTGGTTCTGCCGCCTCGCGGGAATCCTCGATCGCCTCCAGCGGTCCTTTTGAACGGCGACAGCAGTCTTTCAGCGATGGGCAGCAGCGTCGCAGCAGCAGCACGAGTGGTTCGCCGTGGACGCCGCTCCAGCCGAGCTCGCGTTTTGTGGCCTCGGTGGTGCGCACTGCACAGCTGCAGGGGACGCCGGGAGGGCGAAGAGGGAGAAGCGACGAAGGAGTTGGAGCTGCTGCGCCTGTTTCGCGATCGCGAAGCAGCACACCTTTGCCGGGACGCAGCCCACAGGAGTGGTCGGGAATCAATGTGGCGGGGCACCACGAGAAGCGTCAGGCGTTCGTGCCTGCCCGTCTAGACCAGGAGTTTAATGAGCACACCGGCGCACAGCCACGTGTCTCCCCTGCACGCTCGTCCCCGTCGCGGTCCCGCAGTCGGGAGGACTCCGTTGTGCGGATGACGCGCGCCGCGAAAGATGCGCAGGCCCGAAAGGGCAACCACGTGAACGCACCAGCACTTCCGAAGAACTCTCAACTTTGGAAGACTCCGAGCGGCGGCGTGCCGCTCCGAGACAGCTCCAACGCACTCACCGCACCGCAACCCACGGCGGACTCTTTGCTCTTGTCCTCCTCACGGAACGCACACATCGTGGAGGGCAATGCACGCCAACACGACAGCGTGCTCCCCTCCGCGTCGGTCACCGCCAATGCAGCGCTGCTCTCGCTCCGAGATGTTTTCCACCGCAACGTCCTTCCTGCCGCGGCGGCGAAAGACGGCACGGTGCTGCTGAGTGAATTAGAAGGAGTCTTCGCCGCGCACGGTGTAGAGGTGCACCCGCTGGAACTGGAGGCGGTGGTGGACTCTCTCGAGCTGCTGCCCGACAACACACCAACGAGTGCACGCTCATCAAACGTGGACGGTGGCACGCACACGCAATCCGGCGTCCACCACACCTCCTCCTCCTTCTCCTCCTTTGCGACGACGGCCGGCAACAACACAACCGTTACCGGCGGCGCGGACTGCGCGCTGGGGCTCGTGGACTTTTGTGTGTTGGTGTCGCGTCTCCGACCGGGTCTCATACAGCGCATTCGCCGCCCGGCAACGTGGAATGCGCCTCCGCGAAACGTCGAAATGGGTGTGGTGCACAATGGTGGTTCATTGGGCACCGCCGCTGCGGTTGACGTAGCGCGCCAACGCGTGCAGGAGACAACCACAGCGCTGCCACGCCGTAGCGTAGGTCACACCGTGCTTGACGGCGATGCAGTGGAGGAAGGAAGCGGCGGGGAAAGCGAGGAGGCGAGCATTGCTGATGTGACAGTGTCGCCCATGACACCGACGACCGCCGGCACCACACCGCAGTCCCACCGCGGCTCTTCGCTGCAGCGCCGTCCACAGCTGGACGCACCGTCACGTCCGTCGTCGGCCGTGGTAGATTCGCGCGGCCCTCTTTCGCTGCGTCGCCAACCTCTGTACGACACACCAAATGGCTCAAGTCGCTCTTACCGAACTGTGTTTCAAGATGCTGCCCCGACACCACCGACGGCGCGACAGCTCTCGTCCGACAGGCAATTCAGCGTGCTGGACGAGCCGCACGCGACGTCGGCGCGGTCATCCCCGCGGAACGGCGAGGCGCAGCGCGCCGGTTATGCGCTCTCCACAGCCTCTTCAGAGCGGCACCGACGCTCCCGGGTGCGCACGTCGCCGTCGCCGTCGGCGACAACACACGGCGAAGCGGCGGGGTTGCAGAGACGAAGGAAAGAGCCGGTGTGGCACACGGAGCCGAACACCGTCAGCCGGCAGGGCGCGACCAGGGCAACTTGCACCAACCACGCCGCACCCCGACGGGTGAGTGTCTCCATCAGCAGCTCTCCCACTCCGCGCCGGCGCGAGATGGAACACAGAAGGACGCTCTCGCCTCTTTCATCGTCTTCACCATCTCCCTCCTCCTCCTCACCGGGGTATCCTCAGGAGCGCGAAATGGGAGTTCACGCAGGCGGCTGGAAAGCACCAACGCTTTCGCCAGACTTGCTGGACACGGTACAGAGCGCGGCTTCCACGATGCTGCGGCGCTGCACCCAATTGGACACCCGCCACACGGGTTATGTCCCTGCACACGCGTGGGTGCACGTGCTACGTAGCAGCTGTCCTTCCCTGACGGGTGGTGAGCTGCGGAAGGTGGAGGAGTGGGTAGCGAGGATCCGTCAGCGCCACGCATGCACGCGAGGAGACGCGTACGCAGCGGTGGTGGAGGAGATCCTCACGCAGGGAAGCAACGCAGCAGCAGCAGCAGGAGGAACCCCATCCCCGTCTCCGTCACACGTAGTTCCCTCTTCTGCCTCTGCCACCCCTGCACCCACTGCATCAGCTGGTGGTTCATTGCAGCGTCTTTCTCCACGCGCCGCCCCGCACGTGCGAGGCGACGACAGCGCAGGGGCACACCGGCGTCTTCGTGACGAGCTCATGGCAGCTTGCGGCGGGGACACCGAAGCTTTGCAGGCGTACCTGGATGCGTTTGATGCGGCACACCAAGGCTACCTACATGAGCACGTCTGGCGCGCCAGTCTGGAAGAGCTGTTTCGGCGCACCACGTCCCGTACGGCGCCGCGGTGGGTGCTGGAGGAAAGTTATCGGCTGTCGCGACTGCCCTTTGACCGTGTTGCTGCACAGGAGCAGGGTGGAGTGGCGGTGCGGCCTCAGTCGGCAGCGGAGAGGGCCGCCTGCGCCCGCGTGCGCCGCATTCCCACCGAAATGCGAGATGCATTTTGCGATTACCGTTATGTTTTGCAGGAGCTGCACCTCGACGCGTCGCTGTAGTGAGAGGAGCGCTTCGTGGCCACAAACGCTGAAGAAAGAGGAAAAGCAGAATAAAGAAGAGGGATGGTTTTTTACTGCTATTTCAACCGGGAGATGCCGAAGGCACATTTCTCCGCATTTTCTATCGAGGACGGTGTTCTCAACGCCCAGCGTACCGATACAGGCACACGTAAATGCAGGCAAAGCTAAAAGAAATTATGCAGCTGAGCAGAGCTACAGCGTTTTCTAACCATCGTAACAGCTGTTCTGACTTCTGCAGATGACGCTGTAGTGCCGAGAAATCTGAATCGTGACGGTGCTGTTCGTTAGCATCTCACCTACCCTCACCTACCCTCGCCTACCCCCTCCTCTCTCCCTTTTTTACGTGGCCATTACTCCGCCTACACCTATCCCTTCGGTTCTGAATGCGCGCCCACACCCCTCGCTCCCTCCTCACTTACATTTCAGAAGCTTTTTTTTCCTAAAAGCTGTACATATAAATAAATAGTACGCACACGTACACACCGAAAGCAAACAATCCCCGAAAGGTGATCCGTCGTTTTTCTAGCTACGCTCTCTCTCCTTCTTTTCTTTTCGGACCTTCGCAGCAACACTTAGAACGTCCTCTGGAAAAGTTTGTATTGTCTGTGGCGTGAAATCAACTCCCTTTCTTGTGTTTTGTTTTGTTTCTTTAGAATCAACCCCCGTTTGTACGCACGCGTGTGGTTTGTGTCTCTTTGTGCTTGTGTTTTTGTATTTTCTTTTCCTCTCTCTCTCCCTATCCACACTCGAAGAAGGGAAAGTCATGGAGGATCCTGAAGTCGCGCCAGAGACGCCGGTGCTCGAGTACGGCGCCGCGTCGCCGGTCACAGAAATGAGCCGCATGGTCCGCTCCGACCTGCGCCACCACTACATCTTCTCCCGCGTCCGCGACTTCTTCTCCGGCGGCGACGCAGCGAAGGCAGATGAGCTGACACGCCAGCTGGACCGCAACTTCACGGATGGCACAGCGAACTTCATGGTGGTGCACGAGATGCTGCAGGGCACCGGGGCGAACACCCTCCTCTTCACCTACCAGCCGGCGGGGAGTGAGAATGGTGTGGCGGCGAGGGATGCGGGCGCTAACGGCAATGGTGCCGCAAATGGTCAGACCGGCGATAAGATCATCACCGCGAACGCCGCAGCTGCTTTCGCTTCCCAGCCGGGCGGCGACGACGTGCTGCGGGTGCTGGACCCGACGAAGGACGCCATCCAGCACATCGCGAAGCGCTTCGTGTACGTGATGCGGTCTGACACGGGTAAGCCGATCAACAGCAAGGATATCGCGCAAGCCGTGCAGGAGATCTCGATGGGCGTGATGCAGGCGAACGTGTTGGCGAGCTACGAGCACCTCATCACGGAGGTCTACACGCCGCTGCTGAACCGTCGGCGCAGCTGGGGCAAGAACACCGCGGACGAGAAGAATCAGTTCATCCTGAGCCTCATGCAGTACGCTGACCGCGTGAACGAGCTGCAGCAGCTGAAGGACGACACGACGACGCTCACCCCCGTTGCGGAGGCTACCTGGAAGCAGCTGAAGAGCGGCGGCGTCAGCAAGCGCAGCGGGATCAGCGACAGCAACGTCGTGTCCACCCTCGCCCAGACGGTGGACTCGTGGATTCACACCGTCAACGAGGCGGTGGCCGACGTGCCGAACTACGAGGCGGAGCTACAGGACGAGCGGGCCGGCCCCAAGACGGAGAAGGAGCTGTGGAAGACGCGCCTGGCGAAGCTGCGGCTGCTGGAGGAGCAGCTGCAGAACGTCTCCGCCGCACAGGCCGTGCAGTACCTGCGCGAGGCCCGCAACCCGGTCGTGCAGCAGTGGACAGAGATGGACGCCGGCCTCACCGAGGGCCTCGCCGAGGCGCAGGAGAACGTGAAGTACCTGCAATCGTTGGACACCTACTTCGATGTATTATACACGTCCAACTTGCAGCGCATCATGTCGATTATTCCTACCCTCATGGCGAACATCCGCATGATGTACACCATCGCCCGCTACTACCCTACGCAGGAGCACATGACCGCGCTGTTCTTCAAGATAACGAACGAGATTGTGCTGGCCTGCAAGCGGGCCATCAACCCGTCCGGCAACCGCTCCCGCATCTGGGAGATGACGCTCGACTCCGCCTCGCTGCAGGACCTGATTGGCCGCCTGCAGGCGAGCGCGAAGCTGAACGAGGTGTACGTCCAGGAGTACCGCAAGGCGCAGGAGTACCTCGTCGCCAACAGCGGCAGCAGCGGCGGCCGCCTCTTCGACTTCGATGAGCTGCGCTTCCTCGGCCACTTCAACCTCTTCGCGAAGCGCGTCGACAAGCTCATCGCCGTCTTCCGCAAAGTGGAGCAGTTCCGTCTCCTGAAGAGCTTCCACGTGGACCAGATGGCGGGCCTGCTGCCGCGTTTCGACGAGTACCTTGGCCACCTGCGCGGCAAGACGACGGACATCCTTGACGTGCACGACAACAACAAGTTCGATGTGGAGTTCAAGATCTTTGAGAGCCGCCTGTCGGAGCTGGAGACGTCGATGCAGGTCGCTATCAACTCCTCCTTCGAGAACATCACCTCCACCGACAACGCGCTGTTGTTGCTGAAGAAGTACCAAAAGATTCTGCAGTCCGACACCTTCGCGGCGGACCTGGAGTCCAAGTACTTGGTCATCTTCCACAGCTACGGCATGGAGCTGGAGAAGGATCAGAAGACCTACGAACGCTACAAGGAGGACCCGCCGATGGCGCGCAATATGACGCCGGTCGCCGGCGCGATCAGCTGGTCGCGCCAGCTGCTGCGCCACATCAAGGAGCCAATGGACAAGTTCAAGCAGAACCGCACCATCATGGCGAACACGAAGGACAGCAAGAAGGTGATCCGCACGTACAACAAGGTGTCCATCGCGCTGCTCGAGTTTGAGGCGATTTGGCTGGACGCGTGGAAGCGCTCCATCGAATCGAGCAAGGCGGGCATGAACGCGACGTTGCTGGTGCGCCACGAGGGCCGGCTCTACGTGAACTTCGACAACGAGATCAACCAGCTCATCAAGGAGACGCGCTCGCTGATGCTGCTGGGCGACATCGACGTCCCGTCCTCCGCCAAGGCGCTGCTCATGCAGGAGCAAAAGCTAAAGGTCTTCTACAACGAGCTGACCTACCTCGTGCGGGAGTACGAGCGCGTGGTCGGTCGCCCCGGTGAGTCAACGCGCTGTGCCATCATCGGCATCACGCGTCCGCTGCTGCAGGCCGCGATAGAGAAGCTGGACGCGATTATCCGGCCCGGCGAGACGACGCTGACGTGGACGTCGATGAATGTTGACATTTACCTCGAGCGGGTGCGAGACGGCATTAACGAGGTGGACCACCTTGTCAGCAAAGTTAACGAGACGGTCGTGCATCGCATCCAGTCGAACCTAAAGTCGGTCTCCTCCACGCTGCTCGTGAACCTCTTCGAGGAGCACGTCTCGCTGGACCAGTTTGTGCAGCTGCAGGAGCGCCATATCCGCCAGCAGTGCGAGGTGATGAACGTCAAAAACCGCGAGGTCGAGAGCGCCGTGGACGACGTGGTGGACATCATCGTCCGCTACAACCAGGCAAACACCGCCAGCAACACTTACAGCAATAACAACAACGCTAGCGGCAACGACACGTCGACGGCGATGGTGCCGGCGTCGAACGGCACGGTGTCCGCCCTCTCGATGGACACCGTGACGCAGGAGAAGGTGCGCACGCTGAAAGGCCACTTTCATCGTCTGATGTTCAAAGCCATCCTGACCTGCACGACCCGCTCGCTGAATCTGCTGAAGAAGCGCGTCGGTACGCACAACCGCGTCGCCTTCCTCTTCTCCGAAACGCCGCTCTTCGACGTGGATGTGCAACTGCTGAACACGGAGCCGTACCTATTCCTGAACCCCTCGCTCGACGAGGTCCAGCTGACGATTAACCAGTGCGCCACGGCGGTGCTGTCGTGCAGCAAGTACATGACGCGCTGGCACTACTTCAACGAGGAGGGCGCTAACTTCTACGAGGAGATCGCGCGCAACAAGGAGGTGGTGAAGGTGGTGCTGCTGCTGACGGGAAGCGTGCACGGGCTGAAGAAGCAGGTGATGGAGTACTTGGGTTACTTCCGCAAGTACGAGGCGATCTGGAAGGAGGACAAGGACGAGGCCTACGAGGTCTTCCTCAAGACGAGCCCCACCCTCGACGACTACGAGGCGAAGCTGGGCGAGTATGTGGCGTTGGAGGAGGAAGTGGGAGCTGTCGCCTCGTGCTTCAACGTCGGCAGCCTGGCCCTGCAGAACAAGCCGCTTCAGCTGGAGCTGCTGCAGCAGATCCGCAACTGGAAGGATGTGTTCGTGAACAAGCTCTACGCCCAGGCACAGCGCCAGCTCGACACCCTGACACACAAGATGGAGGACGAGGCCCACCAGCTGGAGCTGCCCATCCCCGACCAGGACAAGCTGGAGGACCTGCGCGTGCTCATGAACACGCTGCGCGACATTCGCGATCGCGAGTCGGTCGTCGAGTTCCAATTCGCGCCGGTCCAGCAGTCCTACGCGATGCTGCAGCGGTACACATCGATCATCCCAAAGGAGGAGACGGATCGCGTCGAGGACCTGCGCATCAAGTGGCTGAAGCTGCACAAGGCCGCGCAGAAGCGCTCCGACGACATCAACGTGATGCAGCACGGTTTCAAGAAGGGCCTAACGCAGGAGGTGCAGAAGTTCAGCGCGGAGGTGGTCGCCTTCCGCAACGACTACGACTCGAACGGGCCGATGGTGGAGGGACTGCCGCCGCAGGAGGCAATGGAGCGCTTGAAGCGCTATCAGCGCCAGTTCGACGACAAATACCGCAAGTGGATGACCTACATGGCAGGCGAAGAGCTCTTTGGTCTGCCCGTGCACAAGTACCCGGAACTGGTGAAGACGAAGAAGGAGTTGGAGCTGCTGGACAAGCTGTACACGCTGTACATCAACGTGCTACAGAAGGTCAACGGCTACAACGACATTTTGTGGAGCGACCTCAACTTCGACGCCGTCTGCGAGGAGGTCAGCGTCTTCGTGAGCCAGTGCAAGCGGCTGCCCAAGTCGCTGCGCGACTGGGATGCCTACGTGGAGCTGAAGACGATCCTCGACAACTTCATGGAGCTGCAGCCCGTCATTCAGGAGCTGAAGAACCCGGCGGTGGTGGAGCGGCACTGGCAGGAGATCATGAAGGTGTCGGGGCACAAGTGGCGCACCGACCCCGACCTGTTCAAGCTGCAGGACCTCGTCGATGCGAACCTGCTCGCTGTCGTGGAGGAGGTGGTCGACATCGCCATCTCGTCCGTCCGCGAAGCCGAAATTGAGGCGAAGTTTCGCGCGCAGGAGGCGGTGTGGAAGGACCAGGAGTTGCACTTCAGCGAATTCAAGCACCGCGGCCCTATTGTGCTGAAGGGTGATGACACCACCACGGTCCGCGAAGCCCTGGAGGAGTCGTCGCTCGCGGTGAACTCGATGCTGTCCTCCCGCTACTGCGCCTTCATGCGTGAGGCGATCCAGATGTTTCTGCAGAAGCTCGTCAAGGTGAGTGAGACCATCACACTCTGGACGGAGGTGCAGTTCACCTGGCAGTACCTCGAGGCCGTCTTTGCAGGAGGTGACATCATGAAGCAGCTGCCGCAGGAAGCGAAGCGCTTCGCCATCATCGACAAGCAGTGGCAGAAGATCATGAACAAGGCGAACGAGACGCCGAACGTGATTGGCTTCTGCTACGAGAATGAGTTGCTGCAGAACCTGCCGACGCTGAAGGAGCAGCTCGACGAGTGCCAGCGCAAGCTCTCCCTCTACCTCGAGCAGAAGCGCAACCTCTTTCCGCGCTTCTACTTCGTGTCCGACACGGTGCTGCTGGAGATCCTCTCGCAGGCCAGTGACCCACAGTCCATTCAGCCGCACTTGTCCTCCATCTTTGACGGTGTGTCCTCGGTGACCTTCGAGCGGGTGAAGCCGAAGGAGGCGGGCGTGCAGCCGTACTTCCAGGTGACAGAGATGATTTCCGGCGAGGGCCAGGTGCTGCCGATGCATGAGGCTACCCCGTGCGTCGGCAACGTCGAGGACTGGCTGACGCGGCTCTGCACCGGCATGACGGATACCGTCCGTGAGGTTGTGAAGTCGAGCGTGACGGAGCTGCCGACGCTGCTGAACAACACGGCCTACCTCGGCACGATCATCGACCGCTACCCGGCGCAGGTGTCGCTGCTGATGCTGCAGTTCTTCTGGACGGCAGATGTGACGGACTGCATTCACCGTGGTGCGATGCGGGCGCGCGGTAAGGAGGCCGCCGCCTCCCGCTCTAAGTGTGATGCGGTGAAGAACTACCTCGTGAACATCACCACCTCGCCGGATCTGGAGCGGAAGCCGCTGCGCATGCGCACGAACATCGAGACCCTCATCACGATTCAAGTGCATCAGCAGGAGGTCTTCATGGAGCTGCAGAAGTCTGGCATCAAGGACATCACTCACTTCGATTGGCTGAAGCAGGCCCGCTTCTACTACCGCCCCGAGCGCGACGCCACGATCATCTCCATCGCCGACTCGGACACGGAGTACAGCAACGAGTACCTTGGCGTGAAGGAGCGTTTGGTCATTACCCCGCTCACGGATCGGTGCTACATTACGCTGTCGCAGGCGCTGGCCATGTACATGGGCGGTGCCCCGGCTGGCCCGGCCGGGACGGGTAAGACGGAAACGACTAAGGATCTCGCCCGCACCTACGGCAAATTCTGCGTCGTGTTTAACTGCTCCGATCAGCTCGACCGCCACGCGATGGGAAAGATCATCCGTGGCCTGTCGCAGGCCAACGCGTGGGGATGCTTTGACGAGTTCAACCGTATCGATCTCCCCGTTCTGTCTGTCGTGGCGCAGCAAGTCAGCTGCGTGTTGCAGGCCCTGAAGCAGCACAAGGAGAAATTCATCTTCATTGACGGCCAGGTGACCGACCTGATGCCCGGCGTCGGCTTCTTCATCACGATGAACCCCGGCTATGCGGGTCGTCAGGAGCTGCCAGAGAACCTAAAGATTCTGTTCCGTGGTGTGACGATGATGGTGCCGGACCGCCAGACGATTATGAAGGTGAAGCTCGCCTCGCAGGGGTACAGCCAGGACGATCTGCTGAGCAAGAAGTTCTTTATTCTGTACAAGCTGTGCGAGGAGCAGCTGTCGAAGCAGCGCCACTACGACTTTGGCCTGCGCAACATTCTGTCGGTGCTGCGTACCGCCGGTGCGGTGCTGCGGCGTAACCCCGGCAAGGACGAGGAGGACCTTTTCATGCGTACGCTGCGTGACATGAACCTGTCGAAGCTAGTTTTCGAGGATATCGATCTCTTCGACTCGCTGCTGCGTGACATGTTCCCCGGGCGGCAGTTCGTCAAGGGCACCCACCCCGAGATCGAGGGGGAGCTGAAGAAGGTGGTGGAGGAGAAGGGTCTCATCTACTGGACGCCGTGGGTGAGCAAGGTGCTGCAGCTGTACGAGACGAAGCTGGTGCGGCACGGCATCATGGTGGTGGGCCCTGCGATGTGCGGTAAGACGCAGTGCTATGACGTCATGACGGACACGCTCTCGCGCACGACGGTGCCGCACCAGCAGCTGCGCATGAACCCGAAGGCGATTACCGCCCCGCAGATGTTCGGCCGCGTCGACGTGACCGGCGACTGGCACGACGGCGTCTTCTCCTCCCTGTGGCGCCAGGCCGTGCGCAACGCCAAGAAGAAGAACTTCTGGATCATCTGCGATGGTCCGGTGGACGCCATTTGGATTGAGAACCTCAACACCGTGCTGGACGACAACAAGCTGCTCACCCTGGCGAACGGCGATCGTATTCAGATGAGCGACACGATGAAGTGCTGCTTCGAGGTAGAGAACCTGGCGAACGCCTCGCCGGCCACCGTCTCGCGCGCCGGTATCGTGTACATTTCCGATGTGATTCTCGGCTGGATGCCGGTGCTGGAGTCGCGCCTGCGGGCGAGGATGGATGCGGATGGGCAGATGCTACCGCGCGACGTCGTCAAGCGCTGCAACCCGCAGCTCGCGGAGAAGCTGCTGTCGATCTTTCTGCCGCGCAGTCCGGACTCGCAAACAGTGCCGGAGAACTGCGTCACGAACCAAATCGCGGAGTTCTACAGCCACGAGTGTAGCGTGGTGATGCGCACGTCGGTCGCGCACCTCGTGGAGAACGCGTTCCACCTTGCTGTGGCCCTCGGCGATGAGCTGGGCGACGGCGCCAACGTGTCGCAGCAGATGGCGGAGAAGATCTACTGGTTCTGCATGGCCTGGTCCTTCGGTGGCACGCTGGAGCTGCGGGATCGGGCGCGATTTGACCAGTTCGTGCGCAGCAAGTTCTCTGCCCTGCCCGCCCCCGCCGAAGGCTACATCTTCGACTTCTCCCTAAACTGCAAGACGGGTGAGTGGGAGCCGTGGACGCAGTACGTGGAGCAGTGGCGCTATCCCGGCGATGACCGGCTCGACTTCTCCTCGCTCTTTATCCCGACGGCAGACTCGGTCCGCATGCACTACCTCGCCAGATGCAACTTCCTGCAAAGCCGTCCGACGCTCTTTATCGGTGTCAGCGGCACAGCCAAGACGGTGACGGTGGAGCAGTTCCTCGGCCAGGTGAAGGCGAACGACGACCAGAGCAACTTCCGTAAGGTGAACTTCTCATCTATGACGCTGCCGCAGAACTTCTACAACACGCTCGAGGACATGACGGAGAAGAAGATGGGCTCGAACTACGGCCCGAAGAGCTGCACGCAGCTCACCGTCTTCATTGACGACATCAACATGCCGGAGATCAACGAGTGGGGTGACCAAATCACGAACGAGATTGTGCGGCAGGTGGTCGAGATGAGCCAGGTGTACGACCTCAGCAGGCCGGGCCTGCGCCGCGAGTTCAAGGGGCTCGTGTTTATGGCGGCCATGTCGCACCCGTCAGGCGGCAAGAACGATATTCCCAACCGGCTGAAGCGCCACTTCACGGTGCTCAACATGCCGCTACCGGAGGAGGCGAACATCCAGCAAATCTTCGGTACAATCTTCGAGGGACGGTTCTGCAACGACAACTACGCGCAGGGCGTGCAGGACGTGGCGCGCATCCTGACGAAGATGTCCATCAGCTTCTGGGAGGCCATCGGCAAGCGCATGCTGCCCACCCCCGACAAGTTCCACTACTTCTTTAACCTGCGCGACCTTTCGCGGATTACGCAGGGCGTCATGCTGGCGGGTATGCAGTCCGACCCGGACCGGCCGGAGAAGCGAGCGGAGAGCAAGCCGTGGGAGATCATCACCGACCCGGTCACGCTGCTGCGGGTGTGGAAACACGAGTCGGCGCGTGTCTTCAGCGACAAGCTGAACAGCGTCGCCGACAAACGCTGGTTCGATGCGAACATTCAGGACTGCATGGCGGAGCACCTCTCCACGACGCCCTACAAGGACCTGGTGGAGCAGGCGCGCGAGCCCGTCTACATGGCGAACTTCATGCGCGATCCGATTATCGACCCGGAGACCGGCGAGCAGGTCGAGCCGGCGCCGCGCATCTACGAGGTGGTCCCGTCCATGGAGACGGTGCTGCAGCGTCTCATGGGCGCCATGCAGGCCCACAACGAGACCCCGATGGGTCGCATTAAGAAGCTGAACCTCGTCCTTTTTGAGGCGGCGCTGAAGAACGTGTGCCGCATCTCCCGCTGCCTCTCGCTGCCGCGCGGCAACCTACTGTTGGTCGGTGTCGGTGGTAGCGGCAAGCAGTCACTGGCCCGCCTCGCCGCCTTCGTCAACGGCCACGACTTCGCCACACTGACCATCTCCAAGGGCTTCGGCGTCAACCAGCTTTTCGATGCGATTCGCGAGCAGTACGTCAGCGCGGCCACGAAGAAGCCGGTGACGATGCTCTTCACGGACAACGACATCAAGCAGGAGGTCTTCCTCGAATACATCAATTCCTTTCTCTCCAACGGCGAGATTGCCGGCCTCTTCGCGAGCGACCAGCGCGACTCCGCCATCAACGACGTGCGTCCGATCATGAGGAAGGACCCGTACGCGCGATTCGAGGACATGTCGGAGCCGCTGTGGAAGTACTTCATTGCCCGCGTCCGCGAGCGGCTGCACTTCGTGCTCTGCTTCTCGCCGGTGGGCGACCGCTTCCGCACCCGCGCTCGCAAGTTCCCCGCGCTCATTTCGTCGTGCATGATCAACTGGTTCTTCCCGTGGCCGAAGCAGGCCTTGCTGGACGTCTCCTCGCGCACCATCGAGAGCTTCGAGATGGCCACCGAGGACAAGAACAAGAAGGCGCTGGTGGAGCTGATGGCGGAGATCCACACGCTGATGCTCGAGCGCTCCGAGGAGTACCTCGCGCGGTACCGCCGCAGCGTCTACAGCACCCCCAAATCGTACCTCAGCTTCATCGAGAGCTACACGACGGTCTACACGAAGAAGTTCAATGAACTCAACGACGAGGCGAAGAAGATCAACAACGGCCTCAAGAAGCTCCATCAGGCCGCCGAGGATGTGCGAGTGATGCGGACGCAGCTGCAGGAGAAAGAGGTGTTGCTGAACAACAAGCGCAAGGAGACGGACGCCCTCGTGCGAGAGATCGAGGTGCGCACCGCCGAGGCGCAGAAGAAGAGGGCGGAGGTCGAGGTGGTGAAGGAGGCGGTGGCCCACGATGCCGCCATCGTCGCGAAGGGCGAAGCGGAGGCGAAGAAGGATCTGGAGGCGGCCGAGCCGGCGCTGATTGAGGCGATTGAGTCGCTGAACTCCATCACGGCGAACGACTTCGTGACGCTGAAGAAGCTGGCGAACCCACCGGCGCTGATTAAGCGCATTTTCGATGCCGTGTCGATTCTGCTGCACCGTCCCCTCACCGTGCCGAGCTCTGAGCAGGTGAAGGGCTCGCTGTGGATCACCGACTCGTGGGAGTTCTCGGGTCGCCAGCTCGCCTCCGACGCGAGCACGCTCGATCAGCTGAAGAACTTTGGTGAGACGAAGAAGGACTACATCAACGAGGAGACGTGCGAGCTGCTACTGCCGTACTTGTGGATGGAAGGCTTCACCGCCGATGCGGCCCGCAAGGCGTGCGGTAACGTGGCCGGTCTGTGCACGTGGGTGAGCAGCATGTACAAGTACATCAACATCGCCAAGGTGGTGGCCCCCAAGAAGGAAGCGCTGCGCATCGCCACGATCCAGCTCCGCGCCGCGAACAAGAAGAAGGAGGAGCAGGAGGAGGAGCTGGCCCGTGTGACGGCCGAGGTGGACGGCTTCAACGCCCAGCTCAGCGAAGAAAACGCCAAGAAGCAGGCCTTGGAGGAGGACGCAAACCGGACGAAGCAGCGCATGGACAGTGCCAACGGCCTCATCGACGCCCTCTCCGGCGAACGGGAGCGGTGGACGCAGCAGAGCAACGAGTTCAAGACTCTTATCGACCGGCTTGTCGGAGATGTGGCGCTCAGCTGCGCCTTCATTTCGTACTGCGGCCCGTTCAACTCCGAGTTCCGTAACCAGCTGCTGTACGAGTACTTCTACCCCAAGTGCAAGCAACTGAACATTCCCGTCACGCCGGACCTGAACGTGGTGCGCTTCCTGGTGGACGAGACGACGATCGCGGATTGGCAGCTGGAGGGCTTGCCGGCGGATAACCACTCCATCCAGAACGCCATCATGATCACAACGAGCTCCAAGTATCCGCTGATGATTGATCCGCAAGGACAGGCGCTGAACTGGGTGCGTAAGCGCACCGAGGATTTGCAGAACAAGGTCGTGCGAATGAATGATCGCACTTTCTCCAACAGCCTGCAGGAGCAACTCGACCAAGGTCGCCCCCTGATCGTGGAGAACATCCCGGAGGAGGTGGACACGATGCTGGATCCGGTGCTGGAGCGGCAGGTGGTGCGCAGCGGGCGCACGCTGCTGATGAAGATCAACGGCGAGGATATGACCTACAACGAGAAATTCTCGCTCTTCATGACGACGAAGCTGCCGAACCCCAGCTTCACGCCTGAGCTGTTCGCCAAGTGCCTCGTGATCGACTTCACCGTGACGATGGAGGGCCTGGAGCAGCAGCTGCTGTCGCAGGTGGTGAGCCGCGAAAAGGCGGAGCTGAACGAGGAGAGCGCGAAGCTGTCGGAGGACATCAACAACAACGAGAAGCGCCGCAAGAACTTGGAGGACCGCCTCCTGAAGCAGCTGAGCGAGTCGCAGGGCAACCTGATCGACGACGTGGATCTCATCAACACTCTGCAGGAGACGAAGGACGCGTCGGCGGAGATTGCCGAGAAGCTGGCGACGGCCATGGAAACGAAGAAGCGCATTGCCGGCGCACGGGAGGAGTACCGCCCAGTGGCCAGCCGCGGCGCCGTGTTGTACTTCCTCGTTGTGCAGATGTCTCTCGTGAACCACATGTACCAGACCTCGCTCGTCCAGTTCAACGGCATCTTCGACAACTCCATTCTCCGCTCGGAGCACCACCCCGTCACGGCGAAGCGCATCCAGTGCATCATTGACCACTTCACCCTCGCCGTCTTCAAGTACGTGATCCGCATGCTCTTCTCGAAGCACAAGCTGCTCTTTGTGCTGCTGCTTGCCTGCAAGATCGAGATGAAGGCCGGCCGGCTCGACACCGTCGCCTTCGAGGCGCTCTTGAAGGGTGGTGGCGGCGTGCAGGTGGACCGCGCGAAGCCGTTCAGCTGGCTGAAAGACAAGGCGTGGGCGAACGTGATGGCCATCGCACAGCAGGTGCCGCGCGTCTTCAAGCAGCTGCCCGACCTCATCATGCGCAACGAGCAGCAGTGGCGGCCGTACATCGAGGCGGAGGCGATGGAGTCGATGGCAACGCCGGACATTAACGAGAAGATGGAGTCGTTTGAGCGGCTGCTGCTGGTGCGGGCACTGCGCGAGGACCGCACGATGCTCGCCGCGACGCAGTACATCGCAACGACGCTGGGCAAGACCTTCGCCGAGGCGCAGCAGCTGGATCTGTTGGACGTCGTGGAGGAGACGACGGGGCTGACGCCGATCGTGTTTCTGCTCTCACAAGGCAGCGACCCCACGACGCTCATCGAGGCGAGTGCGAAGAAGCTGAAGAAGAAGATCTATCCCATTTCGATGGGCCAGGGCCAGGAGGAGGCCGCCATGAACATCGTCAGCTCCGCGTGGCAGAACGGTGACTGGGCGCTGCTGCAGAATTGTCACTTGGGCCTGCCCTTCTTGATACAGCTGGAGGAGCGTCTGCGCGTGCAGTCGATGGCAGCCGTGCCGGGGGAGAGGAAGGCGGAGATCCACGAGGAGGCCCGCATCTGGATCACCTCCGAGCCGCACCTGTCCGTGCCAATCGGCCTGCTGCAGATGTCCATTAAGCTGACAAACGAGCCGCCGCAGGGCATCAAGGCCGGCCTCATCCGCACCTACTCGTGGATGTCGCAGGACTACCTCGAGATGTTCCGCCGACCCGAGTGGCGACCGATGCTCTTCACGCAGTGCTTCCTGCACTCCGTGGTGGTGGAGCGGCGCAAGTTCGGCCCGATCGGCTTCAGCGTGCCCTACGAGTTCAACCAGGGCGACTGGACGGCGTCGGTGCAGTTCTTGGTCAACCACATGACGACTATCGGCGAGCAGCTGCGCAACCCGGTGAACCGCGACACCGTGTGCTACATGGTAGCGGACATCCAGTACGGTGGTCGCATCACCGACAACAACGACCGCGCCCTCTTTAAGGCCATCACAGAGTTCCTGTACGACAACCACATCACCAACCCCGAGAAGTGCAAGGACGGCAAGGAGATGACGGAGTTCTACCCGGGCTACGGCATTCCGCTCTTCGACGACATCAACAAGCACCGCGACTTTATCCGCGAGACCTACCCGGAGGTCGACACGCCGGAGGTGTTTCAAATGCACCCGAACCAGGACATCACCTACCGCACGCGGCAGGCGCAGGAGGTGCTCGCGACGATTCTGGATGTGCAGCCGCGTGGCGCGACCACCACCGGTGGCGTCACCCGCGAGGAGAAGGTGCTCGCCATGACGGACAGCTACCTGAAGCTGCTACCGTCGGACTGGACGGTGGACCGCAAGGGCCACCTTGGCGACCGCCAGCCGCTCTCCATTTTCGCCTGCCAGGAGATCGACCGCCTGAGCGTGGCGATCAAGGTGGTGCGCAAGACCTGCCAGGACTTGAAGCTCGCCGTCGCCGGGACGATCATCTTGACCCCCGCCCTGCAGGACGCGCTGGACTTGCTGTACGACGCGCGTGTGCCGACGACGTGGGTGGCGGTCGGCTGGCCGTCACCGAACATCGCCCTCTGGATCGCGGAGCTGGTGCGGCGCTACGAGCAGCTGCAGGCGTGGGCGACGAGTGGGCGGCCGCAGGTGTACTGGCTGCCCGGCTTCTTCAACCCGCAGGGCTTTCTCACCTCGGTGCGCCAGGAGATTACGCGCAGCCACTCGAATGAAGCGGTGCCGTGGGCGCTTGACAAGGTCGAGACCCGCACGGAGGTGCGCAGCTCCGAGTACCGCCCGGGGCAGGAGGCGAAAGCGGACGACCTGCGTACCGAGAAGGGTGAGGTGGTGATCTACGGCCTGTTCCTGGAGGGGGCCATGTGGGACCGCGTGAACAAGCGGCTGAAGGACCCGCTGCCGGGCGACCTCTACCGCGAGCTGCCGATGTTGCTGGTGTCTGCCTTTAACAAGGATGCCCCGCAGCAGGCCGCCGCGCAGCCGACAAAGCCCGGCGCTGCGAAGGAGAAGAAGACGAAGCAGGAGTACTACCGGTGCCCAGTGTACAAGTACCCTAGCCGCTCGGACAACAACTGGATCTTCGACGTGCGCCTGCCGGTGGCGGAGGACGACGCGTACTGGCGTATGCGCGGTGTGGCACTGCTGGGTACGACGGATTAAAGGAAATATTGAAAAGATAGGGAGAGGGAGGGGGGGGAACATGAAGACCCCGTGTGGATCGGCCAGCGAAATTGTTGCTGTTGCGGTGGACGTGATGGCGGGGTGGAGCAAAGGTTTTCGTGTTCTCTTGCGCTCTTCTCCTAATCGTATAACCGTTTTTTTCCCCCCTGTTTCTCTTTTCCTTTCTTTCGTCTTGACGAATCTTGCGGACGGTATCTTCGGTACTACACGACTTGCCCTTGCAAGCAGCAAGCGACTTTGCCCCTTTTCCCCTTTCTGAAGAAGAGTTCGTTTTCGTTTTTGTCTCTTTTCCTTCTTCGACGACCTCGATTATCCTTGGTCCGCGTTGTTGTTGTTCTCACGCTTTACTCGCTGTGGTGCAAATGCTCGGACGACAATTCACTTGTCGGCTGTTCATTCACAATCACAAAGGCACACCTACAAATATATATATTTATCTACTTCTTTTGTTCTATGTAAACTTTTCTCCTATGGCTTTTGTGCTATCTCGTCGTGTTGTGAGAAAAGAAGATGCAGCGAGAGGAGCGGTCGTTTGAACTACGTGGCATTTCTCTGGTCTTTTTCTTGTTTGTTCTTTCTTCTTTCCGCGCGATGTAGGCACTTTCGATGTATAATGTTCTCCGGAACAGCACCACAAACATCTCTACTGAAAGAACTCAAAGGTATTGAAAGGAATCGACTCGCTCGCCTGAAAGCAGATTGTGTTAGCTGTTTTCCAAGCATTCGTGTTCTTCAAGATTTTTTTCTTTTGAGCACCCTTCGCGGCCTCGCATGAAGCGAAGTTTCTCGTCCCTTGCGCATACCTCGCGAAGTGGTCGGTGGTGCACGGGACGGGAGAAACGGAGTAGCGTTATATTGAGGGGTGTGCACACACACTTCCTGTGTAAGCGTGTGTCGTCCACATTTCGCAAATCTTGCTTCGGCAAACCCTTCACTTTCTTCTCCTCTTACTCTTCTCTCCACCCTCATTGACCTATCGCTGTCTTATTTCACGTGTGTGTGTTGGCGGACTTCGCCCAATTGTTCTGGGGATGCGAAGCAGGTTACGATCAAGCGCCGTGTGTGAAGGGCGTTTCGTAGGTTCTTCTCTTCTATTTAGAAACCCTCCTCACATTCCCTTTCTTTTTTTTCTCTTTTCTTTCTGCTTTCTGAGGCAGATTTGGTGCTCAGGTCTCTTTCCCCAATATTGGCTCTGAAGTCAACGCAGCAGAGTCGTCTTGTTCTTCTTCTCACTGAGCAGCACCCTCGCCTCCCCCCCCCCTTCCATTTTAACGCTTGCCCGGGTCGTCTGCATTAAAACTACTGGTTATTCCAAAGTGGGGTTTTCTGAAGGCGTCTCGTCTGGACGCTCACTTAAAAAAGGGGGAAAGGAAGAAAAATGCTGCGCTCTAGTTTTCCTCTGAACGCGCTCGGCGGCAGCGTGGTCCGGAGTAAAGCCCTCGTAGCCCCCGTCTCGAGCGTTATCCTTCAAGAAGCCGGCACGAATCTGCCGGGCATCCCCCACCCCAACCGCGTATGTCGTCTCTACCGTCAATGGTTGAAGCTGGCGGTGCTCTGCCCACCGAGCGCGCTGTGCGACCTCAACGAGCATGCCCAGATGAACGAGCGCTTCGTCATTATCCTGCGCCAGAAGTTTCGCGAGGGGGCGGAGTTGCGGGACGCGGAGCAGATCGCCGTCGCCGTGCAGTCGTGCGAGCGCAGTCTTGCGATGTTTCGCTTTTTAGCGGCGGACGGGGCGAAGCGGAAGTTCCCCGAGGCGAAGCCGCGCCTGAATTTGCACAAGATGGGCTTCTTAGAGATGGGTAAAATTAACTACAAGCAGATGGTGAAAGAGTACTGGAACACGTACGTGCTTCGCAAGTGGTAAAGAGGAGGGAGAGGGGGAGAAGAAAGAAAATAGATCATGTGAGGGCTTTTCTTTAGTCTCTCTTTTTTTTACTGTTGTTGTTTGATACTGACCGCGAAACGTTCTTGAGGTGCATCCAGCATCACCTTGTTTTGCTACTTTTGTCTGTTACTTGGTCTGTTCTGTTGTTGATATTCACAGCTGCAACTCGGTGTAATCTGACTAACAGAAAAAGAAGAGTGCTAAGCTTTTGCTGTTGTTTGTCGCTCCTTCACGTGAGGGTATCTCCATTGAAGGGTTCTCGCTCATACCGCAGCAGCGTCCTTACTCTCAAGAGCAAATCAAAAGGTGGTGGCCGCCTGTGGTCCACGCGGAATAACAAGTTTGCTGCCTGCTGCGCTCACCACGGTGTCGTTGGTGAACTTGCTTTCCTTCTCACTGTTCCCTTCTTACCTCTTTCGACGCTGTTTTCTACACGCCATCCATCCTCCCCCGTGGACGCGACGTTGCCCTTTATTTCTTTCGTTTCCTCTTCTATTTTGGTGTTGCTTTCCTTCTACGGCGCCAACCCCGACTTTTCAAGTTAAACGAAAATACGTGATTTCTTCTTTATAGTTGTTGTTTGTTTGTTGTTTGGTCCAGCACAGTTTTGAGCTCATCACGTGCGTGTCTACTCATCAACACGCCGCGTACCAGGCCCACCACCACCACCACCACCGCAAACACTATCCGTACTGCTCGTCAGCACATTTATCAAAACGAAGTTTTCTTCCTCTTCTGACATTTTTTTTTGTGTTTTCTTTCCGAGGCGGCTCCCGAACTCGTCGTCTCGAGTTATTTTATTTTTCTCAGTTCCATTGCGTGCTGACTCTGCGGAAGCGTGAAGAAGAAGGCAAAACAGAACATCAACGGTCTGCACTGTACATAGGCCTTTCGAAAACCGCAGACGCCTGTACATATTTCGGTGTTGGAGTCTTCTTCTACTGTTTTTTTCTCTCTTTTATTTGACTTTGCTGTAACAAACGCTGTTTTAGTGTTGCTAAGCCGCTTCGTTCACCCAGGCATACATCTTCCTCTTTCTTCTTCATTTTTTTCCATTCTCCGCACCTTATCTTTCTACGCCCTCCCCCCTCGCCCCTCCTCCTCGTCTGGTGCGCACAGCAGGCGCGAAAGACTTGAGGAAGCAAAACTCCAAAGCGATAGGTAAGTACAAGCGAGACGAAAAGGAAAGGGTTTTTTTTTAAAAAAAACAAAATGGCTTCCTCGGATAAATCTGAGGCGCTTGCCGAGGAGCTGCGGCAGCAACTCAGTGGCCTTCAGAATCACAACGCTCAGCTGCAGCACTCCATCGCCTCCCTGCGCGCCGACGACGCAGCCCAGGATGTATCCCGCGCCAACCCGCACAAACTGCAGTCCGCCGAAGACACCTCCGAAAGCGGCGCACCCAAGCACAAGGCAACGAAACAAACGCTCACTCACCGTGAAGAATACGACTCTGTCGACTCTCCCCCGGCGGCGCCGTCGTCCGAGCCGGCGCATGAGGAGCATCCCCGCGTTGACGAGCCCCTGCCCCTTCAGCCAGAATCGCAGCAACTCAACGCGCAGCCCGCAGATGAAAACCACCAGAGGGATGAACAGGGTAAGAGGCCGACCAGCCCTTTGCCACATGAGGCCGCCCCGCGCGATACTCCCACACCCCTCACTGCTCGTGAATTCAGCCAGCCTAGGAAGCACCGACGGTCCCAACACCAGCCACAAGAGCTCCCCACACCACTCCCGGCCACCGAAACCCACCAGGCTGTAGAGCAACAACAGCAGCATCAACATCAACCGAGCGATATCCCCGAACCTCTCACCGCTCGAGAATTCAGCCAGCCAAGGAAGCACCGACGCTCCCAACACCAGCCACAAGAGCTCCCCACACCACTCCCGGCCACCGAAACCCACCAGGCTGTAGAGCAACAACAGCAGCATCAACATCAACCGAGCGATATCCCCGAACCTCTCACCGCTCGAGAATTCAGCCAGCCAAGGAAGCACCGACGCTCCCAACACCAGCCACAAGAGCTCCCCACACCACTCCCGGCCACCGAAACCCACCAGGCTGTAGAGCAACAACAGCAGCATCAACATCAACCGAGCGATATCCCCGAACCTCTCACCGCTCGAGAATTCAGTCAGCCCAGAAAGCACCGACACTCCCAGCACCAACCACAAGACCTCCCCACACCACACACAGCTCGTGTAATCGAGCAGCTCGGCCGACACCCTGTTGTGAGAGCAAACCCGCATGCGCCCGTTAAGCGGTTCGTCGCGGACGAGCCGCGCGAGGCCGTCGAGGAGCTCAGCGCACACGAAGCCGAGGAGCCCGTCGAGCACCCGGCGGAGGACGATCACCAGTGGGACGAGCTGGACGAGCAGCCCGTGGAGCACCCCGTCGAGGAGGAGCCGCGCGAGGCCGTCGAGGAGCTCAGCGCACACGAAGCCGAGGAGCCCGTCGAGCACCCGGCGGAGGACGATCACCAGTGGGACGAGCTGGACGAGCAGCCCGTGGAGCACCCCGTCGAGGAGGAGCCGCGCGAGGCCGTCGAGGAGCTCAGCGCACACGAAGCCGAGGAGCCCGTCGAGCACATCGAGGAGCCTGTTGAGCACCTTGTGGAGGAGGATGAGGCCACCGCGATGCAAGCTTCGCGTGCCGACGATTATCCTACTGATGCTTCAGCGGATGCCAAGGTGGAGGAGCGGAAGCCGAGTGCAGATGAGGTGCGTGTCTCGCGACATAGCTCTCAACAGCAGATTGGCTCCATGCAAAATGTACCACCGCTGCACGACAGCGACGATGAGGAGGATCGCTCGCCGGACCTGTGGGTGAAGCGGAAGAGTGACGCTGTCCCTCAGCGCCGGCTATCGGCGTTTGGCCGTAACCCTGTTATTACCGCCACCGACTTCTACGGCGTGCCATTGCCGGGGAGCTTTGGTGGGGCGCGTATCCGCAACGTGGTGGATCGTCATCGCGGGCTGATTAGCCACAAGACGCGGCCGCACACGGCAGAGGCGGGATACGTCTCGCTTTACGCGGATAAGTTTGGTGGCCTTGGTGATGGACGCAGCTTTGTCGCGTCCTCGATGCCTCCTGTGCGTAATTCCGACGTGGATGGCCAACTCGCAGACTTTGTCGCGTCCTCGCTGCTTCCTGCGTCGTACCGCGTGACGGGACAGCTGCAGCCCGCGCTCAACAGAGAACGCGGGGTGGCCTTTACGGCGGCCAAGGCGGTGGTGCCCGCCTCCACGGTCACCGCAGTCGACGCCGCAAACGATGAGACAGCCGCCTCCGCCCGCTTCGAGCTGACCAGTGCGGAGAACGGCGATGTCGTAGAGCACGACGCCTTGGCGGGCCTCGGCTACTGGAATGCCGAGAACCCCAAGACGACGCACTACACAAAGCCGAGTGCGCTGCTGGAGGCAAAGGAGCAACGTGAGTGCACCTTGTTCCGCCGCTACTCGCGCAACTATGAGAAGCTCGTGACGGACACGGCGCGCGGCGCCGGAGGAGAGGCAGGGTTGTCCATTCAGAACTCGTATCTATCCTTCCGGGCCGCCTGCGATGCCGAGGAGCGCAAACCCGTTCACCAACGGAGGTTCTACACGGGGAAGGCTGTGGATTGGAGACAAACGTTGTTGGAGCAGCAGGAGGAAATGAACAGCATAGCCCGCCGTAAGCTGTAACGCCTTATATATATATACATACTTTGTGTTCATTCATTCATCATTTGTTTTTTTTTTTAATATGTATTCTTCTTTTGTAAGCCTTTTTGTTTATCATTATTATTGGATGCGCGGTGGCGCGGCTCTACCTCGTCGTTTTTTGTTTTGTGACTGATGTTTCCATCTTTCTCCTTCCTTTTCTCTTCCTCCGTGGGCTTTGTGCGCCGTGTGAGAACACACGAACCGAGGAGCTGGGCTGTGACTCTATGTATATCTGTATCTATCGATGTCTAGTAAGGTGCCGTGATTGTCGCGAATACGAGAGTGCACGTGGGTAGACCCGAGTACGGCCAAAGAAACGCAAAAGCCTACTCTCACCATCAATGTATGTCTATAGTGGAACAATGTCTTTCCTGTATCGAGTTAATGAGAAAAGGAAACGAGGAGCGTGCGCGCCCTCTCCGGTATTATTTTTATAATATTGTTTTCTTTTCTTCATACTTTTTTTCCTTTTTTATTTGAAGATAAAAACCTGGAACTTGTTGTTTTCTCTACTGATAACACAGATGTAGATCAACACACGCACACGCACACACACACGAGTGTTGTGGAACTGAATTTAGGGGTCGAACAATCCAATCCGTTTTGTGTCGCCTCCTCATGCCAGCGCAACGACCGGGCTCCAGCTTCGCTCCCTTCGCGCTTGCGCTCCCCAGGGCCGCTTCTTCCCTCTTGGTGGGGGGGGGGGGAAGGGGGGAAGGGGAGCCCAGGAAAGGAGCGGGTTGCCGTTGGGTTATTCTTTGTTTTTTTTTCGCTTTCTCAGTTGGGGCGCTTCCCCCGCGCTGCCTGTCCACCACCACCACCCCTCCTCCCCCGGTAGCCGTCGCTGCTCTAAGAGGTTGCTCTCTTTCGTTTCTTGTGGTCTTTCCTCTTCCCCTATTACTGGTGTCCGCTTCGTCCTCCCTTGTGACTCGCCTCTTCTCTCGCTCCTCTTCCTCTTTCGTCTCTTGTTTTCCTCTGGCCCCCTCCCCCCAAACGGGGAAGAACAATCATCATCGTCATAACAATTACTCCTCCTCTTGTTGTTGCTGTTGGTATCGTTGGCGATCCGATCAACCCCGTCAAGCAACGCTCGCCTTCTTAACGCATCATAGACACCTTTTTTTTCCTTCTTCCGTTTCCTCCGTGCTTTTTGTTTCGGCTTCTCCCCACACACGCGTCGTACGCCGTTATCGTCATTCGCACAACTTATTGTTCTTACTTTCTTACTCACGCGCACGTCACCTCGTTCCGACTGTTCTGTCTTTGCAGTCAGAAGGAAAGAAAAACGGAAGACACGAGAGAGGGTCCTTTTCCATACAGGATCACACAAGCGCGTTCGCACTTGCATACATACCTGCACATACACACACGTATATATATAAGAGAAAACAAAAGACGAGCACGGTATTGCTGCGCTGGAAACCACAGCCCTGCCCTTTCATTGCTTGAGGCTCAGAGAGCACAAGAAAACTAGTCTCAAAAAGCGCAAGACGTGAATCTAAAAGGAAAAGGAAGAAATAAAGCGTTGCCAAGATGCTCCGCTTTACGCGTCTCGCACGCGGCACGCTCGTCAAGCTCGGCCGCGGCCCTGGAAACGTGACGGAATCGGCAAGCAACGCGCTGCTCGAATCCCTGCAAGACCACGGCTACTGCTACATTCAGCACCCCTTCATCCAAAAGAGCATTCTCGAGCAGCTGCACCGCGACTGCCGCATCTTCTTCGAGCAGTACATCCTTCAGCTCCGCGACGCCGCCGCGCAGGGCAGCCTAAAGCGGAACAACCTCCACCACTACAATTGCACCCCCCTCTCCCCGTACGAGCTGGAGAGCATCAAGTCAGCCAGCGGTTTCCGCGGGTACTACCGCTACGTCGGCGCGAGCGGGCTGGACGACGCCATCGATTGCTTCTCGGTCGGCCGCGACGACATGCCCGACCCGGCGGTGCTGCGGCGCGACTACTACAAGCAGGCCGGCTGGGAGGAGAGCGAGTACCTGAGTGTGATTAGCCGACGCAACCCGTGGGATATCTTGCTGAATCACGTGAACACCCCGCTGCCGGGGGTGGCGGGCAGTCCGGCCGCGACGGCGGCGTTGGCGGAGCGCAATGACAACTTTATGTCCGACTTCAAGGACATGATGATGGCCTACTACGACCTGTGCTACAACGTGAGCATGGACGTGATGCGGCACATCAGCTGCGGTCTGGGGATCCGCCCGTCGGTGCCGCAGGGCGGGACGGACCCGGCCATGGACTACGAACTGGAGTACTTCACGTCGTTCCATCAAAAGCGTGACTGCGACTTGCAGGCGAAGTACTACCCCCAGTTGGGCGAGAGCACCCGACTCAGCAACGGGGTCGACATTAAAAATCCGCAGTCGACCTCCAACCCGGACGGCGTGAAGGTGCTGCGTCGCAAAGGGGCCAAGACGCAGCCGCTGGTGAAGGGCGACGGCGACCCGGAGGGCGACGGGAAGGACGTGACGGTGCGGTTGGACGCCCACAAAGATCTGAGCACCATCACTTTACTCTCGCAGGACTCGCTCGGCGGGCTGGAGGTGTGGGACGAAGACAAGGGAGCTTATACCGCCGTGCCGGTGCTGGAAGATGCGTTGCTAATCAATGCGGGGCTCTTCTTGGAGAAGTGGACGGGTGGCCTGATTGAGGCGACGCCGCACCGCGTGCGCAACGTGCGGGAGGGGCGTAGTCGCTGCAGCATCGTCTTCTTCGCGCTGCCCGACCACGACGCCCGTATCGAGCCGCTGCTTCAACAGGACGATAACCCGGCCGTGGACGCACAAGAGAGCTTCTTGGCTGGTGATATGATGCCGACCCCACCGGCGCCCTCTTGAAGCAGAGGAATCACACACACACACACTCATACAAAGGAAAAAGAGTCCTTGGAAATGAAGTGTGTGGCCGACAACAACAAAATATATATGTAGAAAAGAAAACGAAGCGTTGTGTAGCTCGTCTTCTGCTCTTCGCACGCACCCACTTCACAAAAACCTTCCAGTATGTCCTTTCGCTATTGAAGACCGAGATCGCTGAGATGCATCGAGTGGAGAACTTCAATGAGTGAAGTTTTTTTTCTGAGAGAGAAGAGCGTTAGATTGTCCATCTCCGGCGAAGACAGCGTGCGAGAATGGAAAGAAGCATAGAGGATACAGCATAGAAGTAAAGCGCGTGATCGTTGGTTTTTTCCTTCTCTCTCTCGTGACGGTGGAGCAGACACTCGATGAGCGCGTTTGTCGGTTGATGAGAGAAGATGGTTTTATGCGGTGATTTGGTAACCCTCGCTCTTCGCGTCGTTGAAGGTGATGGTTCTCCGATACACGCTGTGTGGAACAGACTCGATGGATGGTGATTGTCGTTGTCGTCGGTGGTGGTGGCGGTGTCTAAGAAGTGGTGCGGTTCTTCAACTCGCTCAGTTGTGTCGGTGTATTTTTAATGTTCACGCACACACATGAAGGCATGTTTGATTTTTAAAGAACATAGAAATGAGAAGACCGCGACGTGTTTTTTTCTTCTCAGTTGCATTTTCCGACACACATTCGCGTCCACCAATGTTCCCCCTTTTGAAATGCGTTTCTTCCGCACTGAATGGACGTAGATCTCGTGAGAGGGGGGGGGAGGGGAGGGGGAATAAAGCGAAGAGCGTACAACGCAAATTTGCTTTCCTAACTTGTTTCGTTGTATCGAATGTTAACTGAAACGTTGAAGTCTCTGTCGATGCGTTCCCGCGCACGGCGCCTTCCTTTCAACACTCTTCGAAAAAAAAAAAGGCCTCCACCACTGTCCTCTGCTTTCCTCCACAAAAATACATGCACATTTCAACAGCAAACGATTGTTGTATTCCCCCGCCTACATCGCTCACATAGAATATAGTTGTTTTAAAGAAATCCGCGGTGCCCGTGTAAACGTTATCAGAATAAAGCGCGTGTCTTCTTGCATTTCGCATCTCCCCCACACAGCTTCACTGCCCACGGCCTTTCTTTTTCCTCCTGTTTCCGCATCCACTCGTCTTCGCTTCTCGTTCTTTGCCAACTTTCTTCCAGCGGACGCAGTTGTTGTGTTTTATAAAATGGATTTCCTCGACGACGTCATCTTCCACCCCATCGCGGCGTTCGCCAAGAACAGTCGCATGCTGGTGCGCAAGTGCCAGAAGCCGAATTACAACGAGTTCACCACATCCGCCATCGCGGCGCTGATCGGCTTTCTGATTATGGGCTTCTTAGGCTTCTTTGTTAAGCTGGTGTTCATCCCCATCAACAACGTGATTCTCGGCGCGTAAAATCTTCGTAAGGGTGAAGCGGCGGAAAGGAAAGGAAAACAGTGTCTGGCAGACGCTGGAATGTTGCGGGGAGGGGGGCAACGGAAGAGAGGAAGTGATGGCCTTGTTGCGCAAATACAGACCGAAAGCGGGCGATCAGGGGAGAAGAGAAAAAAATTTTCGTCTCTGCTGGTTCTGCTGTGGCACGTTAAGACAGCGAAGATCCCGAATCCACGGAGCTTTTCCGTCCACGTAGATGCTGAGCAACAGGCGAAAATTTGACGACGGCGGCAACCTCTGCTATCACGGGCACTAGTGGGCTTTTATTATTATACAGTGCGTGTGCATGCAGGCGGTTACGCTGCTGTTCGGGGGTTGGTATCGCTCCCCCCAGTCAAGGCGTTTGCGAGGACCCTTTTTTGTTTCTCTCGTTCTGGTTTTTTCTTTCATTTCTTTTTTTTTTCATTGCCCTCAATTGTATGCGTTGGTTGTTGTGCACCTACCTCTTGTGGCTCGTGCAGCCTTGCTGCTGCTCTTCCTGTTTCGTTGTTGGTTCAATTTTTTGTGTTTATTGTCCTGTCTGTCATCTCTCTCGACGTTGGTCTTGTCCCGCGTGTGTGGATGTGCGTTGGCAGATGTAACCATTTCGTGCATAAGGTTGTCGTTCTACTTCCTGTCGTTCTCGTGGTGGAGAACGTTTTTTGGGGGATGGTAATACACTAAAAACCTTTGAAAAAGGGAAAAGATAGGAGCAGCGATCAGCAGCAAATGGAACTTGCTGATACGCACGTGAAAGCCCGGCAAAATAAATAAAAAGGCTTTTTTGCGGTTTGCGGAAAGAAGTAGTCGAATGGGCAGCTACGGTATAAACAGAAGAAAAAGCGCTTTTCGGCAAGGAAAATTGATATGGTGTCGTCTTCTTGTGAAAGGGACGTCTTGTTCTTTGCTGCTGAAACAGTCAGATTGTGCTCCTAACTTGAGGCATGATAACGCAGGAGTGTTTGTGGATGTGTATGATGAGCTGAGCATATCAAAGTGTTCGCGCCACTGCGTCCTTGTTGAGCATCGAAAGCATGCAATGACTATATCATCTCCTTCCTCTTTTTTCCCTCTCCCCTCCTTTTTTTTGACGCGTGCCCTTCATCGGTGTGGCAGAGCTCCCGGTTCTTCGGAAACGGGCACGCAACGACAGCTTAAAAAGAGAGTTGTGCGGTCTCTTTCTCTTTTCTTTTCTCCCACACCGGCTCGTATTCCCGCTGTGCTCCGCCACGGCCTCTGCTGGCCTCGAGCGTAGACTGGCCCCTAAGAGTCATGACAGCTGCCGCATTGCTGTGATTTCTCTCCTTACAGTATCTTTGACACGCACGCACCTGCACGCGCGCAGAAGCTCACCCATGTCTGCCGTGAAGCGCTCTCTGAACGTCGGTGTGGTCGGCATGGGCAACATGGGCATCCCCATCACACGCAACCTTGCCTTCAAGGCACGCAGCGCGATGTACCTGCAGGTGCACAGCCGCAGCGTTGCCAAGGCACGCAAAGTGTGTGACGACATGAGCGCAGACGGCGCCACCTGCGCGATGCGCATTCACGACCGCTACAGCACCGTCACCAAGTGGTGCGACATCATCCTGCTCACCCTGGCCCACCGCGAGGCGTCTCGCAAGGTCCTTCTGGAGGACGACGAGGCCCTCATCACCCACGCCCGCCCAGGACAGATTCTGGTGGATCACACCACCGTTGACATCGAGCTGTCGCGGGAGTGCGCGTTTGAGGCGGAGCGGCGCGGGGCGACCTTCCTCGACGCCCCCATGAGCGGCAGTCCGAAGGCGGCCTTCAACAACCAACTCGTCTTGATGATCGGCGGACCGGCGGAGCAAGTGCAGCGGGTCTCGCCTATCTTCCGCATGTACGCGGACAACATCCACCACATGGGCCAAAGCGGCAGCGGGACAGCCGCCAAGCTGCTTTCCCAGGCGCTCGTGGCGTCGCACAACGCCGCGGCAGCGGAGGCCATGACGATCGCGAACCGGCTCGGCATTGAGGACTACCAGACGCTGTTGCAGGTGCTGGACGCGTCGTGGGGCTCCAGCACGATGCTGCGGCGCAACGCGCCGATCATGCAGGACCTCGTGCGCAACCCCGAAAAACTCGCACCCTCCTCGGGGGCCACGGTGGACAGCCTCCTCAGCGATCTCGCCCTGCTGGACGCGTCGCTGCCGGCGGTGGAGGGCGGGCGGGGCGGGGCGCCGAAGCAGCAGGAGGAGGAGGAGCACTTCCCGGTTCTCGATGCCTCGCTGCGCATGCTCGGCGCGGCCGCCGCGTCGGGACTCGGGGACCGCGACATGTCCACCGTCATCCATTACATTCAGGCCGCAGCCGCGATGGAATCGGAGGAGGAGGGGGTGGGCCCGGCGGCGGTTCCCCGAGCCCTCAGCACGGAGGCGTTTCAAGAGCGGCGCAGCGGGGCTGCCAGCTCATCATCGTCGACGTCGACGTCGTCAGATCAGTCGACGGGGGTCGAGGCTGCGGCGTTGGACGCGGGTGCGCTGGCGGAGCTCCTCAGTGCGGAGGGGGACGCCGCACCGACTTCAAAGAGCGCCGCAACGACCGCGCCGTCTACAGCAGCACCTTCCACCAACGTGTCAGCGGTGAATGCAAACCTACCCGATTTTACGATGGATGACTTTTATTAGTGGAACAGCTGAAGGTGTGGCGAAGGGGGTGGGAGGGGTGTTGGCGGCGTGTCGCGTTGTCTCCAGCCTCGGCGCACACGGTAGTGTGAAGTTGTGGGCGTGTACAGGCGCCGTATCGGTGCTCCGGCGGAGAGACGGGTCGTGGTTGATGTTGCTGGTGATGTGGTTTCTCCGCGAACTAAACGACGGTGGATTCACAGAGGCTTCAATAGCGTAAATCGTGAACAAGCTATTTAATTTTAAAAAAAGAAACTAATGAAAACAATAGTAGTGTCTGTTGTGTCATCTCGTGGTTTGTTTCTTCGTCCACATGCCATGAACGCACGTAGGCGCTTTTTTGCGTTATGTGCAGGGCGAGAGCTGATTCTGTGTGTTTTCCTTTCTGTGATGCTCACCTGCCTCCGCAGTTTAGCTCTTCTTCTGTGGGACAGTGTTCACGTGACACTTCTTTTCTTTTCTTTTCTTACTCAAGTCGCAGGAAGTCCGCTCCATTCTCGCCTCCCTCCATCTCCATCATCTTTTTTTTTGTTCTTTCCCCCGCTACCTCTTTTCCGCAGACATGCGCTTTGATAGGTCACGTAAACGACATGTACAGCCCTGAAGTGGATTGGCTGCTCGGCACGGAGAGCGAGCAGCGCCGCGAAGGCATGAAGAGCGCTATCCTCCGAGGCGAGGAGCACTTTGCATCCTCTCCAGTGTCTAAGCCCGGTGCACGTGCACGTGCGCGTGGCGCGCTGACGGGGGATCGCACGGCGGTGTTCTTTGACGATAACACCTCTCGCCTTACCTCCGCCGTACAAGGCGCTGATGGCGGCACTGCCGCTGTGCTCGTGCTGAACGGACTGCCCCGACGAGGTCCGCACGAGCCCGCGGAGGTGTTTTCGTCGATGCCTGCTCGTTACCTATAGACGATGTTTATGTATTTGAGCTGAAGAAACGGTAAGTAGCGCGACTTCGTGGGTGACGGCGCCGCGCGGTCACCACTGCCCTTCATTCTATTCAATCATGGCGACTTGTGCTCTCCAACGCATTGATCGAGTGCGTGTGTATCGCCGAACTCCCAGTAGGTGGGCACCATTGAAAGGAGAATCGACCACGAAGGGTGCCGAGTCTTCTTCGGTGCGAATCTCGAGGTTTTTGTTTCCTTCTTATTTTTTCTTCCTCTGCTGCCGCGTTGCGTTCATGGCGATCTGCCTGTTGTGGTGACGGTGGATACTTTAGTTTTCGTTGCTCTTTTTCCGGACTTGCCACCGTTGTTTGGCATCTCGAATACTCTGTTTTTCTGCTGCTGCGTTGCGTCTTCACGCGCCTCGTCGGCACCAACGCTGTTCTCCAGTGGACTCTTTGTCCAGGTTGACGATTTGGGTGCGCGGGTGTGCGATGAAGTGTGTGCCCTCATGCGTTGAGGAATGAAAGGCGTACGTACCATCGTCTGCTGTCGTCGAGGACCTGCAAAAGTCTCCCATGACTGCCCTTCTCTCTCTCTCCAGTCGTTCCTCACGACCTCCTCTCCCTTCACCTCCTCGTCTTTGTTTCTACTCCGAACTGTGCTCGTTGCTCTTGACATCGAGGGCCGCGCCATTCGTCGTGCCTCGCTTACCCTATACACTCGTAGATCTCTCTCTCTCTCTGTGTGTTGTTGTCGTTGCTGGTTGTTCTTCGCTCGCTCATCTCTTGCAATCACGCCACTTACCGTTTCCTCTGCTTCTCTTATGTATATCTCTATTACCTCTTTGTATTAGTTGACTTAGTGCTATCTGCTTTCTTTCTTCTGCTGCTTTAACTGTTGTTGTTGTTTGGCTTTCCTCCTCCCCCAAAAAACAAAGGTCTACTGGCGTTTTTCTTTTTGGGTTTTCTGTCGAATTGAGCTGTACTGCTTTTCTCATCTTTTACATTTATTTATATATCTGTAAATTGGGGGATGTTTGTCAACGAGGAGGACGATGACAATCAGTACATGGGCTTAGTAGCCCGTGGACGCTCCTCCTACGCATCGCAAATAGACTCCACTCCTACGCCATCGCTACCCGCCTCTGCGTTGGAGAAGCGCACCAGCTCGATCGTCAGCTTCCCTCCTCGCACCTCCTCCTCCTCTTTCCAAAGCGAGTCCCACGACCCGTACGCGGACGCTCAGCCGGTGAACATCACACCGCTGCTTCTCAAAAAGATGGAGAGGATTATCCTCATCGCCGCCTACGCCAGCAACGCCAATCGCGTCAACCGCTATCAAGCGAGTCTCGCCAGCCGTCGCATGAAGCTCATCTCCACCGTCCTGCGGCAGATGCCGCACCCCGCCCCGTCGCCTCGTCTGCTGACAGCCATGCAGTCCCTCTGCCTGCTGGTGCGGCAGTGCGCGTACGACGTTGCCGATGAGGACACAGAGGACATACAAAGCATCCTCTACGGGCCGGACGAGGACCCCTTCGGTCCTGCGCAGCGTTGGCCGGTGCTGCTGTGTCAGCACTTCACATGCCGTCTGCTCTTTCGCAACGCCTACCGACGGCTGTGGACTGCGTGGCGCATGTACTCCCCGGTCGAGCTGGAGCGGGAGGACGCGCTGGCGGAGGCGAAGGACCGCAACGTGAACACGGATGTCATGCTGCAACTTCTCGTTGCCAGCTCCGCCCGGGACAGCTGCGGCAACGAAGTCGACGTGTCGCCTGCAACGGTGGAGCAGCACAAAAAAGATATGCTGGCGTTTTATCAGCGGCGGGAGATGAACCCGTGGCGCGTGCTCTATCAGCAGTTGGCGCCAACGACCCAACTCGTGCGCGGGACCATCACGCAGCCTCCCAATTCCTCCGAGAGAGCCCCGTCCTTCTCTTCACCGGCCGCCGCAGAGAACGACTTTCGTTTCCGCGTGCTGCCCACCGTGTACGCGTATAACGGCGTGCCGGTGGTGGTGAAAGCCTTCTGTGCCGCCGCGACGACGATCTCCTTCGACGACTGCGACGCGGCGACGGCGGCCGCGGCGATGCAGCACGCCCCTGACTTTCTGCAGGACGTCGCGTGCCGGTGCATGTGGTGCCACCCGCACGTCGTTGGCTGCCTGGGCGCCTACACGGAAAAATTCGTGCCCGCTGCCTCGAAAGACAGCCAAAATCGCGATGCGTTGTCGCAAGCAGCGACGAAAGATGCTGCAGGCGTACCGGATCGAACGCCTCAATGCCCTGTGCAGCGGGGTGCTCCAGCGGCGTCCGCGCAGCCGCCCGTGCCGGCGCTGCATCTACCGTGGTTGCACCCTGTCGATACCCTTTCCGGCGCTCCAGTCCTGGCCCTCGGCTACGTCACGGAGCTGCAGACGTCGGCGGACGCAACCACGCCCTGTGCCACGCTGGGCGACATCCTGTTTCCCGCATCGCCCACCTCAGCGGCAACCACAACACGTCATTACTTCTCCCTGTCCGAGGCGCTGGACATCTGCGCGCAGTTGGCCGATGCGCTGCAGTACATCCTCGAAGACAGCGGTGACGTTCCCGTTGCGGTACGGACATCCTGGCTGACCCTCGACCCGTTCAACGTGTACGTGGTGCGCACCGTCGGCACGAACACACCCGCTGGCAAGCCGGATCTGCAGCAGCGCTTGCAGCTAAGTCGAGAAGGAACGATGGCGTCGGTGGGTGACGGCGGTGCCGCCGCCGCCGTGAGGAACGGCAGCAACGTCTTTTCCGCCTCCGTCTCCCTCCTTGGCGCGACAAACAACTCCGCCTCCAGCGTGAGCATCAACAGCAACCACAACAGCAGCGTCGTCCTCGTTCCAAGGCAGACAGGACGAGAGCACTCGCCCCTTCTGCACCCTGCGTCGCAGTTGTCTGCCTTCGTCGATCCCTCGCAACTGCTAGCGGCGTCTTCGGCCCGCGAAGGCAAGGGGGCGCCGAATGCAGCCGACATCGCCCTCGCCACCATCGCTGCGCCGCCGCACCGGGGCCCCCACCGCCTCGTCGTGCGCTACTGCCCACCGTCGGATTGGACGAAAAGAGCAGTGGGGAGTCGGTGGCGGCCGCACCCCCGTGCCACGGCACCGGCGAGCTACGTGGTGGCGCAGATGCTTCTCGCACTCATGACACGGCAGGTGCCGTACGCGGCGTACCAGAGCGACAGCGACGTGCAGCGGCGTGTGTTTGACATCGCGGCTGGACCGACCAACGGCGGTCTGTCAGATGCGGAGGCGGCAGCGGCGGGGGTGCGGGTGAAGCTGAGCAGCAGCGGCCAGGGGTACAGTCTCCCCTCCTCGCTGCCCGCCTTCCTCGTTCAACTGTGTCGCCTCGCCCTCTCGCTGGACAAGAGCCAGCCGCCGATGGAGCTGGAGTCGCTGCGAGATGCGCTGACGACGATACAGGCCTCCCTGCCCGAGGCAGTGGTCGGGTCGTCGCCGACCGTCCTGCAGGATACACCGCGCTCCTTCAGCCACGGCGCACCAAGTAGAGAGCTGAGCGGGCAGTTTGACAGCGGTTTTGGGTAGAATCATTCAGCCACCAAAAAGGAATATTATTCATTTATATATATATATATATGAAAAGCTAATAACAAAAGAGCTGTGTGTGCTGCTAAGCTCCGCCCACGAAGGAAAAAGGAAACGTGCATGATGAGCGCTTTCTTTGCTTTCGCGGGCTTCGCGTTACACCGATGTAGCGAGGTGGGCACGCGGCAAAATGCTTGCCCTCGTAATAATGGATTGTTTTGCATGGTATATATGTGTTCTTTCCCTTTTTTCTTTTTTTTTCTACTTATGTCCTTTAAAGGTCGAAAGCGAAGAGAAAGCGAATGGTTTAGCTTTCATTCTCCTCCCCCACCGCCCATCGCGCGCCGCAAACCTGCCGCACCGGAAATGGTACCGTGGGATGCGTTGGTTCTCCTCCCCTCTTAGCAAGACGGGGCATGTCTTCCAGCGGCCGCGGTAGTTGTGTTCACGGCCTCAACCGACTACTTGTTGACCCCGTCGAGTACGTGACTGCGAGCCTCGTATCCCTGGCGCTGTCGTTTTGTTTCCCTTTGCTTTACGACCCTTTCCTCTCTCTCGGTTTCAACGCATCGGTGGTGGTTGACACACACGCACACGCGTACGCAGGTTTTTGATACCATCCATAAACTCTGCTTCTTCCTGTGTCTACTGTTTGTTTGTTTGTCTGTTGATGTTTGTGCTGCAAAGCTCAAACGTACGTACCCCTCCCACACACACAGTGTAGTTTGCTGTCACTCATTCAGGGGTTTCAGTTCATCTTAACTGCTATTCGAACAGTCATCGCAGCAATGCCACGCGGCAGGGACGATGACGACAACAACTCCGCCGACGGCTCTCTATCCGCCCCGCCGGATGCCCCCTCCACGGAGCAGTACCAGCCCGTCCATTCACGCCACTCCGGTCGGAGGGCACAAGGGGGAAGTGGTGGCAGAGGCGCCGCAGACAACCTCGACGCCTATCACGCTCGTTTCATTTCATTTAACTCCGAAACGGACGTGCACGACGAGGACGATGACACGCTAACGATGCCGGTACCAGACAGCGTACGAGCTGCCAAAGTGCCTTCGGTGCCACCGCCGATACACCCACTAGAACAGCAGCAGCAACAGCAGCAGCGGCGCCCTTCACCTTTACCTTCATCAGCGCAAGAGCAACGGACACTCATTCCCCTTCATCCGTCTCCTAGTGCAGGGCCGCTGCCCTTACGTAGAACACCGTCACCGTCGAAGCAGCCCGTGCCCTCGCGGAAGACCCCAACAACAGCGACGGTGCAGCAGCAGCAGCAGCACTATTTTGCACCGTCGTCGTCGCCTGCGGTGACGCGTGTCTCACCGCCTCCGCGTTCTCCTCCGCCGGCGATGGCCTCGTCTCCTCGCGCTCCTCCGCCACACCCAGTGGAGGCCCCGCCTTCCGCTTCGGCCGCGCCGCGGGCAAACATTGCAGACAGCAGCGGTTTTCACTTCACCACACGACAGGCGAACCCACCGGCGGTGTCGTTGATGAAGGATCCTGCACACACATCACCACCATCTCCTGCTCCTCACGTGGCGGCTGCTCATCCACTGCTGCCGTCTCCGAATTTTATGCTGTCTCCGCCCTGCCCGACGCCTGCGATCCTCCTACGGGAACAGCAACGGCAGCAGCGACGGCGCTCTCCGCAGAGAACCGCCGGTGCAGGGCAGCAGCAGCAGCAACACGAAGCACTGCTGCTTCCTCCACCCTATGATCGCCCTTTATCTCCACCAACAGCAGCAGCAGCGCCGAGCGCGTCCCATCTTCTCGCTCCACACCCAAACCCCTCCAACTCCGCCAGCGCTGCGCAGTGGCAGCTGAGCTCCCCACCGGACCGGGCACGCGCAGAGCACGACACCGCTGCGAGAGGGGCCGTCTTCGACTACGCCTCGGAAGCCGTGAACACTCTCGAGCAGCAGTACGGCGATGCCCTGCAGCGCCTCAACACGATGCACCGCCTGTACGACCGCCTCGATGGACAGAATCGCGTGCTCGAGGAAGAGGTGATCCGTCTGCGCCGCGTCAACGACGTGCTCAACAAAGGCGTTGCTTTCAACGTCTACAACAGTGTGCGACAGGTGAAGCACGAGATGAAGCTACTCAGGCAGTACGTCGCGGTGCTTTGCACAGGCTTCAACAACAGCATGCAGGCCCTTCAGCAAGTGGTTGCCGAAGACGTGCCGCGGCTGCTCGGGAAGGACGCCGGCTACACAGCGCTGCTGCCTTACGGGGTGCAAGGTCGCCTGCGATCTATGGAGACGCGCGTGTCGGTCGGCAGAGGCTCGAGTCAGCAGGATGCATTTGCCATGTCACCGCCGCAGCTGTCGCGGGACTCGATGATGGGAGGTCCGAGCACAAGTGGCAGTGGTGTGAGTGCTGCGGCGGAGCATCAGCTGTACCAGCCGGATTACTGGTGGAACGCCATGTCGCCGCAACCTCTGCGGCCACCGAGTACGCAGGCGGCAGAGGCAGACCAGCCGCCACAGCAGCAAACAAGCGCTAGCGAAATGAACCGCGTGGGAGGTGGCTCTGACAGCGACGGTACGGAAGGACTGACCGGCGACCACCAGGCGTTGTTCGAGGTGAAGGAAAGTGGACAGCAAGGTGCGGTCTCACAAGACGTGGTGTCGTTTGAGGCCTACCGGCGCGTGCAGGCGGCCCTCGCGGAGGCGCGGCGGCGAGTCGTCGAGTTGGAGCAGCGGAGTGCACATCACCAGTCCGATTACGAGGCACGCGTGGCGCAGCTGAAGGTGGCCCACCGAGCACGGGAGGCGCGGCTCGCAGACGAGTTGGCGTTGCTGAAGCGAGTGGAACCGATCACCACGGAGAGCGACGCTTCGCTACCGCAGACAACAACAGCAGCGATGTCGGTGGACGTGAACGCTCTCGCCCAGCTCCTCGCCATCTTTCAAAAACAGCAGCAGCAGCAGCAGCAGCAGCAGCAGCAGCAGACGACAACTTCCGCGACTGTAGCCTCAGCCAGCCTCCCCTCCAACACACATCGTCCGTGTGCGGAGCGCACCATTGCCTTCTCCAGCAACTCCGCTGATGTGGAGGGGCGCGGGCGCGAGGACGAGGACGAAGGAGAGGGGAGAGAAGACAACGCGGACGACGGGATGGTGGATAGTCGCGATCCACACAGCAGCAGCGGCGGCAGCACCCATGGGAACAACAGTGAAGACGGGAACTTTGATTGTTACTACGGCAACCGCGATCCTCGTGAAAGCTACGAGCGGACAAGCCGACGCATTGTGCGGGCCACCGCAGTCGACAGGGACCGCCCGTCCACCGTCAGCGGCGACGACGGACGTTTGCACCGGCCAGACCGCTACTCCGCCACCGCCGCCGCGCGTTGGTCGGAGCGGGCGCGCCAGGTGCTAGGCGACGATGATGCACCAATCACATCGACAGAGCGCAGGCCGCGTTCCTTTGCGTATGACCGTCTCATGGACCACCGTGATGTTCCTGTAGGGCCCTCCACGTCCTCAGCGAGGCGAGCAGGAAAAGCGAGTCCACAAAATGCTTCGGTTCGTGGGCGTAGTCAAAAGCGGGAGAAGGAAGGTGCACCTTGTCGCCGTGGCGATGGTGGTACAAGTAAAAGTAGAAGTTGTGGCCGGCGCGGCGTTGACCTGCACAACGTGGACCCGGCACTGCTGCAATCCGTGTTGGACCAGCTGGCCCTCAGCGGGAACAACGGAGGTCGAACGTACGCCTCCACGTCGGCGGCGAGGTCGAACGCGAAGGTGGATCGTCTTGCTCAGGGGCTGTGGGCGCAGGAGATGCTAAAGGAACGCAACTATATATAATAATAATAAGGCTGCCCCTCCTTCCCCTTTCTCCTCCGCCGCGGCTCCGATGTTTACGACGGCGAGTCGTACCACCGTCACCGTTTTACCGTGTAGATCATTAAAGATACTTTCTTTTCCTTTAGAGCCATTTTTTTTACGAGATGAACCACCAGCAGTGGTTGTATTTTTATCATGATTCTGCTCTTCTTCTTTTTTCTGCCTTAGACAGCCATGATGATCAAAGCACGCGATGTTTTCTTCTCATACGCATTCACCTGTTGACACTATTGCGTTGTACCATTATTTATATTATTATTATTTTTAAGCTCTTTAGATTATTTTTGTCTTTTGTGTAGACGAGAAATTCTTGTTAGAATCGAAAAGACAACGCTACGTGCGGTAGCGCTTTACAGGTGTGGACCACCGAGACCGGGGAGGCCCGGAGATGAGTTATACACCCCGGGGTGCACGCGCTTTATATATATATATACATTTTGAAAAGGAAAAAGGTACCGCTTTCATCAACGTTGTGGATGTTCTGCATTTCTCTGCGGCTCATTGGAGTGAAGCTATTTATCGGTATCTGCTATCTGTTCCGCGACGACGCAGTCACGTCTCTCTTCTTTGCTCCTCTTCATTTTCTTTCTATTTTTCCTTTTGCTGGTCTTAACGGTTGCACAGCTCTCGTATCCCTGGTTGGCCAACGTGTACGCCCTTCATACGTGCCACTATCCTCACTTGCTTCATCACATCTCTTGTAGCTCTTTGTTTTGTTTTTCCGGTACTTTACGTTGTCTCACGCTCTGGGTTTCTCTCCGTCAAAGCTGCCACAGTTACAGTTGATTTCGAATTAAGCGTGTTGAGTCGACGTCACACCTCCCCTTGGACTCTGTGCGCTTTATCCCTCCGCACCTCCTCCCAAGCGGCGATACAGAGATGCGCCGCTCGCTGCTTCTTCGTTCCACCGTGGCCCGTAACGCAGCCGCGGCGACGGGTCTCGTCCACCTCTCCACCGCCAACCACTTTCGCCAACCCTTGGCGTGTGCAGTGGCGGTGCCATTCTCATCGCATCACGGCAGCTCCCTGCACACTGCCATCCGACTCGCTTCGACCACCACCACCACCACGCATGGCACATCGAAGCCGAAAATAGTGCACTACTCAAAACTGGGCATGGATGGCTTTACCGACGTCAAGTACAACACGGCCGCGGACGAGTTCCTTGAAAATTTGGAAGCGAAGCTGGACGCCATCGACTCGGCCGAGTTAGAGGACATCAGCTGCAACTCTGGGGTGCTGACCATCGAGACATCGTCGAAGGGGACGTTTATCATCAACAAGCAGGCCCCGAACGTGCAGCTGTGGCTTTCTTCCCCAATTTCAGGTCCGCACCACTACGACATGGTGACGAGCACCAGTAACGGGGTGGAGACGGTGTACTGGAAGTCGGACAACGACGCGCACGACCTGCGGGAAAAGCTGGAGGTGGAGCTGAGCGAGGTGTTGCAGCACCCTTTTCAGTTATGAAAAGCGCTTGAGTTCCACAGCGGCAGACTCTTGCGTGATGCGCGTGTTGTTTCGCCCCTCCCCCTCTCCCTCCTCCCTCGCTACGTTGATGTTTCTGTTGCTTTAGAGTGCCTGTGTGCGGGTGTCTGCACGCAGGCCGTCGACGATGTCTCGACACGCGTCGGACTCTCGTATTGCTTTTCTTTCCTTTTCGATTGAGACAAGGAATTATACATGACTTACACCTTTTTAAGCGGTGCGTACGTATTACACTTGGCAGTGGTCGAAGCTGCACAACCAAGGCAAAGACAGAAGGAGATTCTTTCTTGCTTTGTCGCGGAGTTTTCGACACTTACGAATGACGGCTCTTACGTGGCTCGTTGCTCAGGAGGCGCCACAAACATAAAAGAAGAAAAGAAGAAAAGAGAGAAGAAAGCAGTTTTGCGTGTGGATTCAGCTCTGAAAGCTCTGTTCCAAGCACAACCGGTGCAAGCAGCGCGAGACGGGGCTACTTGAAGGTGCGTGTCCCTGTGGATGTGTTTTGCAGTGAATGGGTCAACGTACGCGCTTCTCTGTATACAACGCTGCGCGTCGCGCATTGTGCGCTCGTCCTTTTCCTTATTTTTTCTCGTTCTGACGTTGTTGTTGCTCTACCTACATCGTTTTTTCTTTCTCTTTTCTAAAGGACAACAGCCGATTAATACAGCATTCAAAAGGAAAACACAACAGAAAACGAACGCAGGTGCGCATATCCACACACGTACCCACATACGTTAATTCCCGAGCCAATCATCGCCGTTCCGATTCAAAGCTCAAGCGGGAAAAGAGGAAAAAAAAATAAAAGAGGCAGCAGCTATGATCAACGAGTCGGGCAACTCCTCCATTGTCTTCGCCGAGGCGAAAGGCACGACGGCGCCGGAGAAGGCCGACCCACAGCGTGACACGATGGTATCGGAGTGCAGCATCAAGTTTCACGCCGACGGCCCCAGCGAAAGCGGGAACGATCCAAACAGCGTTACGTCGATCCCCCTGCGCATTGAGTCGGAGAACCCGCGCGGTGTCGACAACCACAACCCGCGGGGGACAGCCGTGACGGAGGACAGTATTGTTTTCACGCACGAAGTCCACACGGCGGCGTCGGCGGACGACATCCACTTCGACGCTGTCGAGGATCCGGCGGCGAGCTCGATGCAGAGCGTGCGCTTCCAAGTCGAGGACGGCAACACCGGCGGCAACGGCGCGGTGGACCGCGGCACCTCGCCACAGCAGAGCGCCGCCCCGGCAAATAGGACGACATCACTGCCGTCCACGCAGGCCAAGCCGCGACCCACCGCCAGCGGCGACAGCACAGCTGTGGCAGAGGCAGAGAAGAACAGGGCTGCAGCGGGGACGGCGGCAGAGGACGCCTTCGCTGCCTATCCCCCGCCGCGGCGCCTGTCGCAGCGAGCCGTCTCCGTCGCACGAACACCGCGCTCGAACGGCGCTGCGCCGACCACGCCGCACAGCCGCTCGCCCAACAACAGCTACCGCCCAGCACCCAACCCACGAAAGAGCGCGCCGGTGGATGAGGCGGCGACGGCGGACCCCAACGCAAAGGACGACGCGGCCGCGGTGGTCGCCTCCGTTGCCACGCCGGCGTCGCCTAACATCGTCGTGACGAACCACTCTCGCACCTTTCGCGGGGCGGGGTGGGCGGCGGTGGTCGAGACGTCGCGCGACACGATCGAACGCACCGTCGGCACCGAGACGGCGGAGGCGGTGGGCGTGGAGACGCAATTTATGCGGGTGACGTCCATCGAGGCGGATGCGGAGGGCATGAGGTGTGACATGAGCATCGGCCACGCCCCCGGACAGACGGCGGAGCAGATCGACGAGGCCATTGAGAAGTGCGGCTACGAAAACACGCTGCGGCTGCTGGACTTCGCTGCGGGCCACGAAAAGCCGTCGCAAGCGAGAGAAAGCGAAGAGGCCGAAAAGCAGCCCCCGTCCGTTCCGTTCTCCTTCAGCGATAAGGTCGGCGAGGGCCTTATCGAGCTGAACTACTCCGTCTTCCCCTTCGGTTCCTACCGCCACCTCGAGCTCTCCTTCGACGGCCCTATTGCCGCGGTGACGCCGAAGTTTGTGAAGGAGTGCCTGAGCGGGTACCTAGGTGTGCATGAGAGTCAGTTAGTGGTGCGGCGCGGCGAGGAGGTGCTGTCGGACGACGTCACCGGGGCGGACCTGAAGCTGGCAAATGGGTGTACGCTCGAGGCGCAGTGTACCATCCCGCAGCAGCAGCAGCAGGAGGCGCCGCAGAACCCAGTCGCGGAGGAGGAGCCGCAGCAGACGGCACCGACCCCCACGCCGGCACCGCGCGCCAAGAAGGCGACGGCCGCCAAGAAGAAAACGATGGAGGCGGCGGCGACGTCGCAGAAGAAAAAGACGTCGAAGAAAGACGCGAACGGTGGAGATGCGGCCACGCCGGCGAAGACGAAGACGAAAGCGAAGAAGGCAGCCGTGCCGGTGGCAAAAGCTGAAAGGAAGAAGAACACGGCCGCCAAGCCGAAGGCGTCGCCGCAGCAACCGCGGCACACCACGGCGAATGGTTCGTCGCCGGCGCCGCATTACGCCGCCCCCACTCGTGCCGCCACGACCAAGCACAACGCCACACCGCAGCAGCAGCAGCAGATCAGTACGGCGCATTCTCGTGTGCACAAGACGCCGCTGCCGCGTGTGCTGACAACACCGCGGGTGTACCGCGGCCACTCGCCCCGTCCCGGCGCGGAGAGCCTCGAGGAGGGGGAGACGATGGCGATGTATATGTCCGCGTCGCGCTCGCCGTCGCGCGATGGCACGCAGGTCCGCAGCAGCCGCCCTTCGATGGGTCGCCGGTCTCCAGCGGCAACCCCCTCCATGAACGGAGCAGCAGCGGACTCGCAGTCCGTCGGTCGCAGTCCGGGTGGCTACGACGACGACGGCCGCGGCCACGCCCCGCCGCAGCACACCGTGCGGGGTGTTTCCTCCGTTAACTATCACCCACGGCCGGTGGTTCAGCCGGCAACGCGGCAGCCGGAGTTGAACGGACACTCCGAACACGAAGCCGCGCGCGACGCGGTAGAGCACCATGCCGCGGCGCACACCGCCACCACCCGCTTGCGCTCCCCACCGCAGCCGGCTCTCGGTGTGGACAACAGCCACAGCACCGATGATCACATGAGCGATGATCAGAGTGAGAATGAGTCGGTGAACTACAATGAAGAGAACCTGGTGATGACAACGAATGAGCCCGAGGAGGTGAACTTCGTGGTGGAAGAGGAAGAGGAGGACGTCGAGAAGTCAAAGGAAGACAGCTTTGCGTACGACTACAGCCGAGAGCCGCAGGAGTTGAACGAGGAGGAGGATCCGGTTCCCGACGCAGCGCCGAATCCTTTTGTGTAAGGACGGCGAGGCTTAATTGGGGGGGCCGAATAGGGCTCTTTTACTATTATGAGTGTTATTCGACGTTGTCCACCGGTGACTCGTACTGAAAAGTGAGGAGTGTTTCCTACATTCCCATCTCCCCTCATATATGTTCCCGGTCCTCAACGCGTGTCATCGCCGTTGCATTTGGCTGTCTTTGGGCCTCCTGAACTAATCTTCTTTCTGTTGTTGCTGGTGGTGTTCAGCGCGATGTGCAACGACATTTTTATCTTCTCAAATAGCGCATTATACCGCATCGGCCCTCTGTGCGTGTATTTCTGTGTGCGTCGGCGTGCCTCTGCAGTCCACCCTCTCAATGGAGCATCGATGCATGATTGGGCTTTCAGTTTCTGTGACGACTACGCCGTCTTTTTATCTCTCTCTCTCTTTCCCTTTCAAAGAAAAGAAAAACAGAATCAGAACCGTCGGTTCATCGATAAAGGGCCTCTTCCTTCTGCCGCATCTCTTCCTTTGTTTTCACCTGTACTTTCTGTTTTTCTGGTTCTCTTCATTGTCCCGTCTGTTTAGGGTTTTGTGGCTGTTTCTATGTGTGTTGGTGATGGTACACGTTGACTTTCCATGTGTGTGCGTGTGTGACACACCCGTACTCGATCACTGTAAACACTTATCTTGTTGGCTGCAAGCGCCATTTTGGGCCTCACTGCACCCACCCACCCCTCTTCGTCGTTCGTGTTTGTTTTTCTATGTTCCTCCCCCTGTCGCTTGCTGGTGGGAAAATGAGTTAAGAAAAAAATCGATTTACCTTCGCTCATTTGGCAAACCAACTTCAGCTGCACCTTCTTTCTCTTGTTGTTTGTTTCCATGACGTATCCCTCCGAGTTATATATGTGTATGTGTGTATGTGTGTGCTCTTCCTGTTGTTGTGCTTGTGAAACTTATCACCTCCGACGCCGCAACAATGAATCCTGTCCGTGAGCCATTTTTTCTTTTATTTTATTTCCTTTTTTTTTAGCCCGCGTTACGACAGCATCTATAAAAAACAAATACGCACGGTGCGCTTGACGATGCGCGGATAAGCACTACTGGTGAAGCGTGGAAGGGGGGGTACTACGCGTTCCTTAGCACTTACAACCCGAATGAAGCGCAGAGATACATCATAGATATACACATGTATACACACACACACACTATTGACTTTGACTCTCTTTCCTTTTTTTTCTCAGTTAATCTCCAACAACGTTTCTGTTTTGTTTTCTCTTTGCGGTTCTCCGGTGATGTTGCTTTGCTCCGATGCGTTTCTGTTGACGGCGCTTTCCTCTGTTTTCTCGGCTGTTTTCCTCGTCCCTCTGCCCTCCATTGCTCCACATCGTTCATTTCACCTCTTCTAATCTATTCGTGTGACCCTGGTACGCCGAGGGAGTCCATCAACGTAGCGTTCCATTCTATTTCTCCCCACTGGCGGCAGCCAAGAAAAATCATCGAAATAAAAAGAAAAGCATGAAGACAACAAGCTCCGCAGCAAATACCTGAGTGCTGTTTCTCCTTTTCCTTTTCTCTCTTTCTTGCTGCTTGCTAGGTTGTGTGGGTGTGTTTTTGTTTGTTTGTTTGTTTTTGGGCAAGTATTTATTTTCTTATTATTATTCTTGTCTGCGTCGTGACCTCTTGTGCGGAGTAGAGGTCTTTGGGTTCCTGTCCGCGATTCTGCTTTTTTACAGCGGGCATCTGTTGGAAGGTGGTTGGTGTATGCGTGTCGATTCGGCGTCTTTGTATCCGTTACGGACCGTGGCGTATCTAAACATATTTATGGTGCTTTTCTTTTTTTTACTGTATCGACTTGTTTCATTTTTTTATTTCAAAAGAAAAAAAAAACGCGTTTGCTCCTTCTATGCTCCACTTTTGGTTTTCCTGTGTTTGTGTATCTTCTCCTGCGAAACTGAGGCTGTGCTTCTGTACGCGTGTGACGTCCCTTCGCAACGAAGAGACCTACATCGCCTGCGTGTCAGGGAAAAAAATCTTCCTTCTTCTTTTGTCGGCTCACCCAGCTGACGCCTCTCTCACCCCTGTAAGCTTGCAGCCGTCTCTGTGGGTTTACGTCGTCGTGTTCTCCTTCAGCGTGTGTGTGTGTGTGTGTGTTTGTGTGTGTGTGTGTGTGCGAGGAGGTATGTGTTATGTAGTGTTCGTGGCAGGCGAAGTTTTGAAACGAGGGCAGCGCGTTGGAAAGCAACACTGGGCGCCGGGAAGTCCGTTGCTCTGCCGGTGGGTGTTCTTCATTAAGGTGTGCTTCGTTGACATGCTCGCTAGTACGTGTCGAGGCACCGTTTGCTTTATTTTCTTTTCTTGTTTTTCTTTTCCCACCAGCGGCAACCAATCATGACAATGCGAAACTCAGGAAAAGAGCCTGTACTTATTTATTTTGTTCGAGGAAATCAAAATGAGCAAACTGAGCAGTCTCATACAGCACGCTCCGCAGTGACGTTCTCTTCCGTCCATTCGAGCATTGCCCTCCTTCTGATTTTGTCTGTTGATCGTCTACGCCCGCGAGCATGCGGTATCGGCGTTGACGCTGTGTAGATGCCACGTCCACGTCTGCGACGGATGCCGTTTCCGTTGTGTGAACGTCTAGGATGCACAAGAGGGAGGCGCGATGGGGCGGATCAAGCGTTGTAGATCTACCCACGCAACGGCGTTGCTTCGGAACGGAGAAACCCCCGTTTCGATACCGTTTTCTGGGGCTAGAGACCTTCACTTTACTCCCCCTCCTTCCTCTTTATTTATTTATTTTTATCCTTGCCATCTTCTTTGTTACTCTCCTTGTCACCATATCACACAACGCACGTGAAACTCACGCGTACACACACGCACACACACTTGTGCGGACAACACACAGAACCGTCGAACTGAGCTTCCTTCTCTTTTCCTTTCCCTTCTTGTGTCGTCTTCTCAAAGCGGTGCCGCTCATCGTGGCTCGACAGAAAAGGTTGCATTACTCGACAGTTATCAAGTTAGTTCGTTCGTTGTTGTTTTTTGCTTTCGCTTTCATTTTTTCTTTCATAATTATAGAGGGGAACACGCGCTCCCACACACACACAGAGAGAGAGAGAGAGAGATTCGAACATACGCTTTCATTCATTCACGGTGTTGGAGCTGTGCGTATATCGTCTGGGTTTTTTTTTTCTTGAAGTAGACCGCTTTGTATTATTATTACTATTCATGTATTGCTCTCTTTCCTTTCCTCATAGTTGTTGACGTGTGCGCGTGGGTCTGCAGCACCATTGGTTGCTCCGTTGTTGCTGCCGTTATATATGTAGGTGAGTGTGTGCGCATCTGGAAGCGGAATACATTTTTTTACTGTTGTGACATAGAGTGATCAAACAGCAGCCTCTTTCGGTTTTTAGAACATCATCAAATCGTTTTCCCCAACAAACGCGATGACCCAAGAGGGTCGCTTCCCGCCGACGCCGGCGCCACCGTCGATCGCCACCGGCAGCCAGAGCCGCACCAACGATGAGATGGGGGGCATCACGTACTCCGTCGCGAACAGCGTGCCGTTGCAGCCGCGCCAACGGGCAGCCGCAGCGCAGCCCCCGCAGGGCGAGATGGAGCAGATGCGCGTGGAGCTGACCACCGAGCACACGACGACCAGCGCCGGCGACGCGACAACGGATGATGTGCAGTTCCACACTGAAACCACGAAAGACCGGCACTCGCAGGCGGAGTTGGCCGCCACCGCTCGCCCGCCGCCAGACGCCCCCGCCGAGAAGAACGGGGCAAGTGAGAAGACAGCCGGGCAGGACGGCCACGCCTCCGGTGCAGACGCGGCGGGGACTGCCCCACCGGTGCCACGCACACGCGGCCCCGGCCACACCCCACGCGGTGCTCGGCCCGATAGTGCCCGTCCCCCGCCGCGCCCGCCGAGCCGCACCTCGTCCCGCTACGGCACCCCACGACTGAGCCACGACGATGCCGGACATCCGACTGCGGAAGCGAGGGGAAGGGCAGGTACGCCGCTGGTGCCCGAGACACAGACGTTACGCACCTCCCAGCCGGTACGGCCGTCCATGGCCCCGAGTGATCGCTCGATCGCCTTCCAGGTCGAGGATGAGATGTCCTCGCTGGCGAGCCTCTCCTTCAAGGTGGAGCCGGCCGCGGTAGACCGGCGCAAGTCGGAGGTCAGCGTCGACCCCGGCACGCTCACGGAGAACAGCGACATCCACTTCAGCGTTGTGCCGGAGTCGCAGGTCTCGCGCCCCACCGCCGGCGGCACCCGACCAGGTGCGGAGCGGAGCCCCGAACCGAACACCAACACGGAGGTGAGCGAGATTCGCTTCGAGGTGGAACCGCCGCGTGGCTCGCGCGCGCCTGCCATGACCGACCGGGCCGCGACGACCAGCACGACGAGTCTGCAGTTCGATGTGGAGTCCACCGCGGGCAACACACGGCGCAGCAGCATCAGCAACTTCTCGATTGACAACGATGAGCCAGAGCCGGTGCCGGTGCGGCGCGTGTCGCAGAAAGACGACGATGTAGCGGTCACGGAGAATGTTGCGGCGGCGGCGACGGCACCGGAGCCGGAGCCGGAAGAGATAATGACGGAGAGCGAAGAGCGCCGGCGTGCGAAGAAGGCGGAGGAGGAGCGGCGCAAGAAGGCGCTGGAGGAGCGCTCCAAGTACATGAACGTGCGTCCGTGGGACACCAACGCCCCCAGCCCGCGTGGGCGCCGCACAAGCAGCCAGGCCGCCGCCCACGGCCGTGGGCTGCAGGAGGCGGAGAAGCGTGAACACGCGGCGCAGCGGCACAAGGACATGAACACGCGTCCGTGGCGCACCGGCATGGCCACCTCGCCCAGGAGGCAAATATCGTCTGAAAGGCAACGCACCCCCACGCCGGAGCCGTCGGCAGCAGGGGGGTCGCAGAGGCGCTACCGCAGGGCGAAGGCGACGCCGGCATCCGCCACCTCTTCCTCCACCTCCTCCCCAGTTGCGTCGTCGTCATCGCCCAGGGAGTCATCGATGCAGCGGGCGCCGAGGGAGATCGCCCCGCCGCCCCCCGCTGAGCCGGTCTTCGACGAGCGAGAGGCAGCGAAGTTTATCACCCCCGCCCCCGTTCTCAAGACACCGCTGCAGGTCATCGGCGAGGAGGTAGAGGCGTGGAGTGAGACCGCCAGCCAGCAGCGTAACCTGCAGGCGATCCTGGAGGTGATGCGGGCACGTGAGCGGGATTGCGTCCGCCTGTCCAACCAGCAAGAGGCGCAGGAGGGCGTCATGAGGAAGCTGAACAAGGAGCTGTACGCTATTCGCGACGACTATGTGCGGAGGAACGGCTCCGACGTCATCGGGATGCCGCTGCATGCACGTCGTGAGACAGCACCGGAGAAGGGCGGTGCAGCGGCAGACGCAACAGCGAAGCAAACCGAGTTGACGGCACAGGACTACATGCTGCTTCGCCTCTACCCTCGTCCGTCCCACCAGGCCACGGACTACGTCGCCATGAAGCAGCAGCGCGACGGCGGCCCGACGGTGAGTGTGCTGAGCGATGACGACATGTCAGACGGAGAAAAGGGAGACTTCGCCGAGGACCTTGCGCGCTGGCGGACGGAGCGGCAGGCGCTGCGGAAGGAGAAGGCCCGGTTGGCGCACGCGCGACGTGACCTGACCTTCCAGATGCGCCGCGGTTCGAACATTAAGGACATTAAGCTGACGCAGCCCACCAGCGGGCGTGGGCCGTTGGACCGTCGCGCCTCGGGCACGGAGACAATGGTGGACGTCGACGGCTACGACAAGTTGATGGACATGCGCATTTCGGCGCAGAAGGCCGACGTGGAAGCTACAAGTGCCAAGGAGCAGTACGCGAACCTCTGCATGGTCGCCGCGACGATGCGGGAACAGCACGACAGCAACGCGCGCGAGGTGGCCGATGCTCAGGAAATGCAGGAGGAGGCGAAGGAGCGCTACGAGAAGGCCCTGCGTGACATCCGCCGCAGCGTCGAGGAGGCACGGCCGCTGCTCGACAAGGCGCAGTCGATTCTGAAGCAGCGGGAGCGCGAGGCCATGCGCTCTGACGAGGAGAACGCGCTGTCCGAGCTACGGGAGTACAGTGACACGATTCTTGCGGTGCGTCTGCAGGCGGACCGCGCCGCCGCCATGGCGGATGCCGCCGGGGATGATGAAAAGCGCATGCGTCGCGCCTCCACCGTGCGCGCGGGCCCGTCACGCACGACGACTCCGCGTGGAAGCATCAGCGGTAGTCTCCGCCCCGGAGTGTCCCCGCGCAACCGTGCCAATAGCCAGACGTACAACGATGATGTCTTTGCGCGACTGACGGGTCGGAAGTCGGTGGATCTGCAGAACGGTGCGCCGGCCGCGACGCCGAAGGAGACGTCCTCTGCGGCGTGATGATCTTTGCCTCATGCCACGTTTTCTCTCGCTGGCAGGAAAACAAAAAAATGATTAGACAACAGATATATTCTCTGCTGATGTTGGTGTTGTTGATGTTGCCGGTTCGGATAGCGTAGCACGTATCTTCGAGACGAACTCGTGTTACTGCCAGGAACCGCAACATGTGTGTCTGTGCGCACTCTTGTACCACAAACAGATTCTTTTTTTTTCTTTCTTTCTTTTCGTTTATTGTTCATTATTGCGGTTCTCGTTCGGCAGTTTGGTTCGGCGTAAGGGGCATGCAGAGGAACCGAGGAATTGTACTTCGGTCGTTTTCCTTTGGCGGCAAACTCAAGGACGTGTTCAGGCACGCGAGTAGATCAGCGCAGGCGTGACACCTGTCTTTCATATATATATATATTTATTTATTTATTTATTTTCTTTATTCTCCCTTTTATCATTTCTTTCTTCCTGTTCTGTACTGTATGCGAGGAAAACTCGATAGAGACATCGTTGTTGTAAACCGTGCGCACACGTCTGCGGAAGTGTTGACGCGGATGTGCCACACAGTCGCCGCTTTGGTCGCGTTAGCCCTTCTGGCGGCGTTTTGAATGGCGTGGGTGTGTGTGTGTGTGTGTTGTTGTTGTTGTTGTTGTCGATGCGTTTATCGTTGTAGCAGAGGGGATTGCCTTCTTCGCTGACATCGCTTTTGGGGGCTTTTCTCTTCCGTTGTTGTCCTTGTACGTACACCTGGGTGTGGTGTGGTGATTCTTTATCTTTCCTTCGCCAATACCTCTCTCCAATCGGCAACAAATCTACTAGCTTTGCATGGAGTGCGTCCACGCAGTACCTATTGTGTAGGTGTGTGTGTGTCGTGTTGCAGGTATGTAAAGCGTTCTGTTCTTTTCTTTTTAAGAGGGCTGCAACACGGTGCTTTTGCCCGTTGTGTTTGTTAGTGACCCAGAGCACACAGCAGCACGTGGTGTACGGCTCCCTGATGCGCTCTCACTGGCGGTATTAACGGAAGGATCAAGACCTTCGACACTCGCTGGTTGTCCTTGACGGCGCCATCCACCTGGCCCCATCGGCAACATTGTTTTTTCGGGTCGCTGCATGCCAACTCCGTGTGTGTCTCACCCAGCAACTATTCCTCCACATATTATGCATTTTTCCTCCTTCTTCAACACGTTGCGCCACCGCCTCTGCACAAACATCTACACACGCATCAACTTGCATGAATTGGTCGGCATAGATTTTTTTCAAGCGTTCTAATTGGCTCCTTTAACTTAAGCTACACACAAACACACACACACATCTTTATTCTTTTCACGCACAAAGATGCCCGCGAAGCAGAAGAAAGGACGCGGCAAGACAGTGAATCTGACGGAGTTTAACGAGGACTTTATCCCGGAGACCGCGCTTGACTGGGCCGAGGATGACTGGGTCACCGATGAGCAGAAGGGTGAGGCCAAGCTTTCCGAGAAAATCGCGAAGCAGCGTCAGGAGTACAGTCGCGTGGCGAACAACACACTAGGCGAGCAGGAGAGCTTCCGCACGGCAACCGCCTCGCAGCCGCAGAAGTTCACCATCGAGGACCTGCAGCCACCGTTTGTGGCGCATTTCGGTAACCTGCGCAACGGCACGACAGAGGAGGACTTCCTCGCACTCTTCAGCCGCAACGCCATCGTGACGCATCGCCTCATCAACCAAGATGGCAAGTCGTTCGCCTTTGTCGAGTTCAGCACCGCGCAGGCGCTGACCGTCGCCCTCTCCTTAGACCAGACCTTTCAGCGAGGACGTCGCATGTACGTCGATCTCGCCACCGCGAAGCAGGTGGAGCGGCTGCTGAACCGCGGCACCAACGAGCGCGCCGGCCTGACGCGCGACGGGGCCGGTCAGCAGCAGCCCGGCGGTCTCGCCGCGATGGGTCTCTCGCGCGACGTTTTTGGCGGACCGCAGCCGGAGGACCACCCCGGCATGACGTCGATGGGCAGCCGCTCCAATTTCGGTTCCCGCGCCGACCTGCACAGCCTCGGCGAGCTCTCGCGCAACATGCTTGGCTCGGCGGTGCAGCAGGCATCCCCGACGTCGGCCAGCCCCCTCGGCGGCGGCTCGCCTGTCAACTTCGGCTCGTGGCGTAACGACGGCCCGGAGCAGCAGCCGGAGTTCGCCGCGCCGCCCGAGAACAACCGTAGCGAGGAGGCTCTCGACCGTCGCAACATGGGAGCTGCCAACCTGCGCCGCAGCAGCAGCGCCGTGGGCTCCCCCCCTGCAGCGGTGCCGGAGCCGAAAGCCAACCCGTTTGGGGGTGACATGGGCAACTGGCGCGATGCGCCGCGTGCTGAGGCACCGAAGATGGAGGAGCCCGTGAAGGAGGCGGAGGAGCACAAGGAGGAGGGCGAGGAGGCGAGCAAGGAGGCCGGCGGTGCGAGCCTGGGCAGCCCTGCCAACAACGGTCGCGGT